TTTTCTAGGTACCTATATAGTTTTAATTGTGATGCCAGTTTAAAATTATATTTTCAAGTAAATTAGAGGTTGTGTGGTAAGTGACGATGTTTGAATTTGCCAATACATACTGGTCAGAACACTTCCGATGTTGGTTAACCACATCCATGGTTAAAAGAAAATATGATCGCTTAAATTGAAACAGATGTTGAAGTAAATTACATTGGTATACTTTTTAAAATGTAATTAAATATAACCAACATACTGAGTACCTAAAACGCACTTATGAAAATTTGACACGTGGACATTAAAGTCATGTGAAACGAGCACAAAAATTGAAAAGCATTCGATTGGACAAACTTTTCGTATACATTCAAAGAGATCTTTGTGAAGTTATTTTAAACGGTAAAAATTAATTCCAGTAATCCTGGCTAGACCAAATCGAAAGATCGATTTTCAAAAAACAACGAAAATCGTTTTACTTCTTGGAATAGATATTATAAAGTAATTAACTAAAGTAAAGTGACTTCTGGTTACTAAGATATCAATCATAAAAGTAGACATGCACCTGGCATAAAAAAATATTGAAGATATGATATATCGCGAACAAAAGATTCTTTTTATTCATTATAAATAATGTTACAAATTATATTTCAATGAATGCGTTTTTAAATATAACGCACTGAAACAAAGGTACAAGAAATATAAAATTATGAAAATGAAAAAGTCTACCCATAAACATTTTTAAAGAAGAGCAGAAATTAATCGGGCACTGAATAATATACATACATATAAAACATAATACGAAGTGGTTGAATCAAGGAATTGCGAGTAAGTTGTATCCATCGCAGGGTGAATGCACCAGCGAATGAACATTATATATATAAAAATGATTGAATTAAGGTATTAAAATAAGCAAATGATTAAATATTGATTTTTTTAAATTCCTTGTTTCATATTTAAACAATTTTTACGCCATTGGTTAGAAATGTTCATTTACTTAATATTGTTCATTCACTGATGAAATCTATATTCTTTCTTTTCAATTCAATTAATTACATTTATTCCATTATTACCATTAAAATTTATGCATTTAAAAAAAAGGTGTAAACATTGAAAAATCTAATTTGCATGTTCCAAGTATTTATTAATATAATATTACTATCATTTAAAATTCGACTTTAATTGTTACCAAATCTCTTAAGTGTTCATTCGTTAGTGCGTTTACCCTATACATTTTCTTCGCGTGATTTTGTGAAATCTTCATCATTCCATTACATTATTCGTATTTCCATCGTTCTAAAATTATATAAGCTACATCGAAAAGTAGTGGTTAAATATTCGTGCTATTGCATTGTCTTCTTAGTTAATTAAACGTAGCCATTATGAGGCAGACTAACGAGAAGTAAAAAGACAGGTCGACTTGGTGTCCTCTGGTTCCCTTTGCCATTTTAGTTTCGGCACGATCCCACGAGTCATTTCTAAGGCCGCCGCTGGCGCATAGCTTAAAACAAGTCGCGTTGAGATTGGTCAAGGTACGACATCGTTCTAGAGTTGATTGCTACCTCAACCCTCGCCCCACCGGTCTTCTTCGCTCCCCGCTTTTCAGATTCTAGTTGGTCCATGCCCCCACCAATACCATTGCGATCTCTTCTATCTTCAAACCCTCGTCGATCTGGCCGCGACCCCGACACTGTGTGCGTGTGTGTACGTGTGTGTATGTGTGCCACACGTAAATCACCACAGTGACCCACGTGTCTCGGCAGGACCGTCTTTCGTGATGGTAGCGCCATAAACTTTGTAAATTCCCAGACGAATTTTACAAATCATAACTTAATTTTAATCAATCATAACTTAATATATGTCCTTTACCTTTCCTCGGTTACCTAGTAATTAACATTTTTCTACCGAATAATTTTACGGATACGTGCGCGGTACAAACACAAATTTCACCTTGATACTAACCGTGCTACGCAGTTGCACATGCGCGAAGATTGCAACGTTTAAATGGCAATCTTATCTACGTCCACGTGCACGACATTGAAGTATTTTATCCTTCGTATGAACTTTAAAGTTATCGTTGTATGTGTACATATGTATATACGGTGTTACATAATACCCTAGACGCGTTTATTGCTGTTCTAACTTATCATTGGAATATGAATGCATCATAACGATAATAAATAACCTGTCAGATTCAAATTGTTCGAGTTTACTTTCCGCCTTTGTACGAAAAATCATATGACGGAAAATATTTCCGTGGAAAATGTTTATAGATATCTGGTATACCAATCGACGGGTTATATGAGATTCTAACGTCGAATTTCAGCAGCATATACTATAGTGGTTCGATAAAGTTGAGTGTATGGGGTTCGTCGACGGACGAACCCCATTATCTGAATCTACGAACGTGTGTCATGGAAGGGCCGCTATCTCACCATTGTCGGTTACCGGAGAAGTAGGAGAGGAATGAAATAAAATTCTTACTTGATATGTTCAGTACAGCGCATAATATAGAATAACAGATACTGTTTTTCATTTTTTTTTTGTTAATAAACTTCGAATTTTATGTAGGAGCACAATCCAGAGTGCCTTTCGAGTCGTTTCTATGTATAATTTTGACCACATTCCCATTATTAAATGTCGCTTTTATTCAGTGTAACAATATCATGTTACGAAAGATTCTTACTGAATTTACGCATATTCCGCAGAGATTTAATATTGTTAGATGGTAACCGTGTAGTTGTCATCGTCCCTAATCTCGAGTGTATACACAGGGTGGTCACATTATCACTAGTCAGATGCTTCTTGCAAACGGTTTGTGTACAGAAGAACCGAACAATGACAAAATTTCAGTTTTTTATGAGCAACGCGTCATGATACATCCGTTCCTTGAATTTAAAATCGTTCAAAAGTAACAAAAAGTGAATCCCCGTTTTTTAAAAAGCAAAGTTACATTCCTCCTTACATCATAGTAAAGCGATGGTCAGGATGAGTTCAACGATATATGACAGAATAACCTTCAAGGTCATTCAAGGTTAGAATTGACAGAAATAACTTAAACATTTCGTAGTATCTTTGTTCCTAGTATTTTATATTGATAAGGTTACGAATTCTATTCAACAGTAACTTTGTTACAAAATGTTCGCACTCATTACTCATTTATGTCCTCGTATGACCTCGAGGCTCGTTCGCAAAACTCGTGACGATACAAAAAGCAGATACACGTAACCAACCATTTAAAAAAATCCATGGTCATCTCTATTGTTGGAAAATTATTGGAAATTTTTCGAATTGACATAACCTAAATCGTATTGCTTTAAAATACAGTTGGAACTTTCTTCTCGTTCGTTTTTTTCTATAATTCTATGTAATTCGCCGTTTATATGAGAAAAATAGTGGATAGTAGTGGCGCGGGGGGCACTGTATACGTACCACGACCACACCTCAGGAATATTAACACATGCACAGCATTCAACGACACCGCCGTAGCCGTCGTTGTTGCTGGCGCACGCGGCGTCCAATGCCCCGTTCGGAGGCAGTCGTCGTGGTTTCCACCCGGCACACGTGCACCGCGCGCAGTGGGTCATTGCTCCTCTCCGTTCGAAAGCAATATCATTGCGGCGCACGACACTTGTCCCAGGCATGACTACGGGCGATGTCGAATGAGATTCGGCAGTTCATGAACGGATTACGGATCAATATACGTTTAAAAGGAAACAGCCAGACAAATGTTTTTGGGAATTTAATTATTAACATTCGATGATCCAATTGCTCGGTTATTTTCACCCTATGTTTCAATGGCTGACTGTTATATAATAGATTTTTAGTTTAATATAATTAGATTTTTTAAACTAACAAACTAACAGCTAGCGTATGTGTGATGCTGTATGAACATCTGATGTTCAATTGTAAAATAACTTGTTTTTATTTACAAATGGCTTTTGTCACAGAACGAAACGCAAATTTCATCAAATTTGATTGATAAACAAGATGGGACATAATTTATTAATGTCATACTTTGGATAATGACAAACAAGAGACTATGAGGCGTGTAAGAAATAAGTAAATATATATGTTAATTACGAATCTGGCCGATGGAATTTATGCTAATAATAGGACATCCTTTATTGCATAACGCATTGTACATTATGATAGAGTAATGAAATATATAATGTCGACTACGTCAATACAAAAGGCGTTATACCACACGATTCTCTTTGTTACCCTAACAAAAAGTTAATTTCTTACTTTTTTAATCTTTTACTTTACCTTGCTTCAGATCATTTTACATGTATTTAAATCATAATGCATACACTCCTAAATGTTTTGTTAAATTACCGATGTTATTTAAAGAGTAGTAGCTTTCATTTACAAACAATGTTTTTTTATCGATTAAAGATGACGTGTGAGTGAAAAAAAAATTAATCTGAAAATAAATTAGAGTTTTGATATGTATATTCGACCATCGATAACAAATCCGTGATTAACAAAGCTTATCGTAACGTACCCGTGTCGTCACGCACGCGTGTACAGTATGTGAATGCTTACGTCTCTATAGACTATAGACTCGGGTATATTTACGTCCTCGTCTGTTGTCGGTCTTCGTCGCGCTCTCACAGCGAACCGCAGGGTCGGCCGAAACCACGACGACTGCCTCCACGTGCTGCGAGAAGCACTTAGTCGCCCTAAATTGTAGGTCGCCGTCGTGAGTACGATGGTGGGGGTACGCGAATAGAGGGGGCGAGGGTCGAGCGTGGCGCTTCGGCCATGATCGATGGTTTCCGTCGGTGTTCGGCACGGGCAGGCGGTAAATATTGCACAGTACGATTGGCAGTGTCCTGAGGCGGGTCCTTTGGTTTTCAAGTTTGAGTTTTTTGTCGACGTTCAACTGTGACAAGTGACAAACGTACACGGCATGCGTTAACAGAGACGTGCATTCAGTTCTGTTCGTTCCCTCGATTTTTTCGGTTCTTTTAACGACTTGTGATCGGAAAATGACGAGGAGAAACGTGGTGTATCTCGACTAAGGAAGGGTCCAAAAGGAACAGTACAGGTGGGTGATTTTGACATTTCTTCGTTTTGACTCGTATATAACCTGGTTAGATTTCATAAAGAAATTTCTGCAACAATTCAACAGATTTTAAGAAAATGCACATTTATAAGCATCATCCAGACAGAATTATGTACATATAAAATTAAATATAATTTTATAATTTATTTGTGTTTTAACAATATTAAACAGTACAGGATATTTGTGGATTATTTCGTTGATGATTTTTATTTTTCTAAAAATGACGAACTTTCAATATATTTTTGAGAAATTCTCAGTTTTCGAAACAATATCATTTCTATTTCAATGAAATAGAAAGCTCGTTTACGGAATTAATGAAAAAGTGTGTTTTATCGCGATGATCCGATTCATCGGTGTTCCCCTTGGCCGCGAACTTCGGCCGTACTCGGAACGCAGTTTTCGCGATCGATTGTATTTTCATATCCTTGAAGTATCATGAAGTCAGGAAAACAGAGGGGAGAAATCGAGCGAATCCGCGTGAACGGGAAAGAAAGATCGCGATAGATTCTCTTAGAAGAGACCGATATGTATCGCGGCCCGTGATGTAACTCAACGTCCTTACTGCGCGGCGAGTTGCACGAGGTCGGTGATCGCTATAAAAAAATGCGGCGAGTACACGTGGAGGCAGCGGCAGGCGGTTTCCACCGTCGCGACGCGCCGCGGCATTGCACCACCGCCGACCACGACGGCTGCCTCACGGAGTGAGACGCGCGCGTGCAGGTTTAACCCAGCCTTAACCTATTCTGAACCGACGACCTCGTAGGAGTGCGCGATCAACATTAAACTTTTTCAATAATCCTGCTACCAAATTCAACGTTTTCCTATTACAGACTTTCTATTTTTCTTTCTTAATTTCGAAATAACGTTACAACCATAATATATTACTGTTTACTTGCATAACAATATGCATATAATAGCTGCATAACTTAACATAGCTATACCATGTTAATGTATCGCAGAAGTTTAAAAAATATATATATAAACTTTAAATTCTAAAAATAAGTATTGGTAAAGGTTCTGTAACGCTGATTTATGAATTACGATCCAATAACATATCATATCTTTACAAGTTAATTGTGCGATACTAGCGGCACACGCGAAGAATCTCTTCGGCTGCAAAACGAACGTTATTTCCGTAAACGGAAATCATTCGATCTTGACGGTAGCGTGGTAAGGACGCTGAGCTGATATTTCCGTTTGGAACAAACAATTGTTCGGTGACGCAGTAGAGTCCTCTGTTGCTTCCTCGGTCATCGGTTATGTAATAAATATTCTTGTCCATTCTGTGCACGGATTTTATACATATTTCTAAATACGCTATTACAGTATACATTAGTCTATTGTTATCGCGGTACGTTTGATTTGTTATGCAATATGAATTGTTATTTTGTTAATGAAAAAGCAAACAGATTATTACGAACGTTCAATTTCGAATGAGCAATAGTTAACAGCATCTATCGAAAAGAGAAAAACAAATTTCTTTCATTTTCTTATTCCTCTCGGACAGGCAAAAGAAATGAAAAGGGTCGTCGGGAACGTGTAGCAGGTTCGTGAGTCGATAATACGCGGTTTATCATAGGCCCTATAGAATTGGGGGATCGGGGACGAAGAGACAAGTTACAGGATGCGTGTGCGTGCGCGTGCGTGTACGCACGGGGCGTCGCGCGATTCGTGGGCGTTTTTTTTGGGGGGGCTTGAACGGGGCAAATGGTGGGGGATGGAACGGAGGCCGTGTTACCCCAACGATTCAGACCGGCGCGTATCAAGGCGTTTACACACAGTCGCGTTCACACGTAAGACGACGCTCCTAGTGTCTTCTTCCTATCTACCTCATGTCGATCTACCTCATGGAGTCTTCCAGTCTTTAAATAAATGCCTTGTTATATTGTTATAGTACAGGTAAAGCAACGCGACAATATTTGGAAAATTTGTGTTTTTCTCATTTCAAGTGGAACATAGTTATTTTAAAATGTGAAATATCGTCGACAGAACGAAATAAATTCTCGGATAAATTCTAAATTGTCAAGTACTATCTTCAACTCTATAGAAACCATGTATTCGAATTATAAGATATTTTGTTCGTCGTCGCAATGTTTAACCCACGTAGATTCCCGCCTAACTGAATCGTAATGTCCTATTTTATATTTTACGTTAACAATTAAGACGGTGAAAGAAACTGAAGGACAAATCAACAATGTTTCAAATCGTGTATTGTACATTTAATTTCATTTTTTCAAATCATATCATATTAATCTTTTCTTTTTTCGACATCGAAGTTTTCGAAGAATTTTTGTTTTTCTTATTGACAGTCGGAAATCGTATTGGTAATTCATCGAATATTAATTTGTCTCGTTTCGTTTCAGATTTTTAAAGTCTCGATAGCAAAGAATGGTGGGTTTTTATCACATAGAACTGATCCCAACTAGAGAGACGATGTCGGTCAATGGCGAGATAGTGACCCCGGACCCCTTGAAATCCGTGAAGGGTCTCGTTTGCAGTCCGGATCTGACTGTGTTCGCACCACCGAGCTGCGGCGGCGCCGAAACTCTGTCGGCAACCGTCGAGGAGAAGACGTACCAGTGTCTCCTCTGTCAGAAGAGCTTCGATCAGAAAAGCTTGTATCAGAGCCATCTGCGCTCGCACGGTAAAGAAGGCGAGGATCCTTACCGGTGCAACATTTGCGGGAAAACGTTCGCGGTGCCCGCGCGGCTAACGAGACATTATCGTACGCACACGGGTGAGAAGCCGTATCAGTGCGAGTATTGTAGTAAATCGTTTTCGGTGAAGGAGAACCTCAGTGTCCATCGTCGTATCCACACGAAAGAACGGCCGTACAAGTGCGATGTGTGCGAACGGGCGTTCGAGCACAGCGGTAAACTGCATCGGCACATGCGAATTCACACTGGCGAACGGCCCCACAAGTGCACTGTGTGTTCGAAAACGTTTATCCAGAGTGGTCAGTTGGTGATACACATGCGCACCCATACCGGTGAGAAACCGTACGTTTGTAAAGCGTGCGGCAAAGGATTCACGTGCTCCAAGCAGTTGAAGGTGCACACACGCACGCATACCGGCGAAAAACCGTACACATGCGACATCTGCGGCAAATCATTCGGTTACAATCACGTGCTGAAGTTGCATCAGGTAAATCGCTTCTCTACTGAACATTCACTCGGTCGATACATGTATGTCTTTACGATATTCTTGTCGATCGACGATTATCGGTTTCGTTATCACAACTGACTCGATAAATAATTTCAGGTTGCTCATTACGGCGAGAAGGTTTACAAGTGCACGCTCTGCCACGAAACCTTCGGCTCGAAGAAGACGATGGAGCTGCACATAAAGACCCACTCGGACTCGTCTGTCACCGGTTCTCCCCGGGACTCGCCGATCGAGCCGGAGATTGAAATCTCACAAGCAAATAACATAGGCACTGCCAGCGACAAGGAGAACCTAAAGACTGACGAGCCAAGCGACAACGCTGCCACTTACAACCCATCGCGGGATTTCTCGTACTATATGTATTCCAGAGAACAGTATTCGGCACCCTTGATGGTGACCAACGAAGAGAAAGTCTTCCCGACGACGGCGACGCCCGCTGTCCCCATTGAACAGCCCCATACGTTCCTATACCAAGAAATATCGCCGACTTACACCAGCTTTGGGATTCAGAGCAACGATTTTGTCAGCGATTGTCCGTCACTTCTAAATCTGCCGGGAAACGACGCTCGCCGGAGAGTCGAGGCTGCCCTTGAAGCGGTCGAGGAAGAAAGACAGAGGGAATATGGGATCGGGGTTACGCGTGATCCACTTTTAACACCACCAAGCAGCAATCCCGTGAGCCCAGTACCATCGCCGGATCCTCTTGATCTGGCGATACCTGTACGAGAAACATTAATTCTACCACCAAGGAAGAGGTGCAAGATGATTTTAGAGTCTATGGAAAGCGAGAAGATCGGGTTCATCGCATCCCAGAGACAGAACTCTGTTATACAGTTTGCTAAGGCTTCATAGTGGAAGAACACCGATGTCAGTTGTGGGTGAACTGGTGATTAGTTCGCGTATGGTAAGATGCAATCCGGACACTTCTATAAAAAGTACGGAGGACTAACCGCATAGAAGGGGTAGAAATCATCGACCGATTGTATCGGAAGGTATTCAAACAGTTTTAAAACGAAACACAGAGAGAACTTTTGAGAAACCCGTTTTAACGAATTATGAACCTGGAAGTATGAAAGCGCGCGAGTTCTTGTACGGAATATGATTTTAACGCAGTTTTCGATACTGCAATGCAATTGTAGTTGTAAACGGATATTAGTAGACTGCGGATTTATATGCAAAATAACATTTTCTAAAGTAATTTAGAAAGACAGGAGCAAATGTAGCAATTTATTTTTCCTCAAATATTTTATTGGGCTCAGACTAGAATAGAAAAATCATTGGATCCGATGAAACTTTGTCTTTTATTGTATTTCACAGAGCCCTATGAGTCATAAATGCATAAAATCCGCAGTCTAGATATTAGCCATCGCTAATGGAAAGCAATTAGGAAATTTTGTGCCGCAAGAGTAATGCCAATTGGATTTGTTGTCCGGTGGGAAGAGTGGATCCATTCCGAAATTTTACGATCTGAGACAGTTTCTATTGGCATGTTGCGAGATTTTTGTCATTACCGAACGACCTGTACGAAATACAGTACTGGTATGGGGCCGAGCACATACCAAAGTTTTAATTTTTCTGTTTTATCAGAGAACACTTGTCCCAAGCAATCAAACCGATAGAAATTTATTTTCTAATTTCAATTCTGCAAGCCTTCAGTGCACTAATAGAGTCACGTTCAATAATTGAATTGTTCAGAAGAAAATATTTTGAAGTTTCGATCGTTCGTAGAATATGACCGAGTGGCCTGAGTATATCGTGAATTCATTGGATTCCGACAATAGTTCGCCACATTGCCTCAGGATAAATGTCCCGACGTATTTGGAGCTCGCCCAGCCAAAATTTTTCGTAATCGTTCGGTGAAATAATCAACGATCTTAAAACTGTCATCTGTTTCCGCGTGGCACAAAATGGCGACCCGACTGAACGGTCTCAGTTTCTTGGAGAATAGCTTCAATTCGTCAGACTGAGCAAACGTGTCGCGAAAGAAGCGCAAATTCCAAGGATCGTGTGTAATTTTTAACGGTAAAATTTGTCCGAACGTCCTTGGGTTTGTGTCGCGGAAGAAAGACCGCATGGGTCTTTTGCTTTGCTTTGCTTTGCTTTCTTCGATATTTAGCCGGCGTGCTCTGCGTCATTTTTTTTTTGTTTCGGTATTTCACGTAAGGTGTGTACGTGTTTCCCCAGATATGTATGTGTGTGGTTGCGCGTGCATACATGTATGTATGTTGAATTGCAACGGGATTTAGCATAAAAAAATGTAACAAAGATCGTCGTGGATCGCTGTGCGGCGCAACTGGCGTATCCTCGTGATCTGAAGGCCTTGGAACGAAACGTAGTCGGGAGACCATTTTTGGAAATTGTGTTCATCGTATCACGTCCTTCTTGTTTCAATCGTTTCTCTTGCTCGACGGTTACTTTAGTATATGCGATCCCATTTGACAAACGTTTCTCGAATCTTTTGAGAAATAGCCGAAAACGAGAAATTTCTCAAGACTCTGAGCAACTGATTTCTGTTTTGTATTAATTTCGAGATCTTTTCGAGAAGAAGAGTGTCGATTAGTTCGAAGGCTACGGTCACTCGTACCGAGTAAAACGAATTGCTACATTCGGGGTAATTTATCCTTCCCGTTTTGCGGATGATTGAATTTTAAACGTCGTGCGTGTTTTGTGTATCGTGAAAAGTTTTCTGATCGTGACCAATTTATTCGTGTAACTAAAGATTCCAATTTCTTGCCAAAACTTAAGAAGACTGACAACAGTCTGGTAAAAAAGAAGAAAAAAAAACATTTTTATTCGTGCATAACAAGCTTCCAAATGACACGTAGATTATGGATTATCTATTTAGATTAGATCAAAGTGATATTACAGCACCGCGTAATTGCTCAATTTCGTCGTCGCTAGATCCTCGTAATTGTTTGTTCAAAAGGTATATCCGATAGAATCAATGGCCCGTTACAAAAAAAAAAAACAGAAAAAATTTGAATTTTTCTTCAATGACGAAAAGTGACACGCCTGGTGGGGTTAGCTGCCGCGTATGTAAATCTGTTAAAGCGGGAAATTTCGATTCTCCCGAATTATTTTTCTTCACAAATAATTTCATTCTCATCAGCGCCGTTCAAGGCATTCTAAACGTGACGAAATTCGACTTGATTTACGTTGTTCGAATCTTTGATGTGTCGACAGTTGATCGCCAATCACCTATTAAGGCCCCTTTACGAATAGCAACGCAACGTTAACCGCGATACTTTGTAAAAAGAGGCCTTAATACCGATCGTGAAGAAAGGTCTAGCAAATGGTTGAACTGTGTCCGTTTCACGAAACTTTCAAGACCCAAAAGAGAAATGATCGCAAAACAGCAAACACACTGGTTCGAAGTACAAAAGAACAAACGTCTAGTCCCGTTCGAGTTCACAATTCGACGGAGCTTAGACCGACATAACATTGATGAAAAATATTGTATATTTAATTGCCAATCGGAGGGGAAGGGGGAAGTAGCGTGGTTTCAGCGAAACAGATCCATACCCGGGAAAAGGAAAACGAAAAATAACTGCAGTTTCAGCCGTGAAAGTGAAATAAACGGGGGAAGAAAGTACCAAACAATTGATATCTCTGTGATAAGAACTCCATAATGCCAGAGTATTGAGGGGAGCTATACCCACTGCCAGTACAAGCGTGCTATGCGTGTTCTGAGCACGCGTGCAACTTTTAATATTAAATATAAAATCGTATTATTACGATTAACAAAACTTTTAGCCAATCTGTATTCATACACACACACACATACACACACACATACATACACACACTTGGCTTCAGGTCAGCACGACATAAAGAATGTTTTATAAATTCAGGACTAATTTCGAGGTGGAAAGTTCAGAGTAAAGTGCATCCAACAGCGAGGGGGAGGGGTTCTTATTTTCAAATTCTCAAACGTTCAATAAACCATGTTGTAGTACTTAACACATTCTACGTTCGCGAGAATTACCTTTTCGTCGTCAGGGTACGATTACTCATTTGCCTTTCAAATCCATTTGATACACTGTTGTTTTCAGTCGGTGCACTTTGCGATCGAATCTTCCGCTAATGTTTCGATCTGCAGTTTATAGAACAGCTTGCATATACATTGAGCTATGTTCATATTTTAATATGTAATGTACTATTTATATAGGAACGCATGTATATTATGTTTTCTTCGAATTCTTTCTGTAAAACGCGCAAACTATGACACGTGGCCTATTCTACTGTTCGTCGGAAACCACGAAGTCGTATGTATACGCGAGGAGTGTTTCAAGCGTGCGACGTTTTCCCTTGAATTTGTCGGATTTTAGGAGTAGTCGCGTTCTGTCGTTAATCCCGTCTGGGATCTATTCATGTGCGTGGCATAAAATTTATGTGCAATCTTAACTTAAGTTTCTCCAAAATGCCTAGGCTTCCTTTCGAAAAGGGAATAAAAACTTACTTTTAATTAATCGAGAATACTCGGATTCTTTGTTTTTTTTTTTAATTACAAATTTTAACGAACGTTGCCGGCGTCGGCGCTCCGGATCGTCCGTAGGTGTGTGGCGCAGTGTGGAGAGTTAGAACTTTTTTTGTTCACGTTATCATATCCCTCCAACCCCCCACTGAGTGTACGGTGTAGGCCACGTGGTAGCATGTCGAATAAAAGGAGTGCGAATTGTTAAGTATTACGGTAATCACGAGAAATAGATTGAAATTCGTTGGGCGGTATCTAGTGTAATATTGTAATTATTATTTGTTATTACTTATTATTTTTAAGACATACACACATAAGACACACACACACAAATACACAAATGCATGCTGGATGGGGCACTTCGTTTGTCCCATCGTCGTGGGCGTGTGGAACTGATTACACATGAAAGAAAGAAAACGTTTTTTTGTTTGTTTGTAGACATTCGATGCTAAGAAAAGGAGAATACAATCTTGTACGAGTGCAACAAGGACGGTGAAAATGTTTTTTTTTTATTTTCCGTTTCTTGCGGTTTTGCACACGATTGAACGTTAGAGAACACAGTGAATTGTCTGTAATAGTACCGATCGTCGCGTGAGATTGGTGGAAAAAAAAAACAGTTTCCTCGTCCTCGGAAGTAACTCACCGCAATAAACTTGATTGCAATCGATTCTACGTCGAGACGTTATTACGCGTGTTTCGCATTGACAGGAATTTCTACAAAACGGACGCGTCGCGATAGGCACTAATAGGCACTAATGATTGTATTTCTTCGGTTTTATTCCGCCAAAGTGCGTGCGAATAATTTTTGATAGTCAGCTTCCGACAGGAAATATATTTATTTATTTAATATATATCTATGTCTATATATTATATACAGATGTATTTTTTGCCGAAATCCAAAACAAACTCGTGTATTCGCTGTATTAAAATATATTCTATCGTAAACGCTGTTTTGGAATTTTGCGTCTAATTTCGATTGATGAGTTAATGAGACAAATATAAACATACGATTCCACTAGCGTGTACAAATCTATTTATTTGTTTATTCACAATTAATTATTTAAATACCAGCGCCAATATTATGCAAGGATAAGAACTGAAACGAGAGATCAGTTATTGTTTGTAGCCCCCTGACGGGCGATAGTGTCGACTAATTTAGTCACTAGTGAAGACATCTCATGAAATTACTATAAAATATTCGGGGATTAAGTCTGGTTTTCACAGGAACGAGTATAATCGATGCGCTCCGAGGGTAAAGTTTACGAATAATTTTTTAGTCGACACATGCAGGTACGTGGCAACATAATTTTCAAACGAACGTACCGAAGCCGCCGACATTTCGATTGCGTGAACCTATCTTACGCGATGTAAAACGTTCGTGTTCAATGGAGTACGGTGGTCCGACCGATTGTTAGAAGCGTCATTGGAAACGTTGTTTCGATTGAAATACTATATTTATGTGTCAATAAAATTCACGAAACGCGCAACGTACCTGAAACATTTCTAGCTAACGGAACAAGCACGTTCAATAAGTAAGTAATCGTGCATCAGTTTCTGGCAATGGAATACCCGCGCGTTTCTCGGGTAACCACAAATTGTGCTGTTACTTGAACATTTCCGTGTAAATATTTATCACAGATTATTGTTCGAATAGCATCTTATCATGAAAATAATTCGCGTAACCAGTAATTATTTAATCTGCATAGTAAGTTTTTCTCTGTGAGAGTCGAAATACTTGTCACTATTTACTAGTATAATGGTTCGATAATTGAAAAAAAGAAAGAATAATTAGAGTGTTCATTCAGTAGCTATATAACGCGGGCCAATACAGACGATTTTAGTGCTATACTTTTTCGAAGAGAAGTGAGAATGTATTGAGCAAACCAACCGGTATAAATAAAAAATAAATCGTAACTGTAGGTTGTGCTAGTACATAATAGCATTTCGAGATAATTATAAATAGTTAGAAATATGTTTTTTTCTTTTAGTTTCACTATTTTTAGTTAAAAACATATAAAATTATTAGGCTTTAAGGAATCATATATACACAAGTATTATGTTTTATCATTATCTATAATATTATGTACAATAAAGATATTATATAGAATAGAAACATAATATCATGCGTGTCATCATTACTTATTGCTAAAGTTTGAGATGTTATATGTTTTTTGTAATATAGTATACAATGAAAATATTTCAAACTGTTACATTTGCGCTAATGATTTTAGAAATGAGAAGAAAAAGTGAACGAAATAAAGCAAAAGGGACTCCAGAGAAGGAAATTGAAAAGCCAACTAGAAAATCAGCACGCAGACGTGTGAAGAGAACACATTCTGTGTCACCAGAGCCAGAAAACTTAGAGGAAACAGGAAAAGCTGTCAGCAGCAAAGAAACAGAGAAGTCAACTGCAATAATTAACCAAAGAAAAGAATTGGAAGATACAACAGAAGAATGCAACGAAACAGTTTCATCCACAGAAACAGATATCAAGATAAAGCCTCAAGAAAATGAGGATGACAATACTGGATCAGTTTGGAAAGTGGCAAGAGCAGATGCATCACCTGGCGAGATACAGAAGCTGAAGTTATGTAGACAACCTAACGCAGCAGAAGCATCATCTGACATTTCTTTGACTAGGAAAAAATCGAACAAGTGGCAGGAAAGTGGTGAGGGAGTTGCAGAGGAGGCTGACTCGGCAGAAGAGCAACTGGTTTCTTGTACAAGAATGCTCAGTAGCACTGAACAGCCGAACGATCCCTCCTCTTCATACCCAGGTCAGGACTCCAACGAAGAGGTAAGTGATAGCAAGGAGATCCTGCCCGAAACCACTTCAGCCAACTTGTCTGACGATAAACCAAACATAGATCAGCAAGGTGAATCAAAAGAGGCAAATATCCCGAACGAAAACGCTGATAACGAACCCATTAAGTCGAGTAGCCCGACTGTATCGGCTCCTAGATCAAACGGCGATCGCTCATCCGAGGAGACAAACGTTATACCAAAGGAAGAAATATCCGTGGAAGATACCAGCGGAAAGCCAGCAGAAGAGTTTCGCAAAGAAGCTAGCATTGAAAATGTTCAAAAAGAGACGACTAGTAGCGACGAAGACGAGGACGAGAAAGAGAAAGTGAAAGTTCACGAAGTAAATTCGTCCTCCGAGTCGAACGATGATGTTCAAAGCACGAAAAGTAGCAGAACCGGTGGCAGAATATCGTGTACCAGTCGTAGAAAGCATCGGACTAAGTATCGAGATTCGTCCAATTCCGATACGCAAGATTCAGAGGATGAACCTACCATCAAAAGGGACATTGAGATAGACTCTTACACGCAAGAAGAGAAAATTCCTATAGAAGATTCGAATGAACCGAAAGATTGTTCCGAGTCACCGAAACAAAGGAATAATTCTTTGCTAAATAGCATAGAAACAGAGGTGGAGCATAACGAAGAGAACAACCAGAAATTGGACAGTCTAAACGAAAAATCCGAATATTCTGCGACGATGCCGACTCAGTTGGTGGCCCACAAGCCGGTTAAAGTAAACTTGAAAAGATCTTTGTAAGCATACACGAAACAACGATTCGCTTAGTAATTTTATCGATGTAATTCATATATTACAATTTTATAATTTGTTTTTCAGTTCCGTAAGAATGATAACGGAGAAGAACGATATGAAAAATGAAGATACCGATGCGAATGCAAATAACGAGGCAGTTGTTTTAAACAAGGTTCGTAGTTTCAATGGATGTGAAATAACCTCAATGAGCCTAGAATATTACAGTTACATAGATGTATGCAGTAAGCTAATCACACACTCTTATTCAATAGGAAAATCATGACAATGCTGATCAAGAATCAAAATGTGTTCCACGAAAACGTCGATGGGGCACTGCATTGTCTACCGATAGCGCGCCTTCCTTTTCAGTATCGACGGATTCGCTTAAAGTAATATTTTTCATTCCTTACTTATATACAGTTTTGTTCATACGAGAAAGATTTATAATGTCGCTGATTTGAAATTCCAATCGTTACAACTGATATCTATTAAAGTCTTTTTTATAACTGTATTTTGTAGGCATTGGTACCAGGAGCGAGGCCACTGTCGATAAACGAGGTCCGTTTGTCAAAGGACGACGACGAGGAGAGAGATCGTTACCGGGCTAACGAAAAATGGTACAACTCTAACGAGGGACCGAACGATAACAAATCCGACGATGAAAGTGTCGCGCAAAAGAATGGTACCTTGAAAAAAGGGGACGGGAAAATCGACAATCACATAGGTACTTGAATTGTTTTCGATGCTCGATTGGAAGTGTTCCTATTCGTTCATTGTTTGAATTCTGTCTCGCAGCAGCACGCCGGAAGATATCGATCGTGAAAGAAACACCGCACGTCAAGTCGCCTAGTCCACCGGCTACGAAGCCCACCAACATACTTTTGATCAAAAACTTGGTTCGTCCTTTTACTTTGAATCAAATTAAGGAGCTTCTGTCGCGTACTGGCACAATTGTCGAAAATGGATTTTGGATGGACAGAATTAAGTCTAAATGCTTTGTAGAGGTACGTATTTGTCCGAATGTACGTAATGGCAGGGGATAGAGCGACTAAGGATTAATTGGTGTTATGGAATTGTCGTAGTATGCAAACGAAGACCAGGCATTTGAGACAAGACAAGCTTTGCACGGGATATCCTGGCCAGTTTCAAATCCGAAGAGGCTTCACGTCGAGTATGCGACCAAAGACGACATGGAATTGGCGCGAGAAATATCGAAGGATCAATCCATTCCAAGAAAAACAGAACCACTTGTACCGTCCGATTCGTGGCAGCAGGATTGGAATCGAGACGAGAAAACAAACACAAAGGTAGTAAACGCTACAACAAAGAAAAGAACGGTTTATTTGGAATTCGACGTTTTAGCAGTACGTTATTTGAATAAGTTTACTGTTCATTAAATAGGTGATGGTAGTTCGGGAATGGGACCTGGGCAAAGAGGACGGTCAGCAGCACATAAAGGACAAAGAGCGCGAAAAGAAGGATCACGACAAAAAGAGGAGGCAGAGGAGTCGAAGTCCTGCGGGAGAAGCACACCTCCCAGCTCCAGCTCGTAAATTTAAAAAAAAAGAAGACGAACCACCACCGGCTAAGCTTTTAGACGATCTCTTTAGGAAGACGAAGGCCACTCCGTGCATATACTGGTTACCTCTTACAAACGAGCAGGTGGGTCAGCACGTCAAGCAAGACACGCTTTCTTCTAAATCACTGAACAAAAGGTCGAGAATAGTCATATTGTCATGACTATCTGAAAGTGATACGTGATTGCAGATTGTCGTGAAGGAGGAAATGAGAAGGCAGCATATGGCGGAACACGCGCGTAGATTAGAAGAAATGAGACGCGCGGAGAGAAACAATAGGGACGGCCGTCGCCGTCGCAGCCCAAGAAAATAATTCTCTGATCGTCCATTTGTCGATAAACGTACCTTTCCTCTTCTGTAATGCAAAACCACCGATTGTCATGAGTTCCCCATTTTTAAGACGGTTTTCAGATCTTAGAAAAACGAAAACAAGATTATCCCCTTTCTTTCATTCTTCTTAGAGTCGACGAAACTTTTCTTTCAAACCGGTTCTTAAAACATTGATTTCCCCGTTATCGATTTAACACTCAATTCCAATTCGCAGCCAGTTTCACCAATTAACGTTGTAGTATGTGTGCGTTCGAGTTTGTTAAGTTCTTTAAGAATTGCAAACCGCCCTGGACTTTGGTGCCGCCGTAAGACGGTGCCAGTACGTCCGTTTTTTCATTTCTTTTCTAGCTCGATTCCGCGAACTAGTCTTTTCTCATCCCTTGTAATTCGTGTTTATATTTCGTTCGTTGACAAACTGTGTATAGATCTTTTGCATGAATCCAGTCGTCCTGCCTCCAGATCTCCTTGCTCTCCCCTGGAATTTCAGCATTAAACTGTACTTCTTACAGGTCGACATTAACTATTCAACAGAGTGCTGTAACTATAGAACACACACACACAATAGTGTCCCCGCATCGTCTAGGAGAGACGTGAGCATCGTATTCTACGATACATGGTAACGCGACGTCGCAATCCGCGCGCAACACCCTGGGAATCGAAGAGCAATTGAACGGAAAAAAAAAGAACAAAAAAAACTGTCCACGTTAGTAGTGAACGCCACGAGACGAACTTAGTATTCGTGATCATTGAAAATACTGTCTTAAGACAAAGGAGCAGAAAAAAAAAAGAAAAAGAAACGATAAACATCGAAGAGAGATCGGGGCTAGTTGTTGGAATCAACAACGAATGCCAGTCCAAGATAGCGATACTTTGTGGTTCATCGAGTGACATGATGACATCCATCCTCAGTGTCGAACGGGAGAATTGCCCCTCTCCACGGATTTATATTCTTTCTCTCCCTCTGTTTGTAGCGTAGCCTGACTTCCTTAAGTTTGACATATACTACCACAAATTTGGTAGTAGAATGTAAAGTTTTGGTGTTTCTCGGTTCCGCGGCGCGCAGTGACACTCGCACAGCCGGAAACACGTTTGTACATAAAACGTATAATTCGATATTCCGCGAGGTGACATGTAAAATTATCAATAAATGTGAAACACTCTAGGATATACTACGAAAGTACATTTGCCGCTTACTTTTTACGATATCGCACTCTCGGACATTAGAAATTTGTTAATAATCCGCGAATAAGATCGGAAGGAACGAGGTTTGTGAAACAAGAAAAAACAAAAGAGATGTTTTACACGGAAAACGAACTAATTCCTTAAGTTTATCATGTCGTTATGTAATTCTCCTGAAAATGAATTATCGCATCTTAGTAAAATGAAATTCGTGAATTGATTTGTGAAGAAAATTGCGTAACAGGCAACCAATCTCGGAGTGAAGTTTGCTTGGGCTTGGTCGCAAGTAAAGGGATATGTCTACGTAAACTTATCCGATCTTTATTTATATTAACATTATTAACGCTAACGTTGTAATTGCTTTAATTTACAAAATTCATGAATTACAGGATGTGTGCATGTCAGCTATTAATTAAAAAATATTTCACAGTCACAAACACTATCTCGATAGAAAAGAAATTAAAGGAAACGAAAAATCACAAGTTCGGCGTTTGAATTAATGACCAGTTTGTACACTATGTATCTTTCTGCAATTAAACTAAACTTACAGACGTTACTTTCGAGAACTGCTCTTTCAAGGTTTAAACTAAAACTTGGTAACATAATAACGTAGACAGTCTAATACTTGTACAATTATCACGCAAAAGAATATCTTTCTTTTTTTTTATATATAGAAAAAACCTATAAGCCGTTGCATAGTCAAACAGAAAATTATGATTCATAATATGTCAAGGACTGAATAAAATGTATCCTTTGTGGTCCATCGCATTTCCTTCACGCGACTTAGGTTAGTTTTAATTAATATACCTTCGAAAAGGAATTTCCTTGTAACGTTATAAATGGCGTTGTTTGTAAATGATTGTTCCGGCACATCACGATACATTCAGTTTACAAAATAATGCCAGAGCACCAGACTACAAAGGATTCGTCCTCCCGAACGTGGTAAAAAATGCGCACATACGTTACAATTACATTTTATAATCCAGAAAGTTTGTGAAATACTTGGCGACTTGAATACAAGACGAAAAGAAAAGAAAAGAAAACGTTTTCTTATTTACACTGTAGACTGTTCTTTTTAATTACGCGTCCATGATATACGATACTCCTATCGATTAAACGTTACACCTGGATTACATAATTGAAGGCCCGGAAAGCAGAACAGACGGTGCGCTCGAAGACGATGAAAAGTATTGCCCAAAGGACAGAAAAATTAATATTTTTAAATTAAAAGAAAAAAAATAAACAGTACATGTATTTCATCACGGCGCATATTTTTTGTTTCTGTAACTTTTTTATGCGATCATTTTTTATTCAGATAAAAATTAAAAACTGGAAAATTTGATCCGTAGGGTTCAAGAAAGTGTTCCGCAAAGTATAAGGCGGATTGATTGAAAATTATAGAAATGGCAACGACTTATATCTTATATCCAAAAGCGCGCAGCGCGTGGCGTGCTGATTCAAAGTTGTCATGACGATACTTGTAATTACTATTCTGAATAGTGCATAATTAATTATCATCAGTATTATATTCAAATTTGATAAAATAACGTGAAGTTATTGATACCTAAAATGGAAACTGAAGAACAACGAACTTTATACATATTTTCAGAAACACCGATTTTAATTCGATAAAATTTTCCAGTTTTTAATTTTTATCACAATGACAAAGTTACCGAAACAAAAAATATGCGCCGCGATGAAATACATATGCTAGTTATTTTTTTCTTTTAAGTTAAAAATACTGATTTTTCTGTGCTTTGGACAATTCTTTTCAGCGTCTTCGAGCGCACCGTCGATTCTGTTTTCCGGGCCTTCAATCCGTTTGTAACACTTATAAAACGTATTCTTGTAGCCTCAATACGTTCGCCACATTATCAAAATGACTCATACTAAAGAATATTTCAACAGTGACTGTATCGATAAATTTGTATGTCATTCGGTTACAAACTTTTGTATATTATCAGGTAACAAAGCAAATGATTAATGACCTGATTCACGACCCCTTTTATGCACGTGTTTCGAAGGAGAAAAAGTTAAATCATTCGTCGCGCCGTATTGTCAAACAGGCTTTTAGAATCTAGAGAAATTAGTGCCAGCCTGTAAATCGTCGTTTTTTAATTACCTTATAGGAATCTGTAAAGAATAGTAAATAGTAATGGAAACCAGAATCGTACTGTCAAGCTTCCATAAAGATAAGGACACAATTATTGGCCTCTTTTTTTCTCCGAGATAAAACACTCGTGCATAAAAAGAGCAAAATGCTCGTATGGCTGTCACTCATCTTTGTTATTATTTACTCACACCACATTCACTTTATTTGAATGCGTACCATTTGCCGATATATTAATCGACCTTGACGACGCTGTAAATTTTGCGCACGAACCAAAAGCAGGCAAAGAAACCAATCGAACCTGTTTAATAAATGAAACATACAGTAATGTTCTCGTCCTAACATTTGGATTTCCATTAAACAAGACAAACACTTTACCTGTCAGAAGGAAGAATAAGTAAACCATAATGCAAGTATAGCCAAAATAGAGGAACGTAGACGTAGCATCTTCTATATCCAACTTGGTCATGAAAAAGTGTATACAGTAAACTAATAAATAAAAAGCAGTGAAACCGGATGTTAGAAAACTGCGCCACCACCAATGGTAATCCTGAGAAAAAAAAAAGAATAGTTCAAGTTTAAACGCACAGAAAAATTATTTTTCATTAATGACTTCCACAGTAATTTAATTACCTCCGCGCAAAGGTGGAAATAACAAAGTAATATCGTCGTTTCTGAACATGTGATAACGAGAATAAGAAATACCAAGAAAAGGAATCCAAACATGTAGTATACTTGGCTCGACCTGAAAAAAAAATCGACTTATATCGAGAACACGACCTTTTACGATATCATTACTTGAGCCAAGAAAATACGATGCTTACCACAAAGAATTGAGTATAAAGAATAATTGTATAAATATACATCCAAATGGCAGAACTCCACCCATTATCACACCGGGTATTGGTTGCGTATAAAAATTTTGTTCCGGTATTTGCCGAGGAATCTGATTAGTTCTTACGGGATGTTCCAAAGACTGAAATAAGATTACGACACAAATAGAAGAGTTACGAGTTGGAAACTGGAAGGCTGTATTTACTACTCTGGGGAAAAGTTGATTTACCCTTTTCCTAAATCCGAAATAAGCGCCGATGAATGTTAATGGGAGCGATACTCCGAACCAAAGAGCCAGAAGTGCGATAAGAGTACTAAAAGGTACCGTGGCTGAACTTCCATTTGCCCAGAAAATCAAGTTCATTATAAAGAATAAGCTGAACACGATTCTGTAAAATATAGACATTCCAGTGATGTAGTCTTCAAAGTTCCAGTTATTCATATTTCATCGGTCAAGCACATTATATTACCCAGGACTCAACATGGATGTAAGCAGTACATTCGACTTCCATTTCTCGCCGCCGAAACTTTTATATATTCTAGCGGATACATAGCCGGCAGTAGTCCCAAGACAAACGTACAAGACCATGGCGCAAGTCATTAATGCGCCTCTGTTAGCCGGTGATAGGAATCCCAAGCAAGCAAATGCTATAAAATTAAACAAATTCTAACGAATTTCATGATCGAATTCGACTGGAAGTAGTAAACAAAAAGAACAAAAAAAAACCTACCAAGCGTTACGAGAGTCATGTAGAATACTTGTACACCAGACCCAAGCAAAACAGAGAGCAGCATTCCCTTACGAGGAGGTCGAAATACATCACCGTGGACCAATTTCCAGCCAAACTCTTCCTGTGCGTCTTCTCCTGATTCTATCTGAAAACAGGCCAGGGTTATTGCAACATAGCCACGAGTAGTATGTCACAGTTTCTTGTGTATAACTAAAGGATTTAGTGAGAAATACGATTATTACGCCAACGCAAATGATATTGCTTTAGTGTACCTGATTATATCGTGCGATATCTTTGTGCAGCGTTCGAAGCATTATCATAGCCACCATACCAGAAAGGAAAAGAACAATTATCAATGAATTAAGAATACTGAACCACTGGATATTTGTGTGTGGCATAGATTCTAAAATATAGTCCCATCTGGATGACCATTTGATCGTTCTGTTTTCCTATAATCCGAAAAAGAGAATGACGAATGTACCTTTCGGCTAAAAAACAATGTTATAATTGTTGTAGAAAAACTTACGGTAAACGTTATGGAATACGTATACGTGACAGTTAATTTTTGGCCAGCTGGAAGTGGTGCATATGGTATTTCTAAGGGCAGTTTGCTTTCGCAGTTAACGCCATTGTTGTGTCTGATACTCTTAGGTACCACTTTAACAGCTATTAAAGGGGCAAATACAAAACTAAATAAAATGTAATATATACAGACGAATAGTATATAGACGCAGAATCTCAAAGTTCTTACAAATTATCCGTCCACCGTTCTCTTTGAATGCAGATCCCCATTCTTCTTCAGCACCACTATGGTATGTAACTGTAAGGTCTACATGATTAAAGAGGTAGTAGGTATTCGGTTTGTTATACGCGCCCTAACAAAGGAAAACTGTATCAATTTCAATTAAGATCAATGTATATTCTAAACTAACGAGAAAAAAATATGGATACAGCATCAGTGTATACTTACATTTATACTGCAGGTATCTTGCTGAGTTCTTGGCTCTCGAGAAAAGCAGCCCATAGGAAATCCAGTGCTGCAATATTGTCGTTCGTCTTCTAATTGATAACACCAGGTGACTGGCATGTTGTCTAAAAAAAGGCTAAACTTCTAATCTATATTTTCAATATGTAAATTTATTATATCATTACAGTCTTACCAACTATCCAGTGATGTTGATAGTTAAGTGCCATTCCTTTCTTTAAAAATTCTAATTTTTTTTCTTTTTCTAAGTCTCCACCTTTGTATACTTTTTCACAGGCAACCTTACATTTTATATCTTCTAAGAAGTTTATCTAAAAATATAAACATGTTTCATGTATTTTGTCTTTTGATTGGTCACAATTAAATTATGCAATTTAATTTCTTTGTTGTTTAACATATGTCTGTTTTATAAAAACAAAATAGGGGAAAAAAGTCCTACATATATACCTTGTAAGGGGAAGGCCTTATACGTTCACCAAAAACTACCTGTCCTAAATTCTCAACAGGACTCTGACTTTCATCAGAAAGACAGAAGTCAAAGCTGAAATAGTTTTTATAAGTTAATGTCAAGTTATATAAAACTTAAGATAACTGTAAAAAAGTTGTTAAAGTAACAGCAGAAACTTACTGATGATATTCATATGGAATCACATATTTCTCTGTATTTAAACGATTCACATACAGCTTAACTTCAGACTAAAAAGAATAAAGAATACTTTACAAGGCAGGAAAAATCACACAATACAGAAATTTATAAGGGAGTATTTAAAATTGTTTGCAAACCTAAAGGATTTACATACCATTTATAAGTGTGTAAAATACATTTTGTAGAGTTGATAGATAGTATATAGCAAACTTGTAAATCTTTTTAAGTAACACTAGAAGAATTTTTTATACCTTGGAACTTGTTCTTATAGAAATTGAAAATATTCTTATAGGAAAAGAAAAATATTCTTTATAGAAATTTGAATTCCATTAGCTTTCCTCTAAAAATTAGTATGTGCATGTGTGTGTGTGTGTGTGTGTGTAAAACGAAATGTTATGGTCAAAATTGTGCCCAGTATGAAGCTTGTTTAGATTTTTTCAAAATAATATATGCTGGTGTTCGACATACTAATTTTACGAGTTCGACATATCTTATCGATCAACTGCGAATTTTTTCATTAAACCTTTTGCGGCTCAATTTCGGCCCTGTGACTGACATGTCAGAAAAGGCCACGTCGAAACATTTTCCAAATTAATCCATGATTAATATAGAAGAAACGAACATGAAATTATAATAGATACTCGTTGACTGTTGAAGCGGTCTGTATTAAATTGCCAATAATATGGTATGAACAGTGAAAAAGAAACAAAAGGAATTACAAAAATTGAAAATACCATAACCAATCGGGAACAGGTTTCAAAGATAATGTGTAGTACGCACTTTACACGTTTCTGAAGCATCTTCAGCCTTACAATAATTGACGGGTGCTAGACCCGGCAAATAAAAGGCCCAGCTACACTGAATCGTGCACAACATGGGCAATAACCACACCAAAGTTATTCTCGCCATCGTATTGCTATTATTCATCTTTACCATTACTAACTATTTCCCTAACGTGAAAAACATAGGATACTACACTGCCATGATACACGTCATCGATAACGACATTAAACATAGATTGCTCGGTAACTTTGCACATGGCGATTTACACAGGTGGCACAAGAGCAGCCAAGAGCAGCCACTGCAAAATGGATTTCCATTGACACCAATTAATATTTAAAAATTCCCTCGATCGTTTATCGATACATCATTATTTATTAAGTACGCAACATTACGTTTTTTAAATGTCCGATTGTCTAAATATAGATTTTCATGAATCAATTTACATTTATAGAAGAGAAATTCCATAAATTTTTGTTTATTTTCGGTAGAAAGGTTCTTTCAAGTTTCAAATAATTCGAAAACTTAATATTTACTATAAATATATGACATTTGCAATCTACTAATTAATATAGAGTTATTTCACGTAAACTTTGCAAACTTTCAAGCGAATTACCCCTCTTCTTCATCTCATGTTCTTAGCATCACGCAATCATTTTGAATGATTAAAAGGCAAGAAATAAAAAACCTAGCATTATCTAACAAAACATTTGTTTACACATAATCAAACTTTTAATAGAAAAATTAATGTTTAATTCATTAAAGTTCTTGTAAATTAATCTATCAAAATGTTAATTTGCATAAAGATTTGCAGTCTATTATGTATTGTTATGTATGTATAGTTGTATAATAAAGAATAGTTAACCTTCCGGGAAACTAATACTAATCAATTAAATAGTTATAAAAGATATTACATACATAAGTTAGAGAAAAATAATTATTTCTATTATATGCCACTCGCGATGCATTCTGTCATTCTTAATTTGATCATTGAATTTTTCAAAGTAATATAAAGCCTTTTTTTCTTAAAACAATTCATGTATTAGATATTTAAGTCTATTAAAATAATGTATATGTATACTTTTTCTTCAAGCATTTCATAAGTATAATGCAAATATTCAACAAAAGAACCTGATTATCATAATTTAATTAACACTGGTTGTATCAAAGTATCTATTTACTTACTTGTGTGTGCCTTAATTATTTTTATTACCATGTACCATGATAAGGTTTGATGTATAGGAACCACCAGGAAAAGGAATCGTTCATTATGAAAAAATATCAAAATCAGGTAAAACATTGATTTATTTAAAAATTCGTGAAATTTGTTTGTAATTTATAAAAGTCTGTAGTACTCATGGAAGACATAATATATATTGAAAAAGCTTTCTACTATAGCCATAACTGAGGGCGAACAAAAATAAAAACAAAGTCATTTCAAGTGTAAAATGCGATTAAAAGTTTTAACATTATTACAAAGAAGATTAGGCTTAAAAGTTTCTTATATATAAATGTAAAAAGTGCTCAACAATTATTTCACTCACAGGCCATTGTTGCCGCGTTTGAGCGGACATTCACGCATTTATTAAATAAAAAGAAATAAAAGTATCAGCTACCTTAAAGATGCATGTGCTTTGTTCCTTTTATTATCGTACAAAATGAGAAATTGATTTAATTCTTCGGGAATGTTTCGCATAACACGAGGCATCGGAAATACCACGGAGCAGCGATTCGATTATTTGAACGATCTCTGCTCTATCGTAACAGCTGTTATACTCTTTGGAGTCGCAGACTCCGTATCTCTTATTCCTATTCCTTAAGGTATCGCATAAAAATAATAAATATTTCTTGAGATATTCGGTGTTATACGATAGGCAAGCGATACAACGTACAGACGATCAGGCGATGTAAACGTTCGTAATGCGCGTATCGCTGAAAAAGTAGCCCTTCGACTCTTTTGTTATAGTTTATTCAGTTCAATATTGTTCATTTTCCGAGCAATTAGATGAATCTTAAGTTTATCTCGAACATCTAGCTCGTATTATGCAACAGTAATTCCAGCTGTTTGAAGATAGGTTCTTAGGTGATTTGCATTGGGTTCCGGAATCTGACCAAGAAGGTTAGGTAATTGTCCCGGGGATAATCTTCCTAGTCCTTGTGCCAAGTGCAACCTCACATCGCCAATAGCTACGATGATTAATACACGCGTCAAGTAGAGCGTAAAAAAATGCAAAGATTATTGCAATCATACCTTCTAAAGGATCCTTTGCAGGGTTCTTCGCACATATAAGTTGATTATATCCTACTTGGTATCCAGGCACAGTCTCGGTTTCTGGGATCATATCATCTTCAGGTATGGTGCTCTGGTTTTGCGGCAGTTCGAAGAATTCCACTAATGCCGCTAATAACCGCGGATAATACGTACTATACGGATTTTCTAGCATTGCTGGGCAGTCGATCAGTAAATTTGAAATTGCGACTGCTGTTACTTTTCGTTCAATATCGCCCGATACCTTCTGCAAATCCGCTAGTAGTACACGTTCCACGACCATACCGAACATTCTGCACAAAAAATAATTATTCTATAACTCCTGCTATTCAGATTCCGTTAGTAAATAGTATCTTAACGAGAAAACATTTACACGTACTGAGGTTGTATTTGATCGACGATAGTAATTAAATTACTTGAACCATATCTGATGATATAGTAGGCAAAGAATACAATTAGACCCTTCACGAATTTCGTTGTCTTTGATGATGAAAGCCTTTGGAAGAATAGTACAAAAATTTGTTTCATATATGGCTCCAACACGTTCCTAGAAAGAATTTCTTCTTTTGAGTAAACCGACAAGAAAGAATGCATCTTTAAAAAAGAGAACTTACGGCGCAAAGTGTTCGATAATACTTTGAAGTAGCAAAAAGCCCTCTTGATCGTTCACTCTTGAAGCAATCAGCTTCTGAAATACACCTAATAATCCGCTCATCTTTTCTTGTGCGACGATATGTTGCGCGCCGTGGCTAATGAATGCCCTTAATAAACGGTTCAACGAACGAATGTTGGTTTGACGTTCAAACAACACGGACGACAAAAGGCAAGGGAACAAAGCCAAATATGGTTCTGGTAGGTCCGGCGTAGTTCGCAATTCCAAAAGCAGAGCGAGAATTTGAAAAACGTATGGTACAAATTCTAAAATATCTTGTTGTAAAATGCCTTGGAAAATCGGGAATAGTGCCTCCTCGAACGATGAGACCGCTACCGGATTCGTTTTGCAAACGATCCTATAAATTAGAGATGAAGATGTCTGAATTTGCCAACCAAAAGTGATTCTACTTCGCTTTTTTTTGTCACATTTCTAGTAGCGAACTTACTTAATCGACAATCCAAAGATTTCAAAGAGATAGTGATTGAAGTTAGGACGGCTCGGATTTCTGGATACAAGAGCGAGCTTCTCCGTAAGTTTCGGCAAGAGATCCGCCAAGAATGGCACAACAATCTCTTGTAGGGTGCCGAAAGACCTCATGATAGCTTTCATTACGTATTCGTTTTCTTCCGAGCCAGGCATATTTAAACACGCAAATAGGCCTTTTAATAAATCTGCTGCCAAAGACGATAAATCATTTCCTTTAACTCTGTAAATGAAACGTTGAATTAAAGTTGTTCTAATACCGTGAGTAACGACATTGTTTTCCTTACAGAGGCAAATTATCAGGTCCTTTCAACGCGAGCACTTTTTCAATTGCACAAGCAGCATACGTGTGAACAACGATGTTCGTGGCACTTAAATGCCTGATTAATTGTGGTAAACTACCAACGACCATTTCCCTCGGTAATATTGATCTGAATGTCATTATAAATTTGATTGCATCCGCTTTAAGTACTGGGAACTCGTTTACTGTAAATTGTCGTTTAGAAGTAAATATTAAAAAAAATAAAACATCAAAGATTTGCAAAAGTTTCATTGTAATCTTTCGTACCATTTGGTTTAAGCAATTCAGGTTCAATTTGTTGCATCGCAAATTGGGGCAATGGAACAAGTTCACTGCTTTGGGTAACACCGTGTTTCTGCGTTTGAGCTCTACTCGCACTGCTAGTTACTAAATAAATCGCAGCATCTTTGCTTCGCCAATTTTCAGCCGGTTTATCCGCATAATTTTGCAACATGACCTAAAAATGAAAAATAATAAAAGTACAAGAATGTTCGATACATATTTTAATTTTACGTCTATGATCTGATGTTACCTGTATGTACGCGCCAAATATTTCCATTATTTTTGCTTCGAAAGACGTGGAAAGTACTTTAACCAAGTCGCATGCCGCACGCCTTCTTGTGTCCACATCACTGCCTTCAATATCTCGTCTGATGTATTCTTCAGGATTATCTTCAAATAGCTCGTTATCCGATTCTATGAAATAATAAATATTATTTTTATTATAAATCAATTGTACTCTATAATTAGACGAACATGAACCGAGTAGTTTTTCATGTTTCATCAATACCTCTAAATTCCATATTAGGTATTATAACTTTTTCACAAATACTACTCAAAGTAGTTGGGTCCTCGAACAGATGTCTGTATTGTGTACGATCCGCCACGGTCGCTAAAAACTGCAAGGCATTCGAAACTAACTGGAAAAATATAAAATTTTATTAAAATAACCGTAAATTCAAATAAACGTGAATGTAAATTTATTTCAAATTCACATACAGCATCATATTTTGTTTGCTGTCCTGTAGACGTAAGCAAATTCCATATAGCCGTTACAAATTCGGGTAAATACGGTTGAAATTCTTCGTCATACTTCTGTGCATAAAGGCCAACATTATCACAAACTTGTGATTTTAATTGTTCAATTACTCCTGGTTCTTCGTCATCCTGAAAGTATACTGAACATTGTAACACAGATTTATTACGATCAGGCAAAATGTAATAATAAATTTGTATGTAAGAGTACCGCAGGTTGTAACGACGGAACATTGGTGTTTAACAGCGTATGAAAATTCTTCATCCAAACAGCCATTTGATCTTCGAAAAATTCTGGTAAATCCTAAAAATTAGACATGTGTGGTTCGCTTAGACTAAAAACTTAATACTAGTTATCGTTTATTCGTTGCTTCATTCACTCACTTGAAAATTAAGAGAGTAGAACACTTTTGATAAAATTACTAATGAACTGTACACCACTTTCAACGCATCTACATTGTGGGCATGAACTTCTGTTAAATTCATTGTAGCCTATAACGAAGTATTACAGATTAAACAAAAAAGATGTACCCTCTCTATGCTAAAGATCTTCAACAAAATACTTACAACAAACAAATCTGTTAAGGGTTTAGCAAATTGGTCTAATACAAATTTTATTTCAGTCCACAGACTTTGACTTTTAAACTCGTACCTATATCTTTTAAACAAGGAGTGAGCAGTGTGTAAAACACCATTAATTACATGAAAATCTCCTGTATTAAATTTCTGAACCATTTGGTCTATAAGGTCTGGCCACTTATTTGGAAAGTCATACTTTCCAATAATGGAAACAGCTTCGGATAACTGTTTCTGAATCGAGTCAGGTGAATGTAACATCAAGTTAACAATCAGCTTTTTTATAGCATCCCTGTCTTGTGCATGTATACGATCCACTGAATCTTCTTCCTACCAATAACCAAACCGATTATAGTGCATTCAATTATGTAAATACTATTTTGGAAAATAATAAAAAGTACTTACCACTTTCCAATTACGTTTCACATAATTTTTAAAAGCAACTGCACCGGCTATTCTAATAGTTATATTGATTTCAGACTTGTCTACCAGATGTAGAAGAAGTAGTGGATAGTTTTGATTAATTTCAACAGATTCTAAAAACTTTTCGGCTAAAATATAAAACAAAACTAATTAGACACTCACATTTTTTTTTGCATCTAAACATAAAGTAAAATCATTAAAAATACATAAATTGGTTGCATCAAAATCTTAAAGGAAAAAATCATGGAGATTAGTTATACAATCAAGTTCAATATGCACTGATGGATATTAAACACTCAAGTGTGTAAGATTTGTTTCACCTATTTGACTAATACTTAGAAAATTAATGGTTTATTCCATGTACCTGCAATGTTTCATCACAAATGCAACTTTTTGTTAATATACTTCTTAATTGAAGTTTCTCCAGAGATATACAATGTGTCCAAAATTTAGGCACATTAAATATTATGCAAATAATATGCAAAAGTAAGTACATTAAAATATTTTCAAGAGTGTTAGGACATTCTAAATTTAACAAAAGCTATTCTGTAACATCATAGTCAAGTTGTCTCTGTTTTGCAATAACAATAAAAGTATGGTTTATAGCAAGACTCTATTGGAGTTCTGACTTAACTATAAACCTTCTGGAAACTAAATTTAAGTTATTTGTCTTTAAGGAAATATATTTTATAATGTAAGTCAATACCTTTATCAGCATATAATTTTCTACTATTATTCTATGAAAAACCCTAACATAATGGTAACTTTAGTCATGAATTATAGTTGCAGGTGTATTATCTGTGAGGATTTTAAGCTGTTCTGAAATATTTACTACTTTCTTAAACAGCTGAAATGTTCAGGCTAACAAACTATTTGAAAATATTTATTTCATCAATGTATGTAACTCTCTGTTGCAAATTCATACTGTTAATTATGAACTATCATTACTGCAAACAGGACGTAGATCAGACATGATCTTATAGGATATTTTTTGTTTCATTTGAGCTCTCCTACCATCCCTTAAAGTAGTTTAACCTATGTACCATTGTACACCCTGTTGTTATTGAATAGTAAAGCGTAAATGGATTATTTATGAACAAAAGAAAAATGTGGAATCCCTATGTAATGAGAAGATTCGATTCGACGATCGTATAAAAGGGTCAACAAGTGTTTTAAATAACACTTCTTAAAATAATAGAGGTTATATTCACCTGGTCGTCTGACATTTACGTCCGGGCTAAGTGTATGCTTTAGATATTCGGTAAGTGTGAGCAAATTGTCATCTGTGAGCTCCATATCAACTTATCTTAAAAATATCGTGTTCTCACAACTCGAAAAAATATTATATTTTTACAAAAGTACGTTCGAATACCGCAGAATACCACCGGCTTTGGATAAATTCAATTTTCTAACCAACGACCGTCGCCGGCCGGTTGGCGCTTCGTTCAACAGTTTACGCGGGAAGATTCTTCGTTGAAATAAGACTATAAAAATAACGACACAGTTTTTTCTTACAAGTACCAATTATTTAATGTGTTAAGATATATCAGAACAAACATTTAAAAAACTAAAAACCAATAACAACGGACTCAATACATTATGGTTCCTAAAAAAGAAAATAATATTCTTCCTGGTTATTCCACTGGATGGAAAATTAATTAAGTTCAATGTCCAGGCGCACAATGGCGATCTAGATTTATTTTTGAAAATTATTTAACGCCGTTCTTTTCTGACTTAACTCGTTTCTCAATTTCTCCAATGCGCGTTGTGCAAATTTAATTTTCTGTATTTTGTTATTATTATTCTCATTATTATTAGTCCTGTATGTATCATTAAAGAGTAATAATTATTAAAGTAACGTCAAGGGTGTATAACAAAGTACTAGATTGGTAACAACTGTACTTACATTGTATCACTTAACAAAGTGTCGATTTTTAATATTTCTTCTATACGACTGTCGGAAGTCGAACGGTTCAGACCATGTCGTGTTTCCAACCTCTCTAATTCTTTTATTCGGATTGGCAGTTCTTGTCGTATTTTTTCATACTCTTGCTGGTGCTGTTCCATATTCCTTGACAAATTTTCAAACGACTATACATCATAGATGTAGATTCTTTGTTATTAATTATTTGGATTGAATACAGCGTGTTAAACATATACAATTGAACTTACATATTTAGTCCGTGCGCGTAAAAAGTTCTCCGTATAGTTTACTCTATTGTTTAAAAAATTAGAGCTAGAAAAACCATGGAATTTTCGAGTTATGTATTTATAATGTAGGAAATTACAAGGTGTTCCACGATAAGTACCTGTTGAAATAGTACGTAAGCCATTGACTATATGAAAAAACATTGAAGCAAAATTTTATACTGCATAAATCATTGAATTTTTCGAAATTAAATGATTTTTATGGTCTTATTTTTAAGGTCTCTTGACTGGCTATTTAAAAGAAATGTTGTTATTTACAGAAAATGAAGTTGACCTTCAAATGACCTTGGAACAAAAGAGAAAAATACCTGATTTATCTCAACAGATTTGGTGACTTAAATAATATACATTCTTTGTTCGCAATTAAATTTAAATTGTTTTATAAAGTCAATAGTTTAAATGGTATTTCAACACATTCTGTTTCTAAAAAGCAATAAAAAAGAACCATTCTTCGGATGAATATTCCATCCTTTTCACCATCAAACTTTTCAATTCTTGTTCCAGCATATCCACCAGTTTTGTCGCCACAAAAATTGTTTTTCTCGCGTTATTATCCGTTTTCTCTAATGCGCTGTACTTGAGTTGTGCCGCCGAAGCACTTATTTGTAAAGCAGAAAAATGCAATTCCCAATAGTATCGATTTTGTTTGTACGCGTCAATTGTTTCTTTCAAATCCGTAAACTTAAAAAATCAAGAGTAAAGCATTTACATATCTATACGTGTACAATTGCGGAATGATTAACAAAAATTACTTGTTTCAATAAAAAGTTGATCCGATCTGCTTGATTCTGGACTTCCTCGTATGGTGTTTCAACATTTTCTTGAAATGTTTCAGTCATTATTATGTTAAATTACCAGTAATTAGCGCATATTTTCACTGTATTCTTATGATTTTTAAACTCTTAAATCGATATGCACATGTCAAGATAGGTGACAGCGATACAAAAAATGAATTATCGTGGCCTCTAACTGGAAAGGACCTTCTACCACTTGGTAAATTTATTTCAAGTACTGAAATATATGTTAAATCGAATGTTAATTTGGCATTTTCAATAATTCCCGATACCAAATTTTAGGAGGCCCTTCTTCTACGCCACTTTTTTCCGTAGCGGAAGCCGAGTTTGCTCGTGAGGGTACAGTCACGTTTACAATAAGTGGAAATGGAAAGCAATAAAAAGTCACGTTAGTCAAGTGTCACCATTTTTGTCGGACCATATACATGTATGTATAAAGGTTCGGGCAATAACTATTACCACCTCAGATATCTTTGAAAGTATAAGGTTGACAGAAATATTTATTTAACCAAAATTGCACAGTACAAATTATCCGTCAGGAGGGGGCAAAAATATTAACACATCGACTGCCACAGTGAAAAAGGCAGTACGTGGTCAGACACGCTTTATTTTGTTTTTAAAGTCATAAATTGTTGAAAATGTATTGTTAATAGAGGCTGTAGGGCGTGTTTGAAATTATACTGCAATATTAAATATTACGCAAAAATTTTGTAACTCTCAGAAGGGAGGGGGGGGGGAGCAAAATTGAATTTTTGTCTTGTAAGGTGGGGCAAAAATCACTTTTTCCTCAAGTGCCCCCCTCCTGCACCCCCCCTGTGTATGCCCATGGCAACTGATTATCAGGGTACCCACTAAAATAAACTATAAGTTAACATCGAATATTCCCGAGAACATTACTTTTCCTAAAAGCAATTTTCGTGTGCAAACTTATAGTATATTATGGCATGGATCCCTTTTACACAAAGCCTCCCCCCCCCCTCCAATTGTACACTGCATGGTAAAAAAAAATAAAAAAAAAACTTAAGGAAAAGATACAATAAAATCCAGCAATCCAAGACGATACACTTTCACCTCACGCGATTCAAGCTTAAAAAAATAGCGTGTTCAATCAAACGAAACAACGTCCGTCTTAATTTAACGATAATGCCTTACTCGGAGATCTCGTGGACACCTCGACCTCTGTGAATTCGGTGTTATCTCGTGGGTAGCCGAGGGGTGGCCAGCGATTTCGTGCTCTGGCATTCTCCGTGGATGACAATATAAAGCCATCCCGTGGGCTTTTCCTCGTCTCAGTTGACGTACCGTCAACCTGTCCTGAGTTCGAGCCACAATTGCATAAATCAAGGGACCGTGAGAACATCACGTGTGATCGGTCGTAAGCAACGATCGAAAAATGCGGGTGATCCCGATGTGGATCATCGCGGTGATCCTCGCCGTCTGTGCGGTCGAGTCCAATCTTATACGGGACAAAGGTAAGGGCCCAGCAATCTTATTAGTAGACTGCGGTAGTGTTGTTAAAATGAGCCTCGGGTCTTGAGCTTTAACAGCTCGAGTCGTGATTCAAACCCTAAAAAGACTGGAACCCTTAAGGTTCGAAGCTTGAACCGTAAAAGCTCAAGTCTTTAACGCTCGTGCCTTCAAGCTCGAGGGCTCGTGTCGTATAAATTGTATGTAGTGAACTGATGTACAGAGCTTGAGTTTTCGAAGCTTCAAAGCTTAATCTAAAAGTTTCAGTTTTGAACTCTAATATTACAGGAAATTCAAGTTTTTAAAGCTTTAACTTCTTGCGCTGGAAAGACGACTACACACGTCGAAATTACACGCATTTGTGACCTGGTTGTCAGCGCAAGTGGTCAAGGGGGAATAATGCAAAAACGTCTAGAAAAGCGTGTTTTTTGTAAATTCACAAAATATTTCTTCACGAAACTATTGATTGAAATCAGTTGACGAATTGTGACACAGCAAAACTCCTAAGAGACTGATACTAAGAAAGGAAAACACGAAGTAAATAAATACAAATACAAAACGGAAGAACGACTATGTTTTCTTTTTCGCTTATATTAAATGTACATTTCGAACATTGAATACGAGTATCAATACAAAAATCGGCATGAATTTGTGGAACCGAATATTGTGTCTATGCTAACATAATGGCCGGTCATATTCAAGTTTGTATTGTAGTTTTGTTCCATTTTATAAGACGGAGAATTAAGTTTCTCCTGGAGAAAATGGAAAATTTATTATAGAAATTGAAGGGAATTATAGCAATGGTTCTATTATGCAAGTTGCGATTTTTATAAACTTATTTATAGAAGGGAAATTATGTGGGACATTTATTTCCTTTATCCTATTATTAGGTCCAAAATAACGTATAATTTATAGTAACTTTACTGTAGTTTTCACTGCATCGTGTTTTGTACATTCATATTTCCGTTAAATGCATAAAATCCGCAGTCTGTGAATAATTATTTATTACTATTTTTCATACGGGGTCTAAAGTGAACAGTCTCTGAGATATCAATAAATTTTTGGTCACAAGGTGTTGAGATTCTTATAATTTATTGATAAACCAAAAATGTCCAAATTATGTCATGTTTAGTCTTATTTTAATTGGAAGAACCTCACCAACATGTTAACAAAATTGACTGATATCTCAGAAACTATTCTTTTTTTTTGATACTTTATCGAAATCCGGGAGGAAATATTGGATATTCCATTTACAAAACTGAAGGTGACCGTTATATGTTGGTAAAAATGTAATAGTAAGAAACATAATTATTGCATCATAGTACCCCTTGATACCATCAAACTTTTGTTTAAAATATTTTTTCTCACAGCTAATAATTTCCGAGTAGTTGAGGTGGTCACGTTAGGTGAACTACCCTTTAAGTAACATTTCTTGTGATGTTACTCGTTTGCTTTTCTCGCCATTAACATTATATGTTTATTATGTACGTGTATCACAACGATTGGAAAGCATACCGTTAATAAAAATATATATTAGTACCAATGGCGATAAAAGGTAATAACGGCGAATATTGGAGTACAACGATTAGATTCAACATTGTATATATGTAATTATTTTGTGCCAAATTTCCGGGTCACTGGTCATAAATAAGGTTACGACATTTTTACATACCTCAACACGTAAAATCCAGACAATCTGCAGATAATAAACAAGGTCAGGAGATAATATTATCTCACTATCTGACCAATTCTGAAATATATTAACAAATAAAACCGAAACTTTATATATTATATTATAATTAGATTGCGGATTTTGTGCATTTATAGCGTATATGATTGTTTAAAATTTTTAAATTGTAAAAAATTTGACAAGGTTTTCGTTTTATTTGGGACCCGATAGAATCCTTAATAAGGTAAAGGAATTTCTGTTTAATGTCAATTTTTGTGAAATGGACAAGAAAAATCTATATTTGCAGTCTAATTATAATATATTAATCGATCTTTTAATAAACTTATGGATAATTGTCTCGGTAAAAAAGAATAGGGAATCATTCATTTGAAGTAGTGTTTAGTAATTGTCGATTTGTTATTCCGTGTTTTCCATCATATATTGCACAGCTTCTTAAATCGTTTTAATAATAACTCGTCTACTTGTAAATTCAATTTTATATTGATTATGTATGAATTTATAATGTATAAATTTTAGTAAAGAGTAACACTATAAATTTCACCTTTATTTTCGGACCTAATAACACCTTTAACACATTGACTGCCAGACGAACGCACAGTGGGCGGCTGAGGAGTAACGTTTACAAGCGGGCACGAGGTGATGCCTCGTGAAAACGAAATACAAAAAAAAATATGGAATTTTTTTTGAAAATATGAAAATTTGTTCATCCTAGGCTCTGTTTTCGAGCAAAATCGAGTTCGAATAATCCCATTGCCTGCGTATTGCAATATTACAGACGGCGAGCTGTCGAAGAAGTCCCATTCGATCGGCCATTCTCATGACACATTCGATCATGTCGATCGATCCGACGATTTTAAACCGTTCCGGCGGTCCAGTCGTGCGGGCGCACATCATAGTACTCAAGTAATTGACGAGGAAGGTCCATCGGCCACGACCGTCAAGAGAGTCCGGAGGCAAGCGAACATGGTGCTCCAGAGTTTGAACGAGGATGGTAACCGAATCAAATTCGAGAACGCTCTATGACGAGAGGCTTTAGTATTGGGTCAAGTACACAATTCTTTACTTTAAGGGGAAATTTCGGTTTAGGCGGCCATTTTTACAACCGATTTCATGATTTCTTATTTAAGCGACGAAGAAAGTTACAATATTGATACTTTTCTATTATACCCAAAAGTTGGGGCGAATCGGATATTTCTCACTTTTCGTTTTTTACTTGCAAAAGATTTAAAATTTTTTTTATTTTTTTATTATTAATGTTCAAGTTAAATGTGTATTAATTACGAATTTATAATACATAATTAGCTTTCTAAACTTTAACTATTATTGTTTTACTATCAAACAGAAAATGGTCCGATTCGCCTCGGTCTATCCTATACGTATCTGGACTCCAGAGTGATAGTGTATTAAGTCCACTCTTTTAAAGAAATTACATTTTAAGTGTTTCCTGTAAAAATTATTTCGTTCTAAATTGTTTAGTTTTTAATATAATAATGTAACTAGTAATATTCAGTCCATATCTTGTTTTGAGCCAACAGTGTAAATTCTTATCGAATGATTCCAAAGATACAAAGTGTTTTGTACCTTTGATTTGCTCACCTCTAAAGTTTCAAAAGTGTAATTTAATATACTTTTCCTCTGGGTCCAAATATATTTCTCTTAAAAGCATTAAAAAACATAGGATTCCATTTAAAAAAAACAATCATCAACAACATCAGAAAGTGTGCTCCCTGACACCATTTAACTTTTGTTTGAAACATTTTTTAATAACGTCAACAGTTTCGAAGATATTCGAGTGGGTCGATTTAAATGGGACACCCTGTATATTTCTCTATAAATATATAGTTATAAGGAGTAAATTAAGGAAAAAATTACAGTTGGACCGAGTAGTATAAGTGTCTGGTGTCTGAATATTAAAGTAACTCATACCATATCTCTGTACTCGTGATGCAGTTCACCCAGCAATCTAACGTTTCAGTTTTCGTCAGCAACACTCAGTTAGCAAGAACCCTGAACCAGCTGATCGAGACTACCAAAAAGGTGTGGGTGAGAACCGAATTAAACGTGAGTACTCCCACCGCGGTCATGCCACATTGAAACCTCATATTCTGTGTACACATTTCTATCTTATACATTTTCCTTACCAGAAAGAGGAAACGCAACTCCTGCGACAAATGATCGAAAATTGCGCTGCCTGTCGGGAACCTCCAGGTGAGTGACGTTCCGTTGTATCAAAGTCACGAGATACCCTCTCCGACCCCCCCTTTGTTCGTCTCTACTAATGTAGTCTGTACACATGTATTGACAACAAACAAAATTTAAACTGAAGTGTTATCAAAGCATGTAAACCAGAATAATCATGGATTTTGTCGACTTTTTCACTTAAATCGCATTTTTCTTAAAATCCTAAAGGGTTAGACATATTCTGCGGTCCGATTTGATTTCAGCTTGTCGAAATCTATAGAAAATGGTGTATAATAAGTCATTGAAAAAAATCAACCACTTACTATAACAGAGAAATCAAAAACATTAGTTTTTTTACGAAAAATTCTCGAGGAAAAATACTACTTCGGAGGAATCGTTATACCAACCCCGATAGAAATCTTCTGATCCCTGTCTCGAATTCCTCCACAGTTACACCGCCGCCCACGCCATCCACCTGCGAATACAATTCGCCCTGTTTCCCGGGGTCTGTTTGTCGCAATACACCACTAGGACCACTTTGCATTTCGTGCCCACCCGGGTTCACTGGTGACGGATACCAATGCACATCCTTGGTCCATCCATGCGCGAGCAATCCGTGCTTCAGCGGGGTCCGTTGTTACGAACAAATGAACACTTACAGGTAATAATACAGAGCTAGTTATTAATAAATATAAAGGCTTATCTGCTATGTACAGTGGGTGATCAAATTATTATGAACACTTCGAAGTACCATTCATTTGAATTTTGATGAAGAACGAAATTGAAAATAACCTTATAGTAGTACCATCTTTATGACAACGATTATAATTTCTAAAAAAATATACAGACTCCTCTCGATTATCGTCTGGCTTGTTCTACACGATTATTGTCCAGGCGTTATCACCACCACTGGGGGCGGGGGCGTAGAACTTGTCAAGCGCATACTTTGTTGCCCCACCGCTTTTATTACTAACGCTCAAGCTTCGAGTAAAAAAATAAATTTTCGAGGGTCTGAAGCATTTCTCTCTATAAGATTATTGTCCCGTCGCGGACCCGTGTTCGGGACAATAATCGAGAGGAGTCTGTATGCCAATGTGCGCGGCGGTCGACTCTGGACTGCCGCCATCTTGTTTTCCGTGCGCGCGGACTTGAACCGCAGAGTCTGAACGGAACCATCTCGGTTTTGTTTCGTCTCTTTACACCGTGTTTTCATTTAGTTTCACGTCAGATTCCATTTACTGGTACCGTGACACGCTTCTAGATGCGATCCTTGCCCGAACGGCTACATCGGCAACGGTTCCCTTTGCATCGACGTGAACGAGTGCGAGTTGAGTCAACCCTGTTACCCCAATGTCCGATGCGTTAACCTGCGTCCCGGGTACAGATGCGAGTCCTGTCCACCTGGGTACACCGGGTCCATCGTGGAAGGGGTCGGTCTGGATTTCGCTGCCTCCCACAAACAGATCTGTCAGGACGTGAATGAGTGCGAGAAGAACAACGGTGGCTGCGGTCCGTACACGGAGTGCGTCAACACCCAGGTACAGAGAGTAACTAGCGAAAAGATAGAACGCAGATCAGACATTCTTTTCCTGTCTAATAAATACGAAAGAAAATTGCACGTTTGGTGCGCTCTGTATACACGGTGATTCACGAGAAACAGAATACCCAAAATCAGGGACTTCTACCGAAACGTAAAATACCGGTATTTTCGGTTGTACCTTCGCCCTATATAATCGTATATAAGCCCTACCTTTATAGAAACCGAAAAAATACCGGCATTTATTTCGGTAATATATCGGTTTCGGTATAGTTTTGATGGCATAATACCGGTATCAAAATCATATCGGTTTAAGTCCCTGCCCAAAATACCGAGTGTAACAAGGAAGGTTGCAGGTCTCTCAAATGGGAAACTTGTGAGGCGATTTGGAACAAGTTTTTCCTTAGCAAAAATGTTATCCGTGGCTTTGTTAACGAGATATTAACGAAAACAGCCCGACCAATCAGAGCGTGAGTTTACCGGCCGAGTTCCCGCGGTAACGTTGGCTAACAATCGCAGCGCGTAGTCAGCTTTACTGCGGGAACTCGGCCGGAAGACTCGCACTCTGATTGGCCAGGGTTTTTTTGTTAATATCTCGTTAACAAAGCCTCGCTGAAAAACACTATTGATTCGACATTTTTTGCGGATATTGAGAAAGACACGTGAATGGGAACTAAATTATACACGACAAAATTGGTAACATATTTAGCACTTCTAGTCTATCACCGATGTGAAACAATTATTGCAATAGCATTCTTCTTACCGGGTGTGTCCTATATCTCGACTCGTTTCAGGGTTCCTACAAATGCGGCCCTTGCAAGCCTGGCTTCGAGGGAAACCAAACGGTCGGTTGCCACGCGAAGGGCAATGTCTGCCCTGATTTGACCACGGTCTGCGATGATAACGCGGAATGCGTGCCTTTCGACATCGACCGGTACAATTGCAAGGTAAATATCCGAACAACCGGCTAAAGAAGCGATCGAAACAGTGGACCATTACGAACAAAAAGGGATTAAAAGTTCTTTAAAGTCTTTATGTAAGGACGACAGTTCAAACGGTATACAGGGTTTCCCAAAATAGCTTCGATTCTCAGAAATGAGGAGTTCCTAGGATGATTTGAAACAACTTTATTCTTAGCGAAAATGTTATCTGAGGTTTTGTTAATGAGATATTAACGAAAAACCCCAATCAATCAGAGCTCGGCCGACAGACTCGCTCTGTGATTGTTCGGTTTTTTTTTGTTAATATCTCGTTAACAAAGCCTCAGATAACATTTTTGCTAAGGAAAAAGTTGTTTCAAATCATCCCAGGAACCTCTCATTTCCGGGAATCGAAGCTATTTTGGGTCACCCTGTATTTCCCTGTTACCGTCAACGTGTTTTAAATAGAATCGATGGCGGATGACCTGTCACTAATTGACCCTTAGAGGACTTATGATAGGATTTTGAAATGCGTGTGGTCTTCGAAGAAGACGCATGAGACTAAACGGACCAGGCGTCGCATGGTGGCAGAAGATCACATTCGGTCCTTCGGCCATCAGTAACTTAGAGGTTTCTTTATATGAAACAGATTCGCGAAAGTTAGAGATGGCAAGTAGCCCGACGTGCAGTGCTTCCAAAGTAATATTTCGTGGACAACATTCCGTAACTCGGTCAATTCTCAACAGACTTTGCTCTTTTTTCGTTCGTTTTGTCAGGGAGTAAATTTGCTAAAATGTCATACAGTAACATTCAAAATTGTCTTTAGGGATTAAAGAGAAACAAAGAAATTCAGAAACCTTAGTTCCGAAACAAGAATATTATTAAACATTTTTGTGGAATATATACATATAATTTAAAACCATTATTAATATTTATGTAATTTTTAAAAATACTATATTTGCTAAGATAAATACAGTGTGTAAACTAAACAGGAACATATGAATTCTAAAAGAACTTGCCATAAAAATATATATTCATTTCTAAATTATAGAATTTACGCTTGAATTATTGTAATTTAATTAATTTTACAAACAAAATATTACTAACATACAAAATATAAGTAATATAGGAACTGATATAGGAACTCTAACTGAGAATGATATAATCTAATATTCAGGGTCTTCGTAAGAGTGTACTCAGAATAAAGGTTCTTCGTAACTGATTCAAGAACCTAAATCGATATCGTAACAGTTTACAAGCCCTGTCCAGAACCTAGAAGGTTCGTAGTTCTTACTAAAAATCACAGTCCCGGGAGGATAATATTTCTGACATACCGTTTCTAGTGTCGCGTCGGATGGGCAGGCAATGGAATAGTTTGCGGCGTGGACTCCGATATTGACGGGATTCCGGATGACAATCTCCGTTGCTACGGTCGACGGTGTCGCGCAGACAATTGCCCGATGAGACCGAACAGCGGCCAAGAGGATGCGGACATGGACGGAATCGGCGACGCTTGCGATCCAGACGCCGATAACGACGAGGTACCGAACACTTTGGATAATTGCCCGTTGCATTCAAACCCGGGCCAAGAGGACACGGACCGCGACGGCGCAGACATGGTCGGGGACGTCTGCGATAACTGCCCGATGGTGAGAAATCCGAGGCAGGAGGACACGGACAACGATGGGGTCGGCGACGCTTGTGACAATGATATCGACAGTGATGGTATGGTTGACGGGAAGAATGCAGATTCTTTCGTTTGTTAGAATCACATAGAATATCTCCGGTATCTACAGAAAACAGGCTCGATTAAGATTTTTTGTGGCCCGGGGTTATCAAATTTTCGTGGTCCCCTTTGTTTGAAAAACGAAAATATATAAATCTTAAAAAATTCAAATTTATTTTAAATAAAATTAAATAAGATTTAATCATAACGAAACTGAAGGTTCAGTACAGGACCCCCTGGAACGATGATCCTGAAAAGCTCTCGCGATTGTGAAGGCCCTAAACAATTGTCATTTTGTAGGGGAATTTTTGTTCAGTGAACGGAATGTTCAATATAAACGAAGTGTTGTCTATTAATTACCACACTTATTGAGAGTCTAAAAAAATGTTTTTTTTTTTTAAACTTTTAATAGTTTTTGAGAAACGATAATTTATCAGAGTGAACATTTCCAGTAAGTAGGGCAGTATAGTACTCATTCGAGAGGAATAAAAAAACGGTTAATCGACATAGGTCCTGAACTCGATCCTGTATATTGTGGCAGACATATAGACTTGTGGATCTTTATGCAAGTTTAGATTTTTATCGATTACTTTACTGTACTGAAATTATGCCACAAATACGTTTAGTCTATCAAACATTTTCTAAGATCCTTAACGCCATTGTGTTCTGCACTTTACGATAAATATCAGGAAATCTGCAGTCGACTCAATGACGAAGCGAAGTTGAATCGACACTGACCGATTTCCAGGCATTCCGAACACCCAGGACAACTGTCCGAGAAACAAGAACAAAGATCAGACCGACTCGGACAACGACGGAATTGGAGATGCCTGCGACAATTGTCCTAACCATCCGAACCCGGATCAACCGGATCGTGACGGAGACGGTGTGGGCGACGTTTGCGACAACAACAACGACAGGGACAGTGACGGCATCCAGGACGACAGGGACAACTGTCCCGACGTGCCGAACCCGGGGCAAAACGACGACGATCACGACGGCATAGGGAACGAGTGCGACGACGATATAGATAACGACGGGATACCGAACGATGTGGACAATTGTCCTTACGTCTACAATCCGGATCAATATCGCAGACCCAATACGTTGGGTAAGCAAAGGGAATACAGGAGCTGAATACGAATCTACAAACCGTTTTTTCCCAGCACGTCCAGTTTTTGAAGAAATCAATTCTTAAGAAAATTCGGTGTCTTTTTCACTTTGATCATTATTTAAACGTGTTTAGGTGTCTATAATATAATAACAAGTTATTACATCATTTTGTTCGGGAGAGTCCACGGAATTCTTTCGTGTGACAAGCAACTGGAGAATTATTACTGTAAAAGAACAACACATGTTCGAAATTAAAACTTTGCAATTTAAAAAAAAAATGGATTTTCTCAAAAACTGGACCCGCTGGACTAATATTTAAAGATACAACCAAAAACTCTGGTAATTGTTGAATAATTTTGGAATGAAAGGGTAACTGCTGGCTAGGTGTCTCTATTCGTTCACGAAGAAGTATTATTTTATTAGAAAAATTAGAATTTCCCCGTTTAATCAATGGAAAACGGCGAAGTACCTTTTCTTTACCGATTATTATTAGTTATTGGAAACTCGTTGACCAGGTAATGAATTCGCCCATCTCTGATTTGGACAATCACATACAAAAGTCGACGATACGTGTACTCGCAAAGAAGGACCAGAAACGTGGGTCCCCGAATTTAAAAAAATATTTCACTTTTCAGAAAATATTGGCGAGGCTTGCTGGAACGACTACGACAACGACACTGTGCCCGATATGCAGGACACCTGTCCCAATAACAGCTTGATCTGGACGACGGACTTCCGTAGGTACACGACCATCGCTCTGGATCCTCACGGGACCGCTCAGGATGACCCTGTGTGGAAGATACATCACGGAGGTGCCGAGATCGAACAACTCCTGAACAGCGATCCCGGAATTGCTATTGGTAACATTTACTCCGACGTCCGTGGATGAGGGCGATCACGCGTAAAAAGTGTAGGAACATGCGCGTAATAACACGAGTGTCCTACGTTGAACAGGTCCCGACGTATTCAGCGGCGTGGACTTCGAGGGCACATTCTACATCGAGGATGACAAGGACGACGACTTCGTCGGATTCGTGTTCTCGTACCAAGACAACCGACGATTCTACATCGTCGCCTGGAAGAAGGGCCATCAGCCCTACTGGAAGGACCGGCCGTTCCAGGCGATCGGTGATCCAGGTATTATGTTGAAGCTCGTCGACTCGGCGACCGGGCCCGGCGAACTCCTCAGGAACAGTCTCTGGCACAATAAGGATACATCGAACCAGGTGAAGATACTCTGGCGGGATCCGAAGCAGATCGGCTGGAAGGAGAAGATATCGTACAGATGGCATCTGATACACAGACCGAAAATCGGACTGATCAGATTCCGGTTGTATCAAGGGAAACAGATGATGGCAGATTCCGGGAACGTGTACGACTCGACGCTGAAGGGCGGTCGTCTCGGGGTTTACTGCTTCTCACAGGAGAAGATCACCTGGTCGAATCTCATGAACACGTGCAAAGGTGAGAGAAAAGGGGGAGGGGGGGAAGAAATAGAAACGAGGAGGACACGTTCCTCGGTCGTTCTACCATTGACCTTGTCAGTTACACATTTTGTCGACTCTATTTAGGTATGCTAACCGGTAGGGTTAAATCGAAATCGAAATCAATTGACCATTATTACGGGTTTCGTTCTCCGATACGAATAGAATAAGGTCGGTTCTCCGACCGAAAACCGAGTTTCCCCCGTGTCTCCGAGAGCTTGCTTCCGACATCATGCTTCTCACTTTTATAATAATAATAATAATAATAGTTTATTGAGACGGGCTAGTATTCGCCTCGTGTACATTCAAATAATAGAGAGAACTTATTATAACAGCATTAAACTTAATCATATTTATCTTTAGAAACAGAAGGAAAGAACAAAATAGAAAAAAATGGAAGTAATAATACACAATGCATACATTCACGCCAGTATATGCCCGCACGCACACATACATCCGGGACCAAACTCGGCTTCCGTTAGGGGAAAAAGTAATGTAAGGGAAAAACCTCCTACCACTTGTTCTTGGAGTTGCTGAAATTTATGCCAAATTAACATTTAGTTAAAAATTTATTTCAGTATTTGAAATCAATTTACCAAATGGTAGAAAGCCCCTTCCTCTGTGTCACTTTCTCCCCTAATGGAAGCCGAGTTTGCTTGTGAGTGTACATATACTTTTAATCCTTCTTGTTCCCCGTTTCGCGGGTTTTTTCGTTCACCGTATGGGAATTGCACGACCACTATGTATCGTTTTCGCCGAAACTCTGACGTTATACCATCGACTGTACGGGTAATTCTCTGAAATCTAGTTAGTCTCAATTTCATAGAGGTCCAAATGATGAACAAACGGTATGTCGCGAACGTAACTATTTTAGAATCAGCTGTTTTATTCTTAGCACCTTCTCGATCCTCTAACGTTAACTTGAACTTTTCAGAAACTGTGTCGCAATCGATATGGAACGACCTGCCCGACAATTTGAAGCACCTGGTGGCCAGTGAACCGAGCAACGAAATAAGACGTTAACAGTCTCAACGTAGCGTTGACTACAACTTCTTTTCAATCCCCGTTTCTAACAATTGGAATTGAAAATTTTTAACAAGTTACTGGAAAAAAACAAAAAGCAAACAAACCCACGGAACAGCGAAAGTAAAATTAACGAACTTCATTCTTCTTTACGATGAGAAATGTAGGTAAAAAAATGTCGCTGTTATATAATACGTACTACGAAACGAAAGAGGTGTGTATGTTCGCAAAAGAAAGGGAAATTATTATACACATACTTGAAAAACATTTGCGTTCTTAACGTAACTAAACATTGGAATGAATCTTGTGTCCATTATATGAAATCGATTTAGGCTTTACGTACTGCTATTAATATTAACTAATATAATTATATCAAATATATAAGTTATTAACGCCGAGTTAAAAAAAAATAAATAAAAACTCCCCTTTTCTAACAAAAAGTTAACTACATGAAAAATAAAAATATCAATAAAAAAATGACTATGTACATCAATATAAAAAATAATCAATGTAAAGGACAATGTTAAATAAAGAATTACTTTATTCGTACATATTCTTCCGCTGATTGAATTTTTTTTATAAATCTACATTCTCTAATAACCAGTTGTGTACAAGATTCGAGAAAATTGCCAGCAATAAATGACAAAAGTTGTCTAAAAAACCATAGCCATCTCTATCCGCATTTGACTTGGGTTTTGCAGGCAACGTCAGCTGACAAAATGGTACAGCAAATTGGCAGAAAGTCTTGCGACATGTGCTATGTAAAATTGAGGGAAAAACCGGAACAAGGTTTGCGCAAGCCAATTTGCTGCATATGTTGCTGCCAATGTGCGCGCAAGTTGTTTATAGCAAATCTTCCATAAAACTTGTAGCCATAACTTTATAACAGGCATTGGACAAAATTTGGCTTTGCTGGTTTGGCTGACTGGGTTGCTTGAAAAGACTAATAAGGTAATCGTTCAGAACGACGGGTACACGTAAAAATAACAAGTTGCACGGTCGTTATTCGACTTGACCGAAACCAATTATACTGTACGTACAGGTAGGTATGTGTATATATATTCAAATATACATATATCAGTTAACATAGGTTTCATTTGTTCGAGTTGGCTTAAATATTCTAACTACATAAGTAAATATTGTACATTTTTATACTAACCGTTGCCTGTTTCAACAGGTTTCTACAAAAACTACTGCCCACATCTTTTAATCTTGGGCTGTTCGAGTACGTGAAGAAACTACCATTGTTGCCTATAAACAACTTGCGCGCACATTGGCAGCAACATGTGCAGCAAACTTTAATAATTAAATACTCTGCTGCCTAGTAGCCACTAAAATTTGAGTCCTATGTAAACTGCTTGATATAAATCAATGTTCTGCTATAACGCGGGGCAGCAGACGGTCGCGAACCGCTCGTCCAAACCGGCCTTTAGACGTTTCTGTTTATGAATCACACATTTCCATAGTAACGAAATGCAAAACATAGTTAATAAGCGTTCACAATTTTATAGAACCTTATGGTACATGTGTATCACTTGTAAGCTTGTATGACATAGAAATGGATTGCGTATAAATAAAAGTGAAGAGAAACTGTGTATCAATACCTTTGAAGTCAAGACATCAATATAAACGAATCATATACAATGCAAAGACCGTCGACAGGTATATCTGTACTACAAAATAAGTTCGACAAATCTCGCAGATTATCAAGAAACGAATTAGGGGAGTACCATGCCTCTTCTGGAAGCACAAGGCCAGCTACACCTGGCCAAAATGTCTTGGCAAGACCACCATCTACTTCTGTTTTACTTAACCAAACACAAAGCAATAGTTTTCGATTACCCACAAGTTCTAGCAACTCCATATATTTGAATAGTGGAATCGCCACACCTGGACAAACAAATATAAATGTTATAGAAAGACCAATTACACAGCATGGAGTGGCTGGTGTTAGACCTGGAACGGGTAGAGGATTATCCATGATGAGGTAAATTCACATAATCAAGTTGTACCCATTGTAGTAGCTAATAATATCAATAGTTTCATCCCTTTTTACTTTATGATTCACCGGCTTCTGTTTCCAGACAAATTCAGGACAAAAGATATTACAGTGGACTCATGCAACTGAAGATGAGGGACTTAAATCAAGAAATTGCCATTCTCATGAAAAATATTGAAGATCAAAATAAAGAAAGAGCTACCTACCTCCATTACGACAAACGAGCTAAAGATTTAGCTACAGAATTAACAACTCTGCAAGGACAGTTGGCTGACTATAATATTGTTGTAGATAAAATGACATCCGATATTGGAAAAGAAATTGTACAACAAGAAACAGAAGAGCTTGCAACAAAGAACGAGCAAAGTTTATCAAGAATTGAAAACATGTTTGAGGAAAGGAAACAATTAGAACAACAATTAAACAAGTTAGAAAAACAGTTGGAAAATGAGAAGAAAAGAAGAGAAAGGCTTGTAGAGAGCATGAATTTGAACATGAGAGAAAAGTATAATGAATTGTTAAATGAAAAAGCAAGCTTACAAGAAAAAACAAATAAAATGCAACAAACATTGGATGAGTTATCTAAGGAACAAGTTTATTTAGAGGAAGAAATAGTATTGTCACCTTTAAAACAGGAAGCTGTTAAGTTACAGCTTCAAATTATAGAAACAGAGGAGAAACGAGGAAAGTTAAAAGAAGAAGAAGAACATAGGATATCCCCGGAAGAAGAAAAAGAGAAGCTTTTACAAAAAGTTAAGCAAGACAACATAGACATTGCAGCTGCCGAAGCTCAATTAGCTGAAAAGAAGAAAGCGATCGAAGAGATCGAGCACGAACTCGAACTATTGGAAACCGACATAGAGGATACCGAGTCTGAAAAACAAATTAAATACAATGAACTTCGTAAGAGAGAAGAAGTTATGGAACAGTTTATGTCTACTTTTGAACAAAATAAACAAGACGAAACAAAGAAGTTATATAAATTAGAAAAAACAGTCATTGGGTATTTGGGAAATATTTCAAGTATGTTAGATACTGATATAGATTTCGTAGATGGTGACGAAATGGCTATATTGAACAATATAATTTCCTATAACAATACTGAACGCGTCAATAATGATCAGAATTCCGAAGGATTGACGAAAGAAAATGTAAAATTACAGCATGTGTTAAATAAGATGGAGATGTTGGAGCAGAGACTCAAAGTAGAATTGTCTGACCTTAATGAAACAATGAATAAAAAAGAAAACAAACTAACGATCTTAGAAGATATAAGTAATTTAAAATCTACATTGTCGACGAAACAGGAACAGTTACTAGCGGAATGCGAACGGTTAAAGAAACAACAATCACAGAATATACAAGAATTGAAGGCACTTCAGCTTGAATACGACAAAATAAAAGAGCGTTTAACGAATAATGAAATATACATTCAGATTAATGTATTAGAGAACACAGTAGAAAAATTAGTGGATGAACATAAAAACATTACAGATTCTATAAATAAGCAGAAAAAACGTTTTAACTATGGTCCAGTGAAAGAAGATACTTTAAATTCAATGTGTAATTATAACACTATATTGAAGGACAATTTAAAAACTGTTTACTAATTCAGATTATTTGTATTTCTATCACTATTCTTTTCAGATTCTGATTCTTAGCACTGACTTCGGTCAATAGCAAAATCTTATAAGCTGTCCTTAGAGTGCACCGTAAATTCTTTCGAAGTTTTTACTGGGTTTTACACCTTTCTCGACATCCTTTTCCGTAGCTTCACAGCACATTTAACTTTATCTTGTTTAACTATACATAAACGTTATTAATTGTATGCTTTTATACGAAAATTTGTTATAAATTAATAACACAGTTACTCACTGTATGTTTTTAGAGTAAAATTACATATAGGTTCCAATTTCTCTTTCAATATGCTTCCACCTACTTCTAACATAGTCAAGATCTACTCTATCACTTTAGATGAGAATGTGACTGGTCTGCATTCATGAATTCAGGATGAACAGAACATCTACTATTGAAATTATCTGATTCTTCATTTGCAGTTACATCCGCAAGCAATTGTGAAATATACTGTTGGGTATGATCAGGAAGATTTAAATTGAAAAACTTTCTCTTTTATGTGTATTAAGTCATTTGTAGATATTACTGCTCCACTCCGCTTCATAGTATTTGCAAATATGATAAAATTATTTATATCGTTTAGTCCAAACTCAGGTTGTTCTACAAAATATCTCAAAAATGTTCCAGCAAAACCTTGACCATTATATGATAATTTGAATAAGAGTTCTACACAGCTATTAATATCTTTTGATTCTGTATAATTCATAATCAAAGAATCTAACAGGAACTGACAATCGACCTTCTTCTTAAACTTTTTACATAAATTCAAACTTTCCGTTACTCTATAAGTATCCAATAAAAATTTCATGAGCGGTGGCACTGTATTAGCTGGTGCTACCCTATACTTAAGTATTTGTTCAATTGTAACAATAAGGTCACTGGTATTAATATAGGGGAATACAAAATTTGTAAGTGTACCAAAATCTAACTGAATATTTAATGCTGCTATGTGCTTGATAATTGAATATATATCAACTTCGTCCCTATTTTTGTATGACTTTGTAAATAAATGTCTGTCTCAACTCTCACCGTTTACCTTCATTTTTTCCATTATGACAAAAGCTAGTGCTTTGTTATTCACATTTAGAGAATACTTAATAGCTTTTGCCCAAACTTTTTTATTGTCTTGCTTCATTGCAAAATCAACTATAAGTTTTAACAAAATCTCATTATCTGTATTCAAAGTTATCATTTCTTTTACAAGACAGAATGCAAAGTCCCATTTGATTTTAATGTTATCTACAGGAATTTTAGTAATAATTCTATGTGCATCCAAATAGTATCCCTCATGTGCCAATTGTATAATTACAGCAATAACATCCCCTTCTTCTTTCTCTAGCGGTTGTATTAATTTTAAAACATCTGATACATGTTCTCCGTTTTTATGTAAACTAAGAAACTGAACAAGTTTCATAATCTCTGATACAGATACATCAGTAGTTGTCAAAGTTGTGATATCACCAGTTTTAGCAAAACCATACATTAATTGTATATGGGTTGTTGGTGATGGTTTTATGTTTGCTTCTTTCACAGAATTTATAACTTCTGTAGCTTTTTTAACATCCCCTTCTACAGAATACGTATACACTAATGTATTATAGACTTCATAATCAAAAACAACTCCGTTATTTCTCATATACAATAAAAAGGCTTCCACAGAGTTGCTATTACCTGTGATCGATAATAATTTTAGTAGAAGATAATAAGTATCATGTTCTGGTCAATTCTGGTGCAACAGTCATCTCTTTCAAAAAATCATCTGGATTAATTGAATGAGTGTTATCTATATATGCCTGTAATCAAGCATGATAATGATGTATTGTCAAATCAACTTTTCTGTCTTTCAGAAGATTCCACACTTGATTTGTTAGTTCTTACTGCTTTTTTGAGTATACAGTGTTCATTAAATTTTAATTGAAACATAACGACATATTTGCGTATTGGGATTCCTTGACCCTTCTCGCACATTTTAATCTAAACTAGCGTATCACTCGATACAAGCAACTTGATCTTGTGTCGGCTACGCGAAAATGGTGCCCAGGTGCCTTTATATTAAATAGTATTATGTATAAGTGGCACTGAGAGGGAAAACAATAATTGGAGTAACTTTCCTCTCCTTCTCATGGGGCTGTTGGTAGGGATTTTTCTACGGCTATGTGGAGACATTTTACATGCGTGCAACGTGCAGCATTCCTTCTTCCATCGCCCTCCAGTCGCTTTCTCCCCTCCCTCTGCGATATGCGAGCAAGAGAGGAGTTACTCCAGCGATACTTCTGTCCTTCGATCTTGCTTCATACTTACCATAAAACCGCGCAATCTATTATATATGTCTATGGCGCAATCCATATCACAGAACACTGTAACATAGATGGGATTGCTTTTTGCGCAGTGTCTTTTAGGAGACAGGAGCGGTGGACAATTATTTTGTTTCTTAAAAACTAGCAACTAGGAATTATTTTCTTGTTAGGAATAGTAGGGGTGTCAAGTAACTTCAAACTTAAACGTTCGGCCGTTCTTAGAAGGCTTAGAATTTAGAAGATCTGGTCAAAGAACTCACGAATCGGAATAGCGGAATACACATGATACACACAAGATTGACATAGATGTCCTGTAGATGTCAAATACGACGAACTGTCAAAACTTAGAGAATGACGGTGTTTTATAAAGAATTTATATATTGTTCAGAAGAATAATTGTCACCGATAAATACAATTAATAAGATTTGAATTATATGAAAGATCGGAATTGTTTTTCAAGATTATTCGTCATTATTTACTTAAATTATAAATCTATATAGATAACCTGGAAAGACACGTTACGATTTTAAAAATTAATTCAATTCGTTATTGAATATTATCTTTTCATGACATTACTTGCACAGTATTATGAAGGTATACAATGGAGGTTTCCGAGACAAGAAACCTTATTAAAGATTTGGATTTAACTTTACAACCTCGTATTGTTCCACGGTATAAAACTTGGCTTCCTCTTGCTACACAACAGGTACTTGTTCATAATATATTGTTTCTTTCAAGGCTAAAAATCAGCCATTAAGTATAGTTTCAAAACAAATTCAGCATTATTGGAAAAAATAATAATAACATCTATTTTATTAGGTTTTATTCATATGCTAATTAATTTCATGGAATATATCATTTTCAGTTGAGACTCAGAAACCTTGTACAAATAATAGGATGTAATTTAAAAACCAATATACATAATGAAATATGTTGGTTTTATTATACTTTACATAGAACAAGTATGTCATCTCCTTTGTACACAAGTGATATTATTGACAACGTAAACCCAAAATGGTCAAGTCTTGAAGTACCAACTATACATGCCACCGGTTATTCTACTGCCAGTGGTGAGCTTTATAATACGTTAGTAATTTAGATATAATCATGTGTTTATTAATGTAACCAAATTTATGGTTTTATAATCAATGGTATTGTATACTTATTATTTTGTTACATTTCATACTTTGTAAAGTACATAAGAAGGATACTATACATTTTTCACAGAGGTTATCATAAGATTATGGAAAAGGACAACTATGGATAATGTATCGAATGATATGAATGTATTTACGTGGGGCATATCCTTTACTGGCCTAGCATATATTGGTCCAAAATTACCGAATTACTTAGAAACTATCTTGAAAGAAAATTCTCTAATCTTTCAATTTCATGGCGGTTACTTTACACCTGTGTATTGTTTTCTTGAAGCTCCGGAGTTAAAAAGGTACCTGCATATACAGGTCAACGCATCTGAAATAAGTGACAGCTATACTGCGAGTAAGCTTAGTAGTTTAAAAAATAAGATGCAGGCACTAAAACAACAGACAGAATCAGTGCAAACTCTCAGAATACGAATTGCTTCGGGAGATAACTTTCACACTCCAAAGTACTCACAGTCAGCGTTAAATAGACTATTTCAACCTCGTAAAGTTGATAGAGAGAAGCGAGCTAAGATAATAAAAATGCGTATGGAATTAGAAATGGCTAGGTTTCGAACAAAATTATTAGAACAAGAAAGAACAAGAAAAATGGGAGAACTAAGAGTATTGATTCAATTGCATTCTAGTATCATGGAAAAGAATCAAGACTATGGTATAATATTCTATGAGTTATTAATGTTGTACTATATATGTGTATATTACAATTTAAGCAAGATAAGTTTTAATAGGATACTTTTATTTGTATTGTAGGTTCAGATTTGATGGAAAGATATAGGGAATTGAATAAAGGCATGGAAAGATTACACGAATGGCGGCAGAATCAAATAGATACAAGAGAAACATATATTCAGTTGAGTAACCAACTTGCTCACAGAAGGAAACAATTAATTTCAGAACTAAGTTTAATATATCCAATTACTAAGGTGTGCATGGAATATTTAAAAACCTATTTTTTTTTTAAATATAATGTTGAAGAATAAGTTGTAATAGATACTTCAATCTATGTCCATACTTTTATCTATTAAAATTTAATTACAATTAATTTTATCATGTAGGATGGAAATGGAAAATTTAGAATACACGATGTACATCTACCCGATAGCGAGGATTTAGAATTGTCAAATGATACTGAAGTAGCCGTAGCATTGGGATTTGTTGCGCATACCACACAAATGATCGCTAATTTTCTTAATATACCTACTAGATATCCTATTATTCATTATGGATCACGTAGTAAAGTCATAGATCATATTAAAGAAAACTTACCTGACAATGAGAGGCAGTGGGTATTTTATTTTTATATACGTTTAATTTTTTCGATTAAATAAGAAATATCATATTTCCAGATTTCCACTATTTGCTCGCAGTAAAGATAAATTACAGTTTCGTTACGCTGTTTATTTACTGAATAAGAATATAGCTCAATTAAGATGGTACTGCGGCCTTCCAACAACAGATTTAAGGGCAACTCTTCCAAACTTAGCTACCTTGATAAACTTTAGGCCAAATCAATCAAAGTATGTAATGGCATCATTGTTCTAATTCAATACCAGCATCCTGTAAAATATTTCATAATCGTTGAACGTTTTGTTATAGCTTGGATAATTCAAAACGAACATATTCTACTTCATCTTTGGACATTGACATTGGCAATAGCAAACAAAACGTATCGCTAACACCACCCATACAAAAAATAATTTTCCAAAAATGCCATCGATCTTCGAGATCCATGAGTCAGTTGAAGGGTATAAAATCGTCGCTTGGTTCTTCTTTGGATCAAGGTTTAGATAAGCCAATACAGTCCCTTGTGTTAAGCAGTCAATCAAAACGGATTTGTAAGTCGGAAGAAAGTGCCATTGACAATAAAACTTTGGTACTGGCGAAAGACAGGTCGAGTAATAGTAGTAATGAAACTTTAAATAATGCTATTTTAAGTAATATGAGTAGCATTAATGTCGAACACGGCATTCCAGCGAACAATGAGATTGCAATAGAAAGTAATATTGAAATTATGATACCCACATCAGTTTCTAAGTCAACTCACGCTGCAGATAGTTTGGAGGGTTTTGAAAGTGTAAGAGATAGAAGCTCAAATTCTATAAGTAGTTGTGAAATGGCACTCAATAGTAGTCAAAATGGAGACGACAGTTCTAATGATAATAATGTAATTAAGAAAGATGCAACTGAAGAATTCGTTTCAGTTACTAATGAAGTTTTGAAAAATGTTAATGATGTTGTAGATAGTGCTCTGAAAAATGGAACGCATAGTGAAGATTACAAGTCCGAAAATATTTCGCAAGGTTGTAATAATCCTAGAATGACAAGTAGTGTAACAAATTATAATATTCATGAAAGTATTGCAATTGCTACTGAAACCTCGACACATAATCAGGAACTTTTTGCTAAGTCATGTTTATCATTAGACGACATAATATCGTGTACTTATGAAGAGAATGAACAGAAACAAAGAACAAGTTCCATTTGTAGTTACCCAGAAGAATATCTTACATCCAAAGATACCATCTTGCGAAAACGATACAACTCGGAATCGAAGTAAGTACTAAAAGGACAAATATTATGTACTATAGTAAGCATTTATGGTAAAATATAACAATTACGGAATAATTTACTGTTTTTTATATTATGTAGAAAAGATAGAATAGACCCGTTACAATCTAAAAATTGGTGCCATAATGATGTAAATAGGGAATCAGTGGTAAGTAAATAGTTAGTAAGTAAATCTACATGTAAATTTTGTTTATGTAATTATTATACTCTTTGTGGTTAGTACAACATTATTTTGTATGATTCCAGATGGCAACAGAACTCGTACGAGCAACACCGAAATTGGACTGTTACTCATATGATGAAACGAACAAATGTGACTTTCAAGCATCAAGCGAATACATAGATATCATTAAACGCAGTTCGGAAAACGTGTATGCGCGCACTGAAGCTTTAGCCAACAAACAAACTAGTTTTAAAGTTATGAAGCCACGATTGTAATATTTACATTCTAGAATATAATACGACGCTGTTATTGCTCTAATAGTTGATACTTAAATGCACCAGACCCCACAAAAATTCAATACATATTTCGGATAGGAATTAGAATATTTATTGTGTTACGGAAATGAAGCCTAAAATAAAGAAGAAAAAACAGGAACATCAAACGAAAAGAAAGATAGAAAATAAAGTAATTATTACTGACTATATGTTGCACATATTTGTTATAAATTTATGTTGTACTTTGTTCATTTTCATATTCTATGACTAATAGAAAGAAAAATTTAATACGGTATGTTACATATTTCAAGTAAAATTGTGTTATGTACAATGTAAAGTATGCGTATGTACATAAGTTTTTCTCATATGCATGTGTGCGCGCGGGCGCGTGTCTAATGTATGGTGGGTCGTACAATTATCACTAATAGTGCTTTTTATTAATCAAAAATTTCATAAGTCTATTATTTGAACTATTTACTGTAAGATAGAATTTCATAATAATGATTACTAACTACAAGTATGATTACTACTATATAAAGATCACCATATATGTTTATATATTTTTAATTGTAATGTTTAGTCACCATATAAAATTGGTATTATTTATGTTTCTGTAAACAAACAATACGATTAAGTTGACTTAATAGATGTATAATTCTAAACAACGTATTTACTTTCATTGCTGTTTCAAAATTTGAATTTTAACACTTTAACGTCCGCACGTGCGACAGAAAATCTTTTGTCTGCCACCGGCATTTGTCAAATAGCTTTGCTCGCAACATCAACGTATCCGATGTCATCGGACGGCATAGTGTTAAAATACAGTTATTATATTTTTATTATTAACAAGTGCTAAAATGTGCGTAAACTATTAATGGGAGGACCAACCAAAATATTAATCCAATTATTATTTATCGAGATAATTCTCTACGGAATTGTAATAAATTAGAATAAAAGAGAATATTAACTATCGCTAACAAGAAATAAAATACCCATCTTGTGTGCAATTCTGTAATACAATACTATAGTATAGAAAGGCATAAAAATATAAAATATTACCTTCTGTACATTGTAGAGTCCGTTTGGAAATAAGAAATATATTCAGGGTATTCAGAGCTAGGGGTGGCCTATGCTTATAGAGTTATACAATGGTCTATAGGAGCCCTAACTCAGCTAACACAACATAGGGATGGAAGAATTAACAAATCTACAATGTTATGCACAGACCTTATTTGATACATCTAGAGAATATTATGTTAAACAAGCCCTATAATTTCATGGACAATCTCTATTTCGGAAAAACATGATATACACAAAAATGATTTTTTACTTAACAAATTGGTAATGAAACAGTGTATTTATATTTCGTAATTTAGCAGTATAGGGAAATACTTAAAAGTAAGAGAATGCCGCCATTGCTTTTGCAATTATTAAAATCTTTTTTATTTCTGTTGCATTTCCGATGATACTCAATAGAATTTATGGTATTTCTAACGTTCTAGTGTTTTAAAAAACTATACAATGTGGTATCTTATTTGTAATAATACAAACAAAAATATTTTACTATGTCTTATGTGATGTATAGCAATAATTTCTTAACTTTACTACATTAATATATTTATAGTATTTATATACAAAAACAAATATCAAATGGTTACTGAATATGTTAAAAATAAAATTATATGTATGATGTACACACATAAAAATATTCACTTTGAAGTCTCATCGATACCAGTCAGTTTTGCACTTACATCCCATAAGCGCAGTGCTGTGTCAGAATCTAGTTTCTTTTTCGAAATGTAGGGTTTACAATCACGGTAAATGTTACCGCTTTGTTCAGACAAGAAAGGTTCTATTGCGCAATGTAACACAGTCTGTGCACCCTGAAAATTAGATATAAAAGAAAATATAATAACAGTACTTATTATAAGAATTGTTGTATGCTAGGTGGAAAGCGTATAGTATAGTTGTAAACTAGTCACCAGAGTAGTGACATTAATTGATTCTGTAACCTCTTGGGCAGTTTGAATTTAATAAGAATTGAATCAGACTTGATGTACTTCAAACACTTTTAAAAGTAAAATCTTGAATCTTTTATCTATGTTTCCTCACATTTCAGTTATTCTTATTGTTTTAACATTAATATATGATTAGAATGTAACTAATCTTACAACTGCACTATATTATTTCTACTGAGTACAAATACTAAGAAATACCTGGTTTGCAGTACGCAAAAACAATAAAGCAACAGGTAAAAAGATAATGTAATGGAACCAACTTCTTTTCACATTTCTAAATAGCCCTGTATAAATAAAACCAGGACAAACCATATATACATTCACACCACTATTCTCAGTCCTTTTGGCAAGTTCAATACCAAAATAGGTATTTGCTAACTTTGAATTGCTGTAAGCAGGATTCATGTGTCCATCAACTGCCAAATTTTTTTCTCCGTTTAAATTTGAAAAGTCTATTATCCCAGATTCAAACATCTTGGATGTCACAATTACAATCCTATTGTGAATAAATTTCTATGAATAAAGAATAAATTTTATTTGCAATAATTACAATTTATGACAAACCTGCTCGGTGCACTCTGTTTCAAGTGTTCCAACAGTAAATTTGTGAGCAAAAAATGACCTAAATGATTTACACCGAAATGAACTTCAAATCCATCTTCGGTTAAAGCATGTTTCTTAACAGGAACATATACTCCAGCATTATTAATTAATACATGAATCTGTGTAAAATTTTTCATCACTTCCATAGCAAACTCTTTAATTGATGTGAGTGATGCTAAATTCAGTTGCATAGGTACCTGTAAAAGTAATATTGTATTTATTTGTGCACTTAGACGTCTTATTGATACATCATAGTTAATGAAGCAATATCAAGTTTATTTACCAATTCTCCTGTAGATATTTTAGAACGTATATCAGTCACAGTGTCTTGAGCACTTTGTAAATTTCTACAAGCTATAATAACTGTAGCTTTCCTTTGTGCTAATTCCTTTACAGTTTCTTTACCGATACCGGAATTGGCACCTGTCACAATAAATACACGGCCATGCAAACTATCCATATTCTTGCATTTTCCCCATGAACGTTCGCGACATTTCCGAAGTAATCCAATAAATAATACTACTGGCAAAATGAAGTAATACCATGAAACTGCCATATCTGTTCGTCAGCTATCTATGTCATGCGAATTTGCACCTTAAGTATGCAAATTTAAAAATATTTGCATACAATGACTCGTTGAAATGAAGACACTGTTAATGCACATTCATGTTTGGTTGCTGTTTATACAGAAACGAATGATTTAGAAAACTTCAAATACTTTCTCCTTCTTGAAGCTAACCTTCTCTATAATATGCTATATTCGATATTTATGCCTTACAATTTTTCGGTAGATCTGTAATATTGGAATATAATAACACCAAAATATTCTGTTTTATTCTACTTTGTTATGTCACAATTTAACAATTTTGTGGTGTCGTTTTCAACATTAAGGGAAACTACATCTTCATCTCTGCACTTTCGAGAGAAAAAGATAAAAGACTTTCAATATGACGTTGAAGTATTACGAAGAAAGTCATAACACACTGTTCTCTGCTATAATACTTTAAAATGTAATTTGCAAACACTTTTATATAGACAGTTCCCTATGTAAATAGTCAATACATTCCCGCTATGGTTACGTTTTCCCATACACCACCATACACATTGAAAGTTCATCATCATCCCCTCTATTTACTTAGAAGAGGGTTTCCAGTGGAAACTTTCCACCGGTTACAATTTCGTATTGAGTACTATCCCACACTCTAAAGTATATAGATGGTTAAAAATATATATTTTATGTAATTGTAAAATCAACCAATAATTAAAGTATTCATATTTCTAATTTTAAAGATACTAGTGGAACATGAACATACTGTCCATTACTTTATTATTTCATTGCTCGCAATAAATAAAATTATTGGAAATAAATGATGTGTAAATAAATAATTTATAAATTGTAGGCACAGAGCAGCGTAGAGTCAGTGCGTGTTTGCCGATTCGCTACAAAATGGTAAGGGGGTTCTACAGCCCCTAAGCGAGCGACAAAAAATTACATTGAATGTTAAGTCTGTCTATATTAGTTTATATCTTGTTTGTGGCATTACCAGGCATTACGTTTTGATCAGTTTTGATCTGTGTAAATTTGACATATACAAATTTCTAATAAAATACTTCTAAAAGAATACTGTTAAAGTTATCTAATTAATTGAACCGTAAAAGCATGTACAGTAGAAATATATTTTAACATAAGTTACAAATTTTAAATACAAAACGTGAGGAACTAATTTATTTAACATGCAATTTGCGTGTACGGTGCTCACTGACAGAGTTTAAATATTTTGACAAAATAGTAATAATAATGATGTTACATAAAGAATAGTATTACCGGTTATATTAAAAAAGGTAGTTATATATAATTCTGACGGTTATAAGAATTATGGCGGATCGTCTAACACAATTGCAGGATACTATAAATCAAGTAATATACATTTTTATTCTTGTTTTGAACGCATTAACGAGTGTGATTATTAATTATATGTATTATTCCAGCAGGCAGAACATTTCTGTAACAGTGTAGGTATTCTACAACAATATTCCACACCTAGTAAGTTTCCTGGCTTTGATCGTGTTGGAACACCACAGCCACATCAACCTCAAGAAGGTACTTTTATTTCATACTTATTGCATAAGTTTCAAATTTTATTTTACCAATTTTATTATTGTTTTTACATAAAAGTATCTTTGAATTCTAGATTATGCAGCTTTGTTTGCAACTTTAATAGCAAGATGTGCAAAGGATATAGATACCTTGATAGAAAGTTTGCCAAGTGAAGAATCATCGCAAGAGTTACAGGTTGCAAGCCTCAGTCATCTTGAACAAGAGAACCAAGAAGCTGGTGAACAATTGGAAGAAGTTGTAAAACAAGGAGAAGCCCTTTTACAAAGGATTCAAGCTGCCCTACAGGATATTGCTCAGAGTCAATTAGATATGCAAGATCCAGCTTCTACATCAGTAGTTAATATTAATCTTAATACTACTATGACTTTTAAACAAGAGAGTATTAATTCTGTAAATACAGTACCCTCAAATAATGTGCACCAATTGTCTGATCCTTCACCAAGTTCTATAAATCAGTGATATATTTCTGTAATGCTTAATACTATCTTCAGAATGTTTTAACAAAATTGATTTCATTGAGCATGTACATATAACATTAAAGCATTTAAACATTTGAATAAAATTAAGAAATAAAATATTTTGTACTTTAATGGAAATAATACATATGTATTGTCAATTGTACTGAAAATGGTTTAATACATAAGTTAAAGTTCTATTAAATTTAAGAAATGATACATGGTTTTTATAATTTTATACTATCTTTTAAGTACTTTTATGAATGTATCTCGTGGTATAGAAATTTTTCCGATCATTTTCATTCTCTTTTTCCCCTCTGCCTGTTTTGCCAATAATTTCTTTCTTCTTGAGACATCACCACCATACTAAAACAGAAGAGATGATAATAAGCATTTACAAGTAACCTGTAACAGAAGAATACTTACCAATTTTGCAGTCACATCTTTTCTAAATGGTTTTATTACTTCCCTTGCAAGAACTTTTTCTCCAACCATAGCTTGAATCACTATCTCGTACAATTGACGTGGAATAATTTCTTTTAATTTTTCACATAATTGTTTGCCTGTTGCATTAGCTTTAGTATTATGTACAATAGTACTTATCTCTTCCACTTTGGTACCATTTAAAGCAATATCTAACTGTAAAGTATAAATTACTCATATAATAAAAATATAACTACTGAGACAATTAATGTAGTCACTTGTATATACTTTGACTATATTTGAAGGTTCATAATCATGTTCCTCGTAATCAAAACTAGCATATCCTGAGGTTAGACATTTTAACGAATCATGGAAGTCAACGATAATTTCATTTAATGGTAATATAAATCGCATCATTATTCTGCCAGTTCCAATGGATGTCGTTGATTGTTCTATTCCTCGTTTCTCACGGCATAAAGATATTATTTCGCCTATGTATTCTTCTGTTTATGTAATTAAAATTTAGTCTCTATGTAATTACAAACTGTACTTACATTAATTAAAATTTAACTATTGAGTATACCTGGTGTTATAATGGTTCCCAATACTAAAGGTTCATAGTATTTTGTCACAATTTGTACATGAGGAAAATGTGTTGGATTGTTAAATGTAATTAAATTGCTACCATACTTTTTAATATTTTTGGCACCAAATATTTCTGCTTTATATGTTACATTAGGTATTGTAGTGATTGGTTGAGCACCGAATTCTTGCTCCAGACGTTGCATAAAAACTTCCATATGCAATAGACCTAAGAATCCAATTCTCCAGCCTTGTCCAAGAGCTACACTGAAGTAGAAGCTTACAAGACATTTTTGTTCTTATGTAATTAATCAACTTAATAAGAACATTGTAAAGCACACCTGGAATCTTTTGCGACAGATACAGCACTGTCATTTAATGTCAATTTTTCAATAGCAGTTTTCATTGACTCAAATTGTGACTGATCAACAGGATATACTCCTGAAAAAACCATTGGCTTTGGTGTTTTAAATTTGAGAAGAAGCTCTACAGGCTGATTTTTTAAATGCAATGTATCACCTATAAATGCTTCTTGGGAAGATCTCATATTACATGCAATACATCCTATTTGACCTGCAAATCTAATTAATCAAAAATATTCATAGCTTGTTTTTTTTTAAATCAATTTTATATACAGGGTGTTCATGCGAACAGTGTACAGTCCATTATTTACTAAACTACTTGAATTATAAGAAAAGTGTTTACATAAAATTGAATGGCACCAGGAGATTACTTAACGGGTTATGGCGAATTTTTATTAACATTATTATTTTAAGAGATATAAAGGTCAAGTTTGGTTTTTTAAATAGAATTATATATTTTTTTTTAAATCACTTGATAGTGCGTTTGAAGACAAATTCATTAACCCTTAATGTTTATGCGGGAACGCTGTATATAATTTTATTTAAAAAATAGAAATTAGCACTTACAATCTGTTTACAGATTCTTCATCAGGCCTTAGTAGTGAAAGAGTTTTAATATCATAAGACTTTTTGGTGTGTGTCGAAGTGATTTGTTGTCCTACTGATAATGATCCTTCTGTGATATATACCAAGGAAATAGCTCCTTTATATTTATTATACCAGCTGTCAAATGTTAAAGCTCTAAATGGTTTATTTCTAAATACATTAGGTGGTGGAAGTCTTTCAACAACAGCATCCAGAACATTATGCACACCAGTACCTAACTTTGCAGATATTTTTAATACATCTTCTTCTTTTATGTCAAATAATGTTTCTAGTTGTTTGATCACTCTATTAGGATTGGCATGTTTTAGATCTATTTTATTAATTACTGGTATTATAGTCAACTTCTGTTTAATAGCTAAATAATAATTAGCTACTGTTTGCGCTTGTACCCCATCGTTTGCATCAACCACTAGGATGACACCTTGACAAGGAACTAAAGAACGATAAACTTCAGCTGAGAAATCTACATGACCAGGTGTGTCTATTAAATTAAGAAGGTATTTAGTTCCTTTGTATGTATAATCAAGAGAAGCTGTTTGTGCTTTAACTGTAATCCCACGATCCTTTTCAACTTGCAAGCTGTCTAATATTTGTTTCCCAGAATTTAGTTTTACTGCTCCTGTCAGTTCTAAAAGTCTGTCAGCAAGAGTACTCTTGCCATGATCAACATGTGCTATTATACTGAAGTTGCGTATATTTTCTATAGGTGTCTCATATTCCTTAAAATCTTCTAAATTTGTAGAATAATATTTCCAGCTATGATACACATGTTTTCTAAAAGTATATACATTATCTTTAATAAGCGTATTTAAAATTAAAATTAAAATAAGTGACACTGACCTTTCAAACGCAGATGCATATATTTGTACAAAGTTATAATTCTTTTGAGTAGACCATATAGAGTAAATACTTTTGCTTATTTTCATAGTGAGATAATAACCGGTATTTCTTATTCGTTTTTGCAATTTAAATTATAAATATTACTCACTCCCGGTAAGATTTGTTCATCTCACTTGTTTATTTGAAATTATTTGACATAACTTGATCTTACAAAAACGTCACAAAAAATGAATAAAATCCTATAATAAATTCTGAAATTTTACAATTGTATACAGAATAAATTCATATTACATGTGTCTTTGTTGGTTATTTACAATATTATGGTTAGAGGTTAGAGGCGAGTAGAATATGTATGTACTTACATACATAGTACAGTGATATATAGTAGACGCTCGATAATTGATCATCTCGGGGATGTAGTGGTTTGCAAGTTAAATAGGTTAAATGCAACACAGATGCATACAAGGCCTGGAAATAGGAGACTCGTGAGCATCAGGAGCAATCAGGAGCACCAGTAGCACTAATCTATATAATCTATATACTATAGTGAAGTATAGTGTATAGATCAGTGCTCGTGAGGCTCACGAGCAAAGTCGGCTTCCGCTAGGGGAAAAAGTGGTGAAGGGGAAGGCTTCCCGCCACTTGATAAATTTATTTCAAATACTGAAATAAATGTTACATCGAATGTTAATTTCGCATAAATTTCAATAATTCCCAATACCAAGTGGTAGGAGGCTCTTTTTCTACGTTACTTTTTCCCCTAGCAGAAGCCGACTTTGCTCACGACGGTACTTAAATAGAAAAGAAGTCAGTTGCAAACAGTCTGAAATTCTGAAATGGTCTGAACAGTCGATGATTCGTATTATCTTCACGTTGATGAAAACGTGAATATTTGGATGTTTTTGTGTATATACAAAACTCTTAAATTTCACGTGTAAAAGGTTTAAATTTATATCAATTTTGTTAATATTTAAGAAACACGCAGTATGTCTATGAAACAATTTGGTCAGGTAACAATTCACATTGTATTGAAAAATAAATTTATCAAAAAGCTAACCAAAAAAAGAACCATATAAATTCTTGTTTCAAAAATATATTTATACAGTCATTCGGTTTATAACAAAATAATTTAATTTATAAAAAGTTTACTAGATTGTTAACTATATATTGTTACGATGTATGTTTAAGAACTATGTGAAAGCAATTAATAAGAATGACAAATTTTAGAGATTGTATTATATACCAAAAATAACGCGATGGTCAAAAGGTATTGGTGCTGAATTGCCAGAAGAATATAAAAAATTTTGGAGAGAATGGAAATTACAAGTACCAACAGCTGTGCACTACATAAAACAAGAAGGCTCGTATGTTAGAGATGAAGAAACAGGAGTCGTGTAAGTGGTTTACAGTTAAATCAGACTTAAAACTGCCATTTTATTGGTTTATAATTTTCCTTCACACAATGTAATCTATCTAAAACTTTCTAATTTACGACCTACTGTAATTTAATACAATGTATATAAAGTTTATAAATATGACTGAAATTCATGGTTCAAAATATCTAAAAAATTGTAATATATTCGAAGGATGGATATTGGCAAAATATTGGTAAATACATATTGATATACCAATAGTTTTTATGTACTGATATGTTATTGTACCAATATTTTTGTATATGTACAGATATGGTAAAAGCAAAAATATTTATTAATTGCTATAAATATCTAGGCGTCCAGTTCAGAATGTACCACTCCCATTGTTGTATCCCAAGGAAATAAATGGTGGTATATGGGGTGGTGAAACAGTGGTACAAGGTTTTCGAAAGAAAGGTAAATACTATCGTAGAAGCCCACATTTCTGGTTTCCTGGGCTTAAGAAGTCCGTATTGTACAGTGAAGTTCTGGATACATATATGAGGGTTGTGGTCACCAATAGGACTATTAATTTAATTCATGAACACTATGGATTTGATCATTATTTATTAAAGGTACTGATCATTATTTATTAATATACTGACTATAAAACATTTTTATATACTATTCCTTAAGCTTTACAAACTTCAATTACTTGTAGACTCCAGCCTGTGACTTAAGATCTGAGCTTGCACTTAAGATAAAACGTCGGATACTTTTAGCGTTACTTGATAAAACTTTATATCCAAATGATCCTGCTAAAGGAGAAGAAATTTTTGCCAAATACAAGGAGTATTTAACAGCGGTAATAAGCGATTTTGTAATACTATATAAGATACATTCATAAAACAATAACTAGTGTCTTGTTTGTGTATTTTTTTTAGTATACGCGAGAGGAAATTGAATGGTATGGTTTAACATATAAAGAAGCATGCATCAAGTGGATAAATCTGAAAAATCCGGAAAAAGAGTTGCAACCCTTGAAAATACAATATAGGTCTGAATTAATTGATAGACTAGAACAGAATAAAATTGCAGACGCTGCAGCAACTTCATCATCAGAGGAGTATGAAACAATATGTCAATGTTTTATTCAAAACCATAGAGTTTGCAATAAAGTATATTGAAAAATTATTTTTGCAGGTCTTCGTCCTGGATGTCAAAATTGAATCCATTTGGCAAGAGTTACAAAACAAAATAAAAGATAAATATTGTGGTTCTGTATTATAAATAAGGAAAGTAAATTGTATACTAAACAATTGGTCTTTCCCTTTATATTTAACTCATTACAAAGACTCGCAACAGTAAATTAAAATCTTCCAAACCTTTGTCGAGTTACATTCGATTGTTAATACATATTTAAACTTCACTTTTAGCAGCAATACATATTTCCTTGAACTTGTGTCAACTTGTACTTCACACAAAAGCTAGACAATTATTAACGTCGATACAATTCATGAGAAGATACCTATATAGATATAATTGACTAAAACTTATCTCTGCACAATAAATAATTATGATATTGAACATTCAAATTCACCATCCTTGGGTAAACAGTTCAATGACGAGGCTATGGCTCTTGTAATGTACGTCATTGTTCCAAAACTACCACTTGGAGCACTGTCATAAAAATGTTGACAAACATATGCTGCTCCACCGCAAAGGAGATTTCCCATTGCGGTTGTTTCTCGGTGCTCTTTTAGCTTAGCACAGCATAAGGTCGCATCTCCATCAATCTTCATCTAATTACATTAAATATACATAGTAAATGTAATTAATGAATGCTACATTAGACAGTTATAAATAGACTGTGGATTTTATGCATTTATAGCATTCAAAATTATCTGAAACTTAGTTCAGTAAGACGTATAATAAAAATTAATGAGGTTATTACTTGATGAGTATGTACACAGGTAACCCTAAAAATTCTTTTTGGATCTGAATTTTCATAAACTGGTCCATAAAAATGTATATTTGCATAAACATTCACAGCCTAGTTATAAGCGTACCTGATCATCTAAGAAGATAGCATTAGCTTTATGAACTAATTGCTCAACGGCGATCAATCCACCCAGAGAAGAAACCACATTATATTCAGTTACTAAAGTTAATACCATTAAAGCTTCAACCACTAATTGACGATATTCTGGTTGTGGTATGGTATTCAGAACAGTTTCTACTGCCAATGCAAATTTTAGTTCACCAGGCGTCATTTCCTGTGTGAGGTTTTGAGGTAGAACTCTACCCTCGATTGCTAATCCCTGGCACTATTAAAATAGGTGGATTTTAAAGTAATTGTAAAATTATTTAAAAAACTATAAAACGCAAAAAATCTGAGACATGTTTATGTAAAACGTACTGATATTTACCCGTTCAAGTACTTGCCATACACGGGGATAAAAATCCCGTGGCACCCTATTTAGTGCACCATCCAATCTTCGTCGTCGTAACCATTGACCCTGTCTATCTGGTTCTGATTCACTACCGTCAGTTTGGTCAGCACTTAAGAAACCTCCAATTTGTGACTTCTGAATTAATGTAATGATGTTACAATGAAATGTAAAGAACGAATATAATAGTTATTTGTTATGGACGTTACCTTGCTAACTCTGCTTGATTTACAGCTGATAACAGAGAAATTACCTCGACCAACTGAATACAGAAACGAATTATGAATTATTTTTAAGACAGGAGATCTAACAGAAATGCATAATATAAACTAAAAACTCATACCACTACTGATAGCAAACTCTTTTCCACTCATAATATGATGTAAAAGATTTTTCATTTCGAATGGTGATAAATTCAATAAATGTTCGGATGCTTCCTCTCCAGTGCATATTAAAGTTCTCGATAATTCAGTAGCCATTACTTGAATAATCAAACCTACTCTAAGTCTGAGCATTTCGTGAAACAGTTGCGGTTCTGTTCTAATAAACATTGCTAAATAAACAAGCAATTCCTGTGTTAACATGGCCGTAGATTCGTCATCTCCATACGCTTGATGAATTAATACTCGTAATTCATTTTCTGGCAACGGTGCAACAATAGTATGTTCATTAGTAGGTGGCATTCCGACTGTAACTTGTTTTTGACGAACTAACAAATCAGTGACCGCTTTAGCTAAATCTTCCACCCTTTTTCCTAACATTCCAGCTGTGTGACGTACAATTCCCCACATTTTCTGTTGACAAGCTTTTTCGTAAAGGTCTTTTAACAAATCCTTGATAAGGACTGGATGGCCCTCTTCTAACATGCCAGTATTAAAGTATAGGCCTTGTGAATCCACCTAGAGTTAATAATTAATTTAATTACAGCAAATAATATATATTACACATTAGTTTGTATACTCGTATGGATAACTTACAAGATACTGTAAAATATCCCCTTGTTCTTCTAAACTTTCAGTTTCCCTAAGCATCGATAACAACTCCTCAACTTCTGTATCTGCATATTGAGTTTCACCTATGGCTCTGTTTCTGTGTAGCCTTGTACAATTTGTCCAAGATAAAATTTCATCCGTAGGAGACGGTGTACGGTCAGCAGGAGGTGACTGCGTAGAAGTAGGAGATAATGTTGTATCTGTCACTTCAATAAATGGATTTGTGTTTGAAATAGTTGAAGGTCTTCGTTCCTCTCCTGCCATTCCAAGAATTTCAGCTACAAATTACAGTTTGTTCTTACAAATTACTTTGATAACCGAATAATTTAATTTCACAGTTTGTTATTCATTTTTCCTGTTAGTTAATTTGGGAATTAGTTATCATTTGTTAGTGCACTTAAATTCTTGGAGGATGGTAGGAACCATAGCTGTAGGAGTATATCGCATAAACACTTAAGCATCCACATTATGTAACATGCAATTGGAGTGCTAATAATTTAAATAGTGTTTAGCATTTATTATATTGATATATTAAGTGTCACTCACGTTCCACAGCAATTGATCTTGTTTTCTTTATGGCACCTTTAACAGACATTTTGCGTTTCAAATTCTTTCCAGTTCGAATAACTGGTCTGTTAAGAAGACCAGTACGATGTGGAAATGCACGCATCAGATGTTCCTCTAGATACTGTTGAACCTAATATATTAAATATAACATGAAATATAGTATAAATACGTATAATACGTTGCAACGTAAATTTGCTTCACCTGAGGATTTAACTTGTCCGGCTTTCCATCTTCAGAACTTCCTAAGAAATAATTTTTTCATAGTAGTTATCATTGCCAATGGTATTTTTCCTTGATCTGAAATAGCGATGCATGTAAAAAAAACCCCGAATTAAATCTACTTATTTATAGGAACGAAAAAAGCAGTGTATATTCTAAGTTATTTTTCGGATGTACTACACGTGGAATAATTCTATCTTGTTTATTAGCTTGCTCTAATAAAAACTTGTTCCGAATGATGATCTAAAGGTGCCTATCATCGTACCTAGATGATTATGAGTAGCAACGAGTGTTATAGTTGGCCTGCCGAGCATTTGCTTCCAGTTGATGGTAAGGAATGCCATATTGGTGATAAAATTGTTGGCAAGGAGGGCTGCATCGTTTGTCGTGTAGTACTCCTCCGCGTCAAAGTTCTAACATGCAACAAACGCGCACACCATAACACACATAAGCTGTCTCCTCAGACTGTTAGATTGTGTGTGCAAGAGGAAACGATCTCTCCATGAAACTGTTTTCTTTTTTTTTTCTTCCTTTCATTTCAATCGCATTGTCTCCATTGAAATTCTTTAACATTAATTGATTTCGCTTATGATGAATATGATGATATTAATAACACTAAAATATCACGCGATGAGATTTAATAGCTAGGTGAAACACTAACGTCAGCTGACTGAATTACATCAAGACCTTCCATAGCCACTAAGCAAAATTTAAAACGAAAACACCGATGCACGCATGCAGGCAGACATGTTAGATGTTCTTTGGATAGTGTATTTACATAATTTCAATAAGAAAAACGAAGTTCCACAAAAAATCATGTATATTTAAAAACCATAGATTTCATCTTTGTTACTCGACAGCCTAATACTTTGAACATTCTACCGTGTATTGCTTCTTATGCGTTCAAGGAGAAGTAACACAGATGAAAATTATGGTTTTTAAACATTAAATTACTGTACCTAGGTGAATGTTCTTGAGGGGCATGACCACGAGAGGACGGCCTAACATGTTCTGCCAGCTAGACTTCAAGAAATTAATTTCGCCTTTGAATATGTCAATCATGAGCTCATAGTCCGATGCGATATAGAAGCGGGTCATGTCTGTCAACTAATGTTTGATGCACGAATAAGAGGCAACATAAGAAAAGAAATAAAAGTATAAAAGAGCAGACAGTTTGTTGAGTATACAGAATACTTACCTGTGGAGTGAATGCAAATATTTTATCGTTCAATGAATATAATTTACTGGTGCTTAAAATTCCTACATCTCTTGATTTACGCCCAGACAGACCTAATTTTTTGTTTCGACCTGAAAATAAATAATTCTTATTTAAAAGTGAAATGAAGTATTGTGTATATCATAGAGATTTTACAATTCAGGCATACCTAAATAAGTATACAAATGACTGAGTACTTTTGCAGGCTGTACTTCTATAGGAGCAACTTCTGCAATTGTTTGTACATGGATATCATGCTGAGCTATTTTTTCCCGAATTTCTGCATCTTCTGCTAGTATCACAACCTGTACTACGACATCTGGTTTTTTTTCACTGCATAAACGTCTATTCAACGGATCTAATTCACCGACAGCCAGGAAACCCTATTATTGAAGAAGACATAAATTATAGTTCACTGTACATATATATTTTTCCGATATTTGGGTACTTACTTCTTGTAGTAATTTTCCTAATATGTAAAGAGATTGAGCCCACATAAATGGACATCTACCTAATGCAACTCGTTTTTGACTACCTGGTTCAGCATACTCTGCTGATACATTTGCAGCTTCCACAGAATATAACTCAGGTACTAATTTCATTCCATCATCGGTTTTAATCATTATTTCTTCTAACTGTTTTGTGTATTCTGCTACTGCTTCGATATTTCCTTGAAAGCAATAATCCACAATTAAATAGCAAAAGAATAATGGCCATTCGCATTCTATGTTTTCAAACATACGCAACTCCCATGGTTCATAATAAAGCCTATTAAAAACATGATAAATTTATTGGTAAATATTGATCTAATATTTAAAGTATTTTTTCATTTATTTTACTTGCCTGTTGAGATCCTCCTTTGCTGTTTTATATCCATCTCTTAGAAACCTTTTGCATCCATAACGACCTTGCAGTTTCTTAGTGATAGTATCTCTTGTTAATTGAATTAAATTAGGTTCATCCACAGCAAATGCTGGAAAGCTTATCACAGATAGCAATCCACTGTCTAATTCTTTTGAATTTGATTCGCGTGGTAACATAGACTGTAAAACAGCTTGACATTTTTGTGCTTCATCTGCCAATACATGAATTACAGAAGTAGGTCCACCTCTTGCTCCGAACAAATCCAGTTCATTCATTGCTTCCATTGCTGCTTTAGCCATTCCAATACTGCTGGCATTTAGCTCAGGTAAACCATGATTTGTTTTATCACCTCTTTCCCAAATACCATAATCAGGTGTGCAATAAGCTGACTCAATATAAAATACTAAATTTTGGATAAATGCTACCTAAAGTTGAGTTATAAAAATTTATAATTAAATTGTTATAAGTTTTATCACATATGATGCAGTGTCTAGTTACCTCATCCAAATTGAAAACAATTTGTAATCCAGATGCTGTCATTTGTGCTAATATAAGTAGATAAAGAGAAATGGCATCTATTTGAAGATGTCCCCATTCTGTGTCTCCCACAACGGTTTGTCCATTGACAGAACTATATTTGGCATGTAAAGCATCATGTGGGTTTTGACTGGATTTAAACTTTTCTACCTTTTCTTTTTGTTGCATCATTGCCATTAACAGACCCCTCATTAATTTCACACAGCTTTGTTCTAATTCATATGTTTTTGCTCTATCTTCATCTGCATCGGCTATTTTTTTATATGCCATTGAAAGGCCCCATACAGCAAGAATACAATACACATTATCACGTACCCAGGCGTGATCATTCTCAGGACTTGCAGGGAAAAGACCTGTGACTGCATTTTGATGGTTCATAATAATATTGTGAACTATTCGCTGATAATAATCCAAACGAACACCGGAATTACTACGACTCCTCATTTTGAGTATGTTAAATAACTTCTGAAAATGTTTTTAGTTTTATTTTACTATAAATCACATTAAATTGTCATAGTTCCATCATATATGTACATAAATACATTAATATCTTCAGGTTAAGTTTATATCGTTTTTTCGAAATACCTTTATAACACTTCTTTAAAATTCTTATTTAAGTGGTAACAAATATTTATATTCCGCTTAAATAAACTGTCACATGGAAGATATAAAAATTTGTTGTGTACACATTTTTTTATGTCATTTAAGAAACATACACACACGCATATATTCTTTATACAATGTGAAACGAATGTCAAACATAATAGACCTCTGTAGTATTACAGAGGAACTATTCATACTTGAATAAACTTCATATACATATGAACTAAAATTTCAAAAACATCATTTTCACTATTTTCAGTTATTTATTTATCACATAAAAGTCATAGAAATTCGTTATGTACACAGTTAATGTAATCTTATACTTATGATAGATTGATTTATTAAATCATACTTTTGGAAAACTATAACAACAAAGAACACGTCATATAACAAAGTCTACATTTTCTCAGTAAAATTAAATACACTAATAGTATTTTGAATTTATTTATCGTATTCTAATTATTAATTTTTTTTTTTAAATTTAGGCACTCTTCTATTCCTATTTCTATTTTTAACATTAGTAGTTTCATAAAAGTTGCTACCAATCTTTTTTCGTTTGTTAGCCCTTTCTACAGCTCTTCGTTCTTTACTTGTTAATTTTTTCCCTGTGTGCATTGATTTTTCTGTTTTAGAAACTGTAGAAGAAACTTTGAATGTACCACTGCTTGAAATAGTATTTTTGTTGAGCATTTCATTATCACTAGAATCATACTCTTCCTCTACTACATTGTATGCACTTTGCAACAAAGTATCTTTTTCTAAAGGAAGAGGAATTTCATCATCAGTATAATCATCATTCTTTTCGTTATTATTTTCAATCTCTAAACGCTTATCCTTTTCTACATTTTCCGTAAACTCCGCTTCAAATTCTATTATAGATTTATCTTCAGTTTCATCAACATCATTATCATCCATATCTGACACCATTGAACTATTTTCTTGGTTCGTTATAGAATCAGTAAGTTCAACACATAAATGACTTTTAACATCATCACCTGAATATGGCAAACCAACTCGTATTTTTCTAAAATCTTGTATCACAGATAATTGATATTTTGATGCTTTATCCTCTTTATTTTCTGTTTGTTCTGTATTGACACTATTTTCTTTTTCAATATTACTATTTTCAACAGAAGACTCATTATTGACTGCCACCTTTGGTAGTGGTTCTTCAAAGCCACAAGGGGGAACATAGAAAGGTAATTTACCACGCTGCCAATCATTCAAAATCATACGTGAAACAGTGGCAATATCCGGTTCACCTTTTTTTAATAATTTTCCACTCTTACGAGCCAATTTCTCCAGAAAATCTACATGATCGCTCCATTCCATTATCTTATAAGTCTTTCGTATGTATTCTGGTTTTACTCGTGCTAACACATCCGAGACGTAATCTTCTGGATTTTGAACAAGTTCAACCCTTACTACACCTTTTAACACTTTTTCCGTGTCAGTTTCCGCTGATGGATACACTACACCTGGACAATCTATTAAATAAATTCGGCGCATCAAAGTAATATATTGCCATACTTTTGTTTCACCTGCTATTGGTGCAACATTGCATACTTTTTTCGATCTTAAAGTATTTATAACCGAACTCTTCCCTGTATTGGGATATCCTATAAAACCTACACTGATTTGTTTTTTATCGATATGTAGCTTTGCAAATTGCCTCAATAGATTTATTAAAGAACCTTTACCGAATGGATGTGTCATCGAAGCATGAAATGCTACTGTTGGATACTCTGCACTTAAAATAGCAACCCATCTTTGTGTAACCCATGCTGGTACAAGGTCTACTTTGTTTAAAATAAACATTAAATGCTTATGAGGCTTCTCTGTCTTAAGATATTTTTCTATTGGAGGAGATCTAGTTCCTAAAGGATCTCTGGCATCTAAAACCTGTAAAATAACATCAGAAGAGTCTATAACTTTATATAATTCATTCCAAATTCTTCTGCTCTGTCCTGCCGCCATAATCCAGTCTCTTTGTGCATCTTTGGTACCTGTATCAGGACGTATGAGATCTATATCTTTTGTATCTTTTTCTTTATTATATGTTTCTTCTTTTTCTTCTGCTAATTTTTGTAATTCATCATACGATGATATTGTTAAATTTGGTCTTTTCCTTAATTTCTTTGGACCAAATACACTTTCAAAACTTTCTGTATCTAGTAAATGTACTCTTGCATTTGCAGCCTTTTGTTGGAGAAGAGTTACTGGCAACTGTGTAGGTTTCATAATAACGTTATAGGAGTCTTTCATAGCTTTCCCTAATTCATCTTGGAATTTTTGTAAAGCATTTTGGGAAATTACTCTTGAATTTCCAAACCATCTCTGTGAAGGTTCTACACGAGACATAGAACCAGAAGGTTGCCATCCTTGGAACGGTGCTGGTCGAAGTATTTTACCTGTACGATCGCGCTTGGGTTTTTGATTACGATACATTTGTAATCTTTTAATTGTTGCTTTAGATCGTACTTTTGCCACACCCTTTAATCCTTCTGTAGGTCGTTCTGGATTCATGCTGTGTCCAGAACGATTAAATCCCTCCTTTCGAGGAGGTTTATTTGTAACCTGTGATTTTGCCATTTTGCCTAAAAGAAGTATATATCTTAATTCAGTTTGAAATTAATTAAAACTACTATAATGCAAATAAAATGATCTACATTGTAAAGTACAATTTATAATTTGTTAGCATCAGGAAATGTGCTTACCTTTTCTTTGAATCTACTATGTTTTATAGTAGTTATGTACTTTTTATTATTTTCAAACAAGTATTGCTAATAATTCTCAAAATTACTCTTTAAATATAAATTATATGCGTATCTCAATCATTATTTCTTAAATGTTTGGTTAAATTGTGAAGAATACACGTGCGTGCATCTCTTTTCTCGCAGGGTGCATTCTCATTGATTCTCATCAATTCTCATGTAAATCAATGACGTTTTATTTCTAGGGACATAAAGTTATTTCTAAAACCATTTCGTAAATTACGAAATATTTCTCAATTATTAATGTTGCTACTAATAATAATATTTTGTGATAATTGAAACTCGAACATTTGTCATTAATTTTTTATCCCGTTAATAACTTTGAAATATAAAGACAATTTATATAAATACATTGATAGTATAATTATCTGATAACACTTATGAAATATGACTCGCGAAAATATATACAGTGAAACCACGTTAACTGCGCGGAGAGCCTAGACGCTGTCTATCCGTGAATCATCCCCACCACTGGGGGATCTCCCTTGATACCGGTCAAGCGTATACTTTATTCCCTTTCAGTGCCCTTCTCGAATCGACGGCCGAACGAGGAGAGCCCAAAAGTTAAATGCCCGCGTGTCGGTAAGACAACACTAATGCAACGATAAAAATTTGTATACATTATTTTAATATCAAAATATTTTTTCCAAATAATGTGTTTATGACAATTAAATAAAATAACATACAACTGTAACAATAAGTAGTCACACCTAGTTTTAAAGATTCTAATTCAACTTATAAATATTTTATTTTAATTTTCATGACCTTGTTACGTACGTCAGTAACTAGTCAAATCTATCATCACTCTCATAATTCCTTCGGTCATATCAACTGAAACTTTAATATATGTATGTAATAAAAGTTAATGATACAAAAAATTACAAAAGAATAACTCTACTATTGTGGAAAATGAAATATTTTTCTTTGTAATATATAAATATTCTTTAAATCGAATTTGAAAAATTGCAAATAGAATTAAACATACCCAAATACTCATTGGTACGGGGAGGATAGCGGATGCTACGAAGACCGGTTCATCCTCTCTTGCGTTATCGAATTAATTTAAAATAATTTAATCTAAATTGGATAAATATTAAAGGAAAGTCACGATAGAGAGTTAATGAAGGTACTTACATCTATCTAGTATAAATAATTAGAGATGAAAAGCGCAGATCGCGTACTTCGAAACAAGCGAGCTCACTTTACGTCTTATCACTCCGGTATCCACAAGACGAATAACCCTTCGGCTATTATCCGGAGGATCACGATATGTTGATCGGTACGTAAAGGTACGTTCCTTCTCCATTACAAGTTCCATTTCAACGAAATAGAATGTTCACTACAGTATTATATTTCATTACGACCTTTTTATTATGCGTATTGCCCGAGATTAAGTCAGCAGGCAATGACCCTCATAAAATAGAAAAACAGAGATATAAGAACGATTTTGCAGAAGTACCTGTGTTGCAAAAAATTTCAACGCTGTATGTTCTGTGCCTCTGATCGACCAATTTTCTAAAACTCGCATTCCAATATACTCTACGATTAATAAAGAGATTATACTGCGCACGTGCCCCGGTCTACCCCCGAAAATTGGTTGTTGCAATTGGTTTTAGCTGGATAGCATTAATGCACGATACCATGTGGTATTGTTGCACCCTTTTCTGGAAATTTTGAAACTTGCAATGCTTTCCTGAATACCGTATATGATAAATAAGTATTTCTGGTTAATTTGATAATAACGCCAAAGTTTATTAAATATCTGACAGGTGTTACCAATTATAGAGTGTTAATAAAAATGTGGAATACTTTCATGGGGTGCATTCTATATGCAAAACTATAGATCAAGAATGAACCCGCTAACAGCGGCGGTAATATTTATAGGGAAATGTTGTTCAGAATGATGACCTTGACAACATATTTCAAGGTTATCCAAATCTGTGAGGAGTTTATTATTGTGAATAATTACCAAAAAGCCTTGTCATCACAGAAAAAATTTGAATAAGTGAAAGTATTTTTATTAAATTGTAAATACAACACTGCGGTCGTTTTACTTCTGCGTAGTAGGTGCCGACTGATTGGATGATTTAGATTCTCGCATAGAAGCGCTGCGTCTTCGCTTTAATTCTTCCTGACGTCTGTTTTTCGCTTCCTTTTGTCTTTGTGCTAACAATTTCGCGTATTCAGCTGCTTGCTGCTTGCGAGCTAAGCATCGCCTCTTCTTCAGAGCTAGTCTATGTCGTTTACGCTATAAAAGCAATATACATTTATTATTTATTGATTTTACTGTATCGTTAATAGTCTCGTAAGACTTGAACAAAACGTGAAGATATTTCGGACGAAGGTGATGTGTGTATATACCTGTAGAGTAAGCGGGGTGATAAGACGTTGAATCTTAGGAGCCTTGAAGCGGTCCTTTTTGCCTTCCTTTTGAATAGGCCGTTTTACAACGAACTGACGTACATCGTCACGTTTAGCCAAGTTGAAGAGTTTACGAATTTTGCTCGCTCTCTTAGGTCCTAATCGACGTGGTACATGTTTGTCAGTTAAACCTGGGATTTCCTATAATAAGGATTTAATTAATTTATGTAAAAAGTATCCTAACTGAAGTAAGAAATTTGGACAAATTGAGTGTTTCGTTCGTACACTGAGAAACAGTACAGGAAATATATGTACTCTCTCCCAAATCAAAAACGAAGTTTAATCTTCCATGTATACGATAGTATCTTAAGATACAATGACAAAGTTCTTAGATACACCCTAAATGACATGGGTAAGGTAATGTACATGTAAAAATTTAAACAGAATGATTATTCATACCTTCTCGCCTTTCCTGACAATAACAAGAGCAAGCACAGACAAATTTGCATCTACAATACATCCACGAACTGATTTACGTTTACGTTCACCATCACGCCTTGGCCTGTAGCAAGATTGTCCCTTTGAGAGCAGTAAACGTACACGACCTATTCACGGGTATATTACATTACTATAAATATACGATATATAGATAAATATTAAATTGTGATTACAATAGCATTAAAATAATATTATGACAATTTACCATTGGTCAGGACACCTTGCTTCATAGGAAATCCTTGTTTGTCATTGCCACCAGAAATGCGGACAACATATCCTTTCCACTCGTCACCTAAAGCATCAGCTTCAACTTCAGCGCCCATGCGCTTTTCAAAAAATATTCTAAGTTTGTGTTCATCAGAAATCTCGAACAATTTCTGAGATCCTGTCGCTGGAAAAGACACGTTCAGCTGAAACAGAGACAACATAAACATTAGATTGCAACATAAAAATTAAACACTAACGAATTCTTATGGGGTTAATATATATTACAATATTCTGACGGAACTTTGCTGGTAAATTATTTTTCTGTGTCTAATCAACAGTAAGATAATTACTGCGATATTCTCAGCGTTAGTAGTTCATACATTAAACAGTTAAATCTGATTACAATGTTTCAATTAGACAAGATAGCACTCATGGATTAATGTCTCCTATAAAACATACACACTTAAAATAGCAAGTATAGGAATAATTGACAAAATATGTATACACAAAATTATGCACAGCTTTTCATTGTATAAATAAAATTAATAATTGTTTCTATTCCTTGTAAGATGTTCGAAATATTGCTTGATTCGTACCTTCATCGTGACAAGTATCAAACAGTGCCACGAGCCATGGACAGAAAGAAAGTGGTTGATTCAAACAGTCGCTAGGGAGCGCATACCGGATATCCGTTTCAAATAAAATGAAATTTTAAACCGAAATTATAATAAATAAGTTTGTAATTATTTTGTCACAATTAGAGTGTAACTTTTAATATAGGTATTAAACTTTTAATGCAAAAGTGAATATCATACTCGTAATGAACGTATTAATAAATTTCTATACTCATTTCACACGTAATCTTGGATTTCTTTCGATTAATGCAATTGGGATTTTGATACAATCTCTATATTGCTCTATGAACCGCCAAACAAAATATGGACCACCCCCTGGTACAACATGGAGCACCTCATTCATGTTGCTCGTAGAAGACACAACAAAAAACTAAAGACCAAAAATAACAGTTACGTTAAATATTTTTTGGAAAAAATAAGCTTATTTTTGACTAGTCATTGAGCAAAAAGTAATTTTTATTTAAATGGAAACCAAATATTAATAAATCGCGAAGAAGTTTTTCAAAGAATGACGTGAATAAAAAAATGGATTTTTATATAACTATTCTGGTTACGAATAATCATTATAAATGATCAACATTTTGTTTGGTTACCAATAATATTTATCAATCACGGAAATTTGTTTTGGTTGCGAATAACTGTTATCAATGATAGAAACTGTTTTTGGTTGCATATAACCATTATTAATGACGGGAAATTTTTTCGGTTACGCGGTAACTAATATCACCAACCACTCGGTGATATAATAATGATTATGAAATAAGCACCTACTAAAAAAGGCATCAGTTGTATCACTATTTTATTTGTATTTTGTGGACATTTCTTTTATAACATTCTATTTATATCACTTTTACGTGAAAATAAATATTAGCGTAAAATCGTATGGAATTATAAATGTCGAAGAAATGTTTGTAGATTGAAACTTTTACATTCAGAGAAGTTCATTACAGTTCATTATTGATAGAACGTTACAAATCAGAGTTTGACCAGTCTGACCTGACGACTCTTCACCACAACCACAGACGAACGTAAGTAGCATAGACGGGAATGCTGTTTTTCGTAACATTCAGTAACATCTGAGAGGCTGAAGTGGGATAGGCAACTATTTTGTACGGCGGTGTGCAAAATTATATTATGTAAAAGTAAATAAATATGTTAAATTTATATGTTAGGTGAATAAATAAGAATGTACTTTATTCGAATCATTCTATATACCTTTTCCTTTCAAATGGAGCGTTCATTTTCATTAATTGTTTGTAGAGACAAATACACATGCATAATAATAATATAAAGAAATTTTGATCAAGTGAAGAGTATAAATACATGGGCTTCATCAATGAATGTAATAAATTGAATAAAATAGATAACAATATACTTGCAAGATGAATTGAAAAATTAAGAAATGATTTGTACTTTATGTACAATAAGATGCTTTTTATATTATGTATGGCAATAAGTGTCACCAGTGTATTTTATAGAAATCGAAAGCCGCAGGAGGGGGGCAGCGTTCTGAAATGCCGACTTGCGGGCGTGTGTGACATTTTGATGTAGTGTGTCTTCGATAATTTTCATTATGTATCGATTTAATACATAGATATTTGCGATAAATGGAGTTTACCGAAAATAGTTCTACGAACTCAGTGTAAGATAGGTAATATTACAACATATATAGTTTATTTCTTTATAGGTTAGAGACTGGTCACCCGGAACAAGAGAAATGATTGTGATGAGTTGAACATTAAAGAAAGCAAGTATCTTTAACACATGTTCATTATTGATGTTTCAGACAAGTTTTCTGATCAACACAAATAGTGTACAGTTGTTTGGAACTAGTATGAGAGTTGAATGCATCTTAATGATTATCTATAAGAAATGTGTATAATCTAACAAAGGATTTGTTTAATAGAAAGACATGGATGCTTCAGTGATAGAAGTCCTTCGACAAGCAGGTAGTCAAGATCCAAATATTTTAAAACCTGCTGGACGATTATTAGAACAGTGGAAAACTGAAAGAGGATTCTATATTACATTATTTGTAAGTTATCTATATAAATCAATCAGTGAAAAGTTTGATGTAAATACTTCACATGTAAATGATATAATTCATGATCGTACTAGTGTCAAAGAACGTATCATGAAATATTTATACGTATACAAAAGTTTCTATTATTGTGTATTTCTGCCTATCAGTTTAATATGTATGTATATAACAATTGTTTCAGAACGTATTTTCTGATCATTCCTTGACTGTCAATGTTAGATGGATGGCTATTGTGTGTTTTAAAAGTGGTGTTGATAGATATTGGAGAAAGAATGCACCAAAGTGAGTATTATACCCAGGTGATTTATTAATATTCTAATTACTATGACTATAGTTGATGAACTGAATCATAAAATAAATGTTTTATTATTATTTCAGTGCAATTGCAGAGGATGAAAAAGAATTTCTTAGACAACGTTTAATATCAAATTTTGAAGAGCCTGTAAATCAATTAGCTCTACAATTGGCAGCTCTTATTGCTAAAATTGCAAGGTAATATTTGTTAACTGGAGTAGTTATTTCTTCTTCGATGTAGTAAGCAATTAAATGGACTAATGTTGTACAGATACGATTGCCCTAGAGAATGGGATACATTAATTCCAACATTACTGAATGTTGTAAGAGGACAGAATCCCTTAGCTCAACATCGAGCACTGTTAACATTGCGCTATGTTGTTAAAGCTTTAGCTTCTAAAGTTTTTCCTGCAGACAGACAACTTTTCCGAGAATTGACCAGTAATGTGTTCAATTTTATTTTGAATTTATGGAACACCTATACTGAATCTTTCTTCATACTGGCATCAAACGGAGCAGATACAAATCAGATACAAGAAGCTTTAGAAAAAGCATTACTTTTATTGAGAATACTTAGAAAACTTATTGTGCATGGGTTCGGAATAGTTTCTGAATCACAAGATGCTATGTTATTCTTAGAAATTGTGTATGAACGTGCAAGAACTGGCCTTGAGTGTCGTTAGTATATTCAGTTGATGATTTGAATGGTAAAATGACTTGGATTTAATCTCTTACTCAATATTATCTGTGGTTATAGGAAAGACTTTAATCTCGAGGGGCATACAACTGGAAGCATGCGACAAATTTATAATTCTCTTGATAAAAGTGCTAATAGGAGTGGATGAAATGCATCGGGAATGCTGTATTGAACTACTATCAACCACCTTAAAATTCACCGTTTTTTACTGTTTCACAGAAGCTGGTCAAAATTTAGCTTTTGAGAAATTTATTATTCAATGTTTTAATTTATTAAAACGCATGTTACAAATTTCTACATATGATCCAGAAGTTATAGCTTTAAACGAACGTGATGTTATTGCATGGGCACACAGAGGGATCAAAGTGAACAAAGTACAAAGAGAAATTTTTACTCCTGATACGTTAACTGAAATCTGTTCAAGACTTGTAACACATTATTTCCTCTTAACACCTGCTGAGTTGGAGTTATGGGACACAGATCCAGAAAACTTCTGTAAGTAATGATCTATGTATTTATATACATAGCTTTAGAGATTACTATTATTACATAGAACAATTGATTTTAGTTGTTGATGATGTAGGAGAAACATCGAAATACAGTTTAAGGGTAAATGTTTGAATCACATGTAATAGATACAATTATAATCGTTAGATATTAAGTTGCTTTATGATTCATACTTTATTTTTAGCCTTGTACAGAATCTGTATTTGTCGAAATTTTTCATCAGTTTAAAGACATTCTTACACCAGTTTTGGTTGATTTGATGCAAAGGCACCATCAACCTGTTGACTCTGATAATTTGCACGCTATTTTATTGAAAGATGCAGTGTACAATGCTGTTGGTTTGGTTGCTTTTGATTTATATGATGAGGTAAACGATAAAAATCTGTTCTGAAAGATGTGTATTAATTTTTAAAGCATGATAAAGAGTATTTTTATATATTAGGTAAACTTTGATCAATGGTTCTCTACCACTTTGAAAGAAGAGTTGAAGATTCGAAGTAACAATTATAGAATTATTAGAAGACGCGTATGTTGGCTTATTGGACAATGGACAAGTAAATAAATTTTCCAGTTATACTTATGGATAAATTATGAATTTTATTGTATAATTGAAATTGCAGCTGTCAAATTGAGCACAGAACTCAGACCAAAGGTATACGAACTTATGGTGGAGGTTTTGAGTCCAGATGAAGATTTGGGTGTTCGTTTGGCAGCAAGCGATGCCTTGAAACTAGCTATAGATGATTTTCAATTTAATCCAGAAGAGTTTTCTCCTTATTTAGAACCAACGTGTTCATTATTGTTTTCTCTCCTAAAGGAAGTAAAAGAATGTGATACCAAGGTATGCGTAAAAGTATCTGGATTATTGTCAAAGTAAGTTTTGAGAATACAACTGGTTACTGTTTTAGATGCGCGTTCTATATGTTTTATCATTTATGATTGAACGTGTTGAAAGCGAAATAAACCCGTATGTTGGAGTTCTCAGTTCGTATCTACCAGCTCTATGGCAACTATCCGAGGAACATAATATGTTGAGGTGTACTATAATTTCAACACTAATACATTTAGAAAAGGTGGTTTATGTTTTTAAGTTATGCTATTAATTGTGTTTGATGTTCTAATCAAACTTTTTAATATTTTCATTAACGATAGGCCTTAGGTCGTGAAAGTGTTATATTACAACCCCTGGTGGTAGGTGTTGTTGCATTCAGTTGTGATGTCCATCAGGATGAACATGTTTATTTGTTAGAAGAAGGATTGCGATTATGGTCAGCTTTGTTGGAAAATACACCTGCACCAACACCTGCCATAATGGATTTGGCCAAGAATATACCAGCATTGTTAGGTCGGTGAATATTTATGCGTGTATGCTTGAAATATCTTGTGGTTATCAAGATGCTAAATGTTATTAGTACTTTCAGAACAATCTGTGGAATATTTCAAAATATGCCTGTATATAGTCGAAGAATACATAATACTAAGTCCACAAGAATTTTTAAATCAAAGGGGAGCAGTTATAGTTGAAACTCTTAGGTCGATTATGAGTGATTTGAGAACGGAAGGACTATTGATGGTTTTGCCAGTATATGAAACATTCATGTGTGCTTGTTCTCGGCAAGGTGCAGAACTGATCAAACCTGTTTTATTAACTATATTCGAGTGAGTATAAAGATAGGAAAGACAACAAGTATACTAAAGAAAATTAAGTGCATTAACGATTATTTAATTTTTATAGGAATGTGTATACGGAAGATGAATCTGTATTAGTGATGAATATATATCTAACGATTATGGCAAGAGTTTTATGGTTTTATAAAGATATTTTTATACAGGTAGAAAACTTTTATATTTAACGTTAAAGTTTTGAGCTTTTCTATTATGAACGTTAAATTTTTATGCAGATACTAAGTGAACTAACCAGAAAAATAGGCGGAAACGAACAAAGTGAGGAAGCTGTTCTTGGACATTTAATACGTGTATGGGTTTTCCATATGGAACTCACCTTCCAGACAGACAGACGTAAATTGTTAGCCCTTGCACTTTGTTCACTCCTTGGAGCTAACAGTCCTCCGAGTGTTCTTGAGCATTTCCCACAAATAATACTAAATATTGTCGAAACTCTTAATGATATAACCAAATCTGATAATTTAGAATATGACTTTATAAGATTCGGCATTGAGTAAGTCCAAACCCCTAAAAGTTACTTATACTAATGAAACGTATGGCGAGGCTTATTTTACTTTCATTATTTTATTTTTTAGTTCGTTAACACTTGGCGAACAATCGAATTCACCGCCATATGTAGATGAAGACTACGGCAGTGAACATGAACAGCGAAAAAGAAGACTTGCTTTCAATGACATTGTGACCTCAATATCTTTGAAAGATACATTACAAAATCAGGTAAAGTAGAGTTTAGTTTTATTAATAATAATATTATTATTTAAAAATCATGTAGATATAATCTTTGTATTTTAGTTACTTACATTAAGAGGATTAGTTGGCGATGATCAGTTCAATCAAATGATGTCAACTCTCAAACCAGAAATTGATGAGCAACTTAAGTTTTATATATCTCTATGAAAGAGGAGTAAGTCACATAAGGAAGAAGAGAAAAGAATGGGTCGATTCAGTCAATCGCTATACTACGTGTAAAAAAAGCTTTACAGCGCTCTACTGTAAAACGGCACTATTTTATTGTATAATATTAGCTGTTTCACTGTACTAATAATGTTGATAATAAAAGAAACCTATGTCATTTCAGATTTATGTTTTGATTATAAACTGTTAGAAGGTACGAGTGGAATGAAAATATCACTCGATAAATCCTGTTCTTATTAAGGGCGGTAATTATACAAATTAGTTACGTTATGAAGTATTTAGATACAATTAAACAGTACAAAGTTATACAAATTTGGATAACATAAGGTGATAATTTATGTCTTAAAGTTATTTAAAAAATTAAATGTTTGTAAATACTTTTTGTAACCACCACACGTATAATTAAGGTGAAACATTGTTTTATGTGACTTAATCGAGTTTTCAACGAATAGACTGTAATTGTTTTTATAAATATAGATATATTGAATTAATTTACAGAAACTAGAATCAATCAATTTGTTTAATTTATTAAAGGTTCTATCGGATTTTAAATGGAATAAAAGCATCAGTAAACTTTCTACAACTTTTCACGATATTAAGTTCTAAACAATTGCGTATGCTATAAGTGCATATAATCAGATGTCTATTATTGAGATTCTTTTTATTTTATTTAGAACTTAATAGAATCCTTAATAGGATAAATCAATCTTTGTTTGTTTCCAGTATTTGTAAATTAATCTATAAAAATTCATATTTGTATATATATATTTGCAATCTAGTGATTACTGATGCATTAATTAAAAACGCAAATAAAATTTCCCGCTGTTTTTGTGCTTTATAAGTTGTTAGTAGAGCAATCTAGTGTCGTTGCTGGAAACTCCAAACAGCTGTCGTCTGTGTCAAACCGTTGCAGGGGGTTAGCTGAATTCTTCTTCGAAACAGTTTGCTGTTCTCACTAAATTAAGTGCGGTGAGTGTATTAACGCAGATTATATCTATGTATTTGGTTGTAATCAATGTACTTAATCATTCGATCAGGAAATTGTTAAAATCGGTTCATTTTCAACCCATCGATGCTACGTAAGAAAGTCTGTTTGACTAGTTGGTACACTTGATAGGAATGTTAGTCGATTTTTCTTTTATTATGCCGCACACTCTGTAAACAAAAGCATTTTGTTCTAGTATTAAGTATTTACGAAAGATAGAGTGGATTTAAGATAAAAACTATTATCAAAAAGACGCCATGTTCATTATTAGTCACTATACAGGTATATATACCTCTGATTGCTTGTGTGGTATTACTGTATGTCGTGGATTTTAAATTTCGACAAATTGATGAACAAATAAAATGAAAATGAAGTTGTTTACGAAAACATGATTAATTTTGTTAGAATCTGTATAATAAACGGCGTTGGATACGTGCGTTTCTCTTTCAATTTCTGTGCTTCGACAAATACAATAATAACTCTACATACGCCATTATTTATGGCTCGCTAATTGTAGTTTAATTGAAAATAGTTTAATATTCGTCGGTGAAAGTAATTATGAACGAGAAACGAGCACGAAATGTGTTAATATTGCGCTTGCTATCGGTATCTTCGCCAGGCAAGGAATTGGGATAACGTCGTTCTTTTTATTTGAAGTCCACATCTGCTTTAGCATCCTGTGACGTATCAAGAATGTGTGTAAAAATCGCTGTCATCCTGTAATTCGATAATGAATAAAATAGAGCATTGATTATTATGTTACGATTTAACGATATAGTAGATGGTACATCTGCAAAATTATGTAGGGTAGTTTTTTCATTTGTATTTTTATGTAACAACAATTTTCACATAAAGTTTCTAGGGAATTGTTTATCTGCTTATAAGAAAATTCATTGGCTTCACCAATATTTAAGTAATAGATTTTTTTCGTTTTAATATTAGTTAATTTTTAGTAGTTGTAATTACTTTTTCATTATTCAGTCATTCTGATAAAAAAATATATTTAGTATGTATCTATAAATGAATAATAATAAATAGATAAATATTGGTTACTAGAAAAAGTGACGCATTTCAGTATTAAAGTTGAATAGTTCTTCAATATTGCTAATAATAATAAATTATAGAATCATACATCTTAACCTGAATGATGCAGTAAAATAAGGACTTTAATAAAACTATACTGACTAGTGATATTTACATGTTACTATTAAATGAAATATAGTTCTCTCTCATTTTTATTTTTATAAATTAGCGTTTGTACTTGTGAATTTGCATAAAAATTTGCAGTCTAATTATGATATTAAATATTACCAAGTTGTATCAAATATTACAATTCACATAATTTAACGGTTAAAATTGAATAGTGAAAGTATAAAATACGGAAGGGAGCATTTTGTTTTTCAATTTTGGCTCTGTTTTCTTTAATGGGAAACGAATTCGGCAAAAAGAACGTACAAATCGAGAACTAGAAGCTGCTTTGGTCAATTGATGGCCTCCTGCCGGAGTATCATATATTTTTAGAAATATTTTCACGAAGCGTGGGAGTGGATTGTACAGCGGATGCACACTCAGACGCATGGGGGGCGTAAAAAACGACGGAGTGATATCGGTTGATAGGAACATCATGACTGGAGATGTCTGACTACTCCGTAAAGGTCCGATGAACTGTTTGTTCAAACATTCCTTCAAGTACCGAATAAATTGGAGGAGACTCATCTTTCTTTCTTTAGTTTCTTTTCGGTCAATGTGTCACAGGTCCATCGACGTAGCCTGTGGAAATACATTCTACACAGGGATATTGAATGAAAGATTCAACACCTTTTGCTCACCCTGTAAACTGCAGACTCACAACATTCTCCTCGATTAGAAAACATTTCTGTAATTCTGAGCCAACATAGCTACATTTGCAATAATCTTTCAAATTAAATCATCAGGATTTGGGAACCTCGAGGGATACTCTAGGATTTACCGTATTATTTTAAATCAAAAGTTCTAGTATGTACATTATTCTGAAGGACTTTCTGTACGTACAATATTCTTCCGAATTGAAATACGAAATTTCTGGGGGATGTCAATCGTTCTGCGGCCCTACGAATATTACCTTCAAATTTATTTTTTATTAAGGGCTACGACGAGTTCTCAGAAGTATACAGAAACCTCCAAAAGCACACAGAATTCGATACTGGAATTTCATTTCCCGACATTCAAGCGCTCTGCTCTCTTTATCCCCTCTATTTCTGTGCCTTCCATGTATTCCTTCAACTAACTACATACACACTGTTCCAACGATCCTTACCATTCCCAGTCAGACCGTGTTACACTTGAACGGCGAAGAATCGTTCGAGTTTCAGGTTCGACCGTTTCCTCAATATAATGCGAAAAGACGTCAGTCGGTCGACTGAAACCATAAGAAAAGAAGATGAATCCCCCTCGAAGAGGGTTTTAATTTCCCAGGAAAAACGTATTTTCAAAGTCTTCCTCTTTCGTCGCCTTAACACATCCGGCTGGTCGGTGTCCCGTGAACATCCGAGGGCCAAAGGGAATGCACGAGTAAGTTCGCGGGGGGGGGGGGGGGGGGGGTGTGGGGGTTGGATCTCGGCGGCGTACGGTTAAGAAGAAAGGTGTGTGTATACATATATACACAATTAGGTGTCCGACGTGGGCGGCGTGAGGGATCCCCACGACGACAAGAAGGAAAATGCGGGCGAAGGGGGGCCACCGCACAGAGAACCGAGACCATTCTGTGTCGACGACGACGAAACAGGGGCGAAAGGAGAAAGAGCGAAGACCAGCCGCGCGGTGAAAGGGAACGAAAAGGGAAGAAGGGAAAGTGGAGGGATAGCCGTACGAAAGGAGGAGAATGAAAGATAGATTCTTGCGTTTTGTGGTGGGGTTGAGAGGGGTGGTGGGGAGTGGAAGGGACATGGTAGAGAAGGTTGAATCGAGAGACAGAAGGAAGTGCCGACGGTGGAAGAGGGAAAGGATGAAAATGAGAACGGAGAAAGAGGGTCGGATCCGAGTTGTGTCCGATGGAGTTGTGCTAGATGGAGGGAGAGAACCAGTGAGTAGGAGGGTAGAGGGCAGGACAGAGAGGGACAGAGAGGGAGAGCGAGTGAGAAAGGCCGACTCGTAGCCGGGTATCGATCGTCAGCTAGAAAACTACCCCCTTGAGGAAGAGGCGCAGTGTGCAAAACCGACTACGTACGAGTCGGTGGTGTTCGCGGTGCTCGTGGTCCACGCGGCTTTACCCAACGGTCTCTGGATAGTTTCGTTTAACCGTCCCGGGGTGCGTTTGTATTATTTCATTCCTCTGCGTGGGGATCGACGCGATCTCGCGGAACCCCGTTTTCACGTTCCAAGGGGTGGCCCGGTGAATTCCAGGGCCGTTCGAACGCACGAGGTGAGAACTCTTGCTAATCGCGGTGCCATCACGCTTCTGACCTGCATTTGATTTGTCGACGAAACCCTTCATTTCACTCTCTGGATTCCGTGTTTCTCCCCTAGTCGTTCCACTTTTGCTGACTGGGGGAGTCACTTAACAGTCCCGGGGTGGTCGCGAGCACTGACATTGAATAGTCTGGATCGGAATCGGAGGTGGATTTATTCGTCGACAAAGTTCCTTACCCGATTTACGGAGAATTTGTCCATCTTTCATCAGTATTTCAATGTACTTTGGGCACTGTGGGGCGATTCATCGTTTTTGATGTTGCGTGTTCTGCCGTCGAGATATGAAATTCTGCTCGGAAGTTACGTCTTTCTTTGTCAAGATCTTCCATTTCAGTTTTGTCGAATCCATTCTTAATCTCGTCGTTCTATCTTAGGAGAGATTTAACAGAGTCCTAAGTATCAAAACTGATCCCCAGAGTGACTGAATTCCCGGTATTGGACACTTGGTGCGAGACTCGTTTCTCTGTCGCGTTCGTCCTTGAGGGTGACATTTATTCGATCGGTATCAGAGTGCCTCCTTCGGTGTGTCTCGAAGAGGATTCAGTGTCCAAGTGTCATGCTAGTAACAGGGAGATTTAACACTTTGACTGCCACGTCATCCACCTGTGGGTGACGCGTACCTTGCAAAAAGGTTGAATTAATTAAATACCGTTAGAAAATCTTTCCGGAAAATTAATATCATCGTACAAATTTCAAACAGTACCAATAGTATTTATTAACTAAACGAATATACATATATTTTCAACGATATATGACTGAAAAAACGAAATAACGTGTGTCTGGTTATGTACGGGCATTTTCACTGTGGCAGTCGACGTGTTAAACTTCGGTGTCGATGGCTCAAGACTGAAATTCCGCCATGGGTCACCATCTGTCCCTACCAAGTGGCTTTTGAAATTTGTCCTAACAATCTGACGAACCACCAAGTTAGAGGATTTAAACATTCCGCGAGTAAAGTATACTCAAACTAAGAACTCTCCGAATCCTTCCAGTCTTCACTCAAGTTTCTTACTTAACCATCACCAAGTCTCAGTTCCATCTGTTCGTTGCTTCGCGAGGGAATTTAACGTAGATCGAAACGTGATTTTGGCACCGGTCCCTCGACTCCGATTGCCCTCATTCGAGGTCGTCCTCTATTATCCTTCCTCCCCCCCCCCTCCTTGATCCAGCGTGTGCACAATTTTCCTAGCAATTCTCGGCTCCTTCGACGTTCCCAAAGGAGGTTGAAGGTGACGGGCGCCGGTAGAAAGATTATAGGTGAACCTTTTTTTACGTGCAACCTTTGCCCTTATTTGTACGACACTTAGCCCCGTCGTCGGCGTTCTAAGAAGCTTATTAAGGAGGGGGGGGGGGACAGACGTCTATCTCTCTTTCTGTGTCTCTCTTGTTAATTCCTCTTTACGGGCGTACCACTCTATTTTTGGGATCGTGTGCCGACCGATGGGAATGATGACTCGCCGGGAACAATGAGACAAGAAGCGATGGCACCCGTATGATGCAACTCGCCAATAACGAGAAACACACCGAGACATCTCATCGGGTTTACTCATTCCCCCGGATCGGAGCATACCGTAGTCGCGGCCGCGCACAGTGCGTCGAGTATATGGGCGTTCGGGACATATAATCGTAACTTCTGAACTAATCAGTTTTCGGCCTCAGTACAATAATATTTCTTTTTAGAGAGAATACAAAAATGCATCGATTGATGGATAAAAAAATTATACAGTTTTATTCGAAATAATTGAGGTGGCCTTGATAGTTTTTTTATTGAATACAAAGTCTTTTTTGTCAGTATTTACTATTGCAATTTGTTGTAAACTGAATATTGACTAACTTTTTTCGAAACATTTTTTTATCAAATTAACTGTAATTACTATAATACATCGTTATTCGAGTCAGAACACAATTTCGTATAATATATCACAGAATTCATTTCAATTCATTAGAATACAAAAGTTTCTTGATTTTCGTTAAAACATTCGATACTTTTCGTGATTTATCGCTCGAAATCCATGTGTCACTTACATCAGAATACCTTAGCTCTCAATACCGAACCTAAACAGAAATTTACATTGTAAGTAACTCAGTGTACCAGTTAGTAGCAGAAAAAAACATGTAAAATTTTGAAAATATAACAAGTAATGTATCGAAATGTATTTGAAACCCAGGATACATTTTGTCAAATTTTTAAGTTCAATTGAAATCGATAATGTTTAGAAGTTAAACCGAAATGTCATACAGCTGCAGAAAATCAATCTATTTGTAAAAAAATGATAGAAAAGGAAATGTGCGTACCTTGGTGAGTGTTCTCTATTATAAAGTATTCTTATAAATATATTGGAGCAACAGATGCAAATCATTTGCAGATACCAAGTTACAACTAGGCATATTTAAAAAATGGTCGATATTAGCTTATACTTTTTTTTGTAAGAACAACTATTTTCTAACATTGTTCAACGAGATTCAATACTGTCATACGAATAAAAAATTTCGATTTTTGTCCACTGTGCGTGGCGGTTGTAATTCGTGCGCGCGCGTTCTTCCCGCGTGTTGGACACTCGACATTAGGGGGATTACCCGTGCATGTCGGTGTCGTCGTCGGTGATTATTACATCAGAAGAGTAAGTCATGATGCTGGAAAACGTGGTCGATCGATAACATTGAAAATCATCCGTCCGTGGACAGCTGGGTCTGGCGTGTGGCCAATCGGCCACCACATAAATCGCTCAACCCTTCTCTCACCCACTTTGTTCTTCCACCGAAATTCCCCCCCCCCCCTCCGTTGTTTTTTTTCTTCTCAAACCCAGTGAACTCTGTTGCAGATTTTCTCTTTTGGTCCCCGAGAAGACGATAAACACCTAAATACCTCCACCATGGCGTTCGCGGGGTTGAAGAAACAGATCAACAAGGCTAATCAGGTGAGCAAACCCGTGACCGACTGTGACCGTAGGATTAATTGGTCGAGCTTTTTAACCACGGCTTGTCTACGCGCCTCTGAAATTTTTATCAGGGGATTAGAAGTAGTACAAGTCGGACGTAAGCGGAATCGCTGAGAATTGGAGGGCTATAGAGGTTACTGAATTAACAATCCGAGCACTCGTTACTGAATTTCCATGTGACATACAGATCATCGTCCTACGGTGATTTGATCACAATTTTCCTTAATGCGCGTTCACGTTACTGTCTCGCCTACGCGGATTCGTTGACCGAGATTCGTCGTTCTTTTGGGGGGGTCGAGTTTTCGAGCTCCTTCAGCACGTTGATTGCCACAGTGAAAAAGGCCCTGCGTATCCAGACACGCTTTATTTTGTCATTTAAGTGATAAATCATCGAAAATATACGCCTTTAGTTAACGCATTTAGTTGTAAATTATTTAACAACTACGAACAAGTATTTCTTTTTCCATTTTTGTCTATATTACATATCATATAAATGATTCACAATAACATTTTAACATTTTAAAAGCATTTAGTGCCATTTTTCATTCGTTGTCATCTGGCAACTTTGTTTACTTTTATTATAGTTATGTGTAATAATTGACATTATACAGTTATTATACGTAATCAAGACCCATTTTTCGTACCTTTAGCCAGCGAACTCTCTTGAAATATTTAAGAGAAATTACAGTTTTATAAGTTCTTATTGAAAACTACCATCCATACTAAAAAGCATACCATCTATACAAGACTAGAAGAAACTATTACATACTCACAGATATGAAAAAATACACGAGACGATACGGTATTTCACTTCGTGGATTAGAATACGTAGCCATATGGCAACAGTGAGAACGAAAGGGTTAATAGAGGCTGTTAGCCTTGTTTTAAATCGTACTGTGACATTAATTTTATGCAAAAATTCTGTAACGATATTCAAATAATCCAGTTTCTTTTGCAATGCACGTGTCACCCATACTTGGGTGACGTGGTAGTCAAAGTGTTAGAGTTCTCTGGTCTAGGATCCGATTAATCACGGTTTTTATGAATTTTTTTCTCGTTGAAAATTAATCCTTTGGATGGCTCAATTATGAACAATTCTGTAATATTGTCCACTGTGAACATTTGTGGAATATTTCGCGCGGATGACAGTTTGCTACATTGAAAATTTATCACGTTGTCTCTGTACACCGTTATTTATTGCACATATGCAATAGAGCCGCGTCTTATGTAATTATCGAACACTGTATGAACTGATTGTGATGTGGTAACGAACGTCAGGGCACATTAATGTGCACCAATGAGGCTTCCAGACACACGTTTCACGTAATATTTTTACGTTGACTTTCGGGAAAATTAATTTTAAAAAATCCACTCAGATTTAAACCCTACTTTCTTACAAATTCACCTCTGATCTCCATCTGTCGAAAACATTTTCTCGGTGTTTTCTTTTCCATTCGTTGGCTCGAATTTTATTTTCGTTTGTCATCGTTTCAACCCTTTCCAACCTGAATTCTTTTAAACAAAAAAAAAAAACATTTTTGTGAATAATTATTTCTTGGATGTCAAAAAAAAAAAAAAAATAGGAAAATTAAAAAGAAGAAATGAACGAAAAAAATTGTTTACAAACAGAAACGAACATTCATAAAATAATTTCTAAATATTATTATCGGGAATGTATCTATCTAACGTCGAAAGACTTTGATGCCACATTGAATCTTCAGACTCATGATATGCGTTACAAGTGCTAAGTAAGTTAATGATTCCAAATGGAATTTTACGGTCGGAAAGGGTTAAGATTTCTTGTATCGGCAGACAGGTCGTTGGCGATGAATCATAACGGATTGGAAGCTATTAACGATCCAGATTTTCGTATTGATCGGATGTTCCGTGCTGGTTTTATGCAGGCCGTTTCTGACCTGAGAACAGAGGTCTCTCGTCCGCCTCAATACGTCTTGAGTGGAACAATTAATTCTTATTTAGGTTGACACTTATTAAATTCAAGCTGGTAGACGTGCCCAGGCCGCTGTTAAAGGCCCTTCGAATCGGGACGAAACTAACACGACCGGAGAGACAGACGGGGTTTCAACCAGGGACTTCTACCGAAACGTAAAATATCGGTATTATATCGGTATTTTCGGTTGAACCTTCGCCCTATACAATAATCCTATATAAGCTCTACCTTTATAGAAACCGAAAAAATACCGGTATTTATTTTGGTTTTCGGTAATACAATCGGTTTCGATATAGCTTTGATGGCATAATACCTGTATCAAAATCATACCGATTTAAGTCCCTTTCGTTTTCAACACCGTATTCGTGGGTTTGGTATTCGGAGAACGTGGTGGCGGACGGATTGTTTGTAATAGATCGATACGAATCACCGGTTGCGTCCCGGATACCGTATAATTGCCCGTAATCGCGAGAGTCACTTTTCATAAAGGAATGCAAATATTTCGTATAACTGCATCAGCTTCGATTTCCACGGCTATAATTCAAGTTTCCGCGATTTTTCTCTTGTTAAACGGATAACTGAATAGGATTGTCCGGTGAACGGAGAAGTGACTTCAGCGTTCGATCATCGCGAGACAATGTCTTATTCATGAAATATTTATATTCGGATCCGACGATTTATTCTCGGGCAATATTGGTACCAGCGTTTAAGAAATTCGATTGATACTTGAACGAAGTTACTTAATTGGAGGATGTAAACGATTTTTGTTCTGGAAATAAATTACTCGATTCGGTATTGTGTGCACTAAACATTAAATAATTGTTGAAACTCTCTTGACGGTATTATAGTACGCGAGAATAATAGTAGAGATGAAAGATATAACTTGTTCAAGGTCGTTTCCCCCACTGTAAACTGTCCAAGACACGGTTACCTACTTTTACCCCTTTGTACATACGTTTTTCCGAGAAATGCAGTATTGAATCGAATTAACTACATTTTTCTTTGAGATGGACTATGTCAGTTGGGAATTATGAACTCTACTAAAAATACATCACTGGATTAATTTATAATGTTGTAAAGAATAGTTAAGTTTATTATCGAGCAATCCACTATTACTTTAATAAATTTGCAATATAGTTTGAATTTCATGTATCGATTTTGGGAAACAGTGATGTACATTATTCACCCATTAATAGCTGTTGTTGCACAAACGCAACATTAAATTTTTATTTTTTTACATTAGGGTAAAGGCAATATGTTGCTTTATATCTGCCATAATTGTGTTCCTAAAACTTTCAAAAGACATACAAAAATGTTCGTTTGCGAATAAAAAATTATTCTCTTTATATTTACCAATTTTTCAAGTAAGAATGCAGTTCCTCGAAAAATAAGAAAAGACAATACAGGACATATCATTGTGGGACATTCAGACAAATCAAGAAAGAGATGCAGAAAGTCAAACGATTTATATGTGTAACAAAAGCAATGTCCATTTACATTATATTCAGCATATTTTAGGGCCATAATGAATAATTATTTAATTCTGTATAATGTTTTAAGTCGTTGATATTTTGTGATTACAGTACTACATTTTTAATTTAATAAAATATAATTTAATCCGCTCACTGCATCTTTTTCGTGTTTTGTACAAAAAATTTTGTTCATAAAATCAAGAACCAAGTAATTGTAAGACTATTTCAAACATATTTTTACCATAGTTTTTTTATAAACAATGTGTTTTCTCACGATAAATAATGAAGTAGTAGTCTCAATAACACTGTTTTTCTAATGTTTGGATGTCATTTAAAGAAATTTCGTACTGTCGATCGTCAAGAAATGTTCCAAATATTGTCGCTAAAGTGATAAAGTAGACGTCCATCCACTGTAGTTGACAAAAACGTATTTTAATTGAAAATAAATACTATACATAGGCGTAGAGTTTCTACTTTAACACTAGAACTACTAAACCCGCCAAAAGGACGGATTACAGATTTACTATTTTGCCATTACTGGAATTATAATGGTGCTTTTGGTGGAATTTATGTTGGCTTTTAATTTACTAAAGATTTTATTTTATGGCATACTATGCTAGATTGTCTTACATATTCTGTATCTTATTGTGTTATACAATTTCTAGTGTTAATGCTTGGTCGCTAATGGGTTAATTCGCGATTACCAGAGACCATGTCCCGTAGTTTAAACTATTTTCAACGTTTTCCACTACACCATTGATTGTACAGATACCATACCAGAAGCAGAAAATATTTTCTGTACAAGTTACGAATCCATATCATCTCCATTTTCCTTCCTTCATCTCCCCTCGGATGGTCTGGCGCCCTTTTTTTCCCCTACAGCCGATTGATTAATCCGCGAATCCCGGCGAAGCGATATTTCACGGTCCCTGTGGCCACGCACGTCGTACAAACATTCTAACACAATGCATAAATGTGCATAAATTCGAGTCGAACGGCACGTGACATTGCATCCCCGGCCGGATGTGGGTCAGATTTACTCTAGGACGACGTTTAATTGGCAATGGGTACGTAGGTACGGTGGATACCTCTGCTCCTGCGTGTAGTAACCGTATATAAGTGGGTCACCGCGTTAAATATGGGTCAGGGTCGTACGGGAAGCTTCATCAAATAATCGTGTTGCTTGGCTTTCACGCTTTTCAAGGATCACAGGCCATATTGTTGCTTCGATCGCAACGTTCAGCTTTCGAGCGTCGACATTACACACATTCGCGGCGATCATGCGGAGTTAATACGTCGTGAACGATTGTTAATTAACTCCATTCTTTCGGTTGTAGAAACTCCACTTTCCCTTCGTCTTTATGCCTCCGACAAATGAAATCCTTCCCCCACGAGAATAATTGAAAAGCGAATTTCTTATTGCTCGACATTACCGAGGAATGAAAATGAGAATTTCATGGTAATTATTCCGTTCGTTTTAATTTTTTATTTTTACGACGCAATGTGTTAAATTCCCGTGGAAAGGATCAAAAGGATTCGACGAACGAGTGCAATCTATCCTCGATTATTATTAAGGGATGAAACGAACGAAAATTGCTTTCACAGCCGAGGAGAGCTCGGATTTCACTCGGAGCATAAAACCTGATTGTTAGTCTGCAAAATGGATTGTTTTCATTTCACGTTACGAGCAGTGCAGGATTGTTTCCACCGGGGAAAAACGTGTATCCGGGATATTGCGCTATGGAGAACGGTTGTAATTTTCGTCGACGCGATTGAACGGGCGGCCGTAGTTCGGCGGAAACTGCGGTGCCCCTCTGATTAAACCAAGAACTTTTGAAAAAATACCACGAGCACACTGCGAAATTTAATACTACTCTGTCACGAGGTAGATTTCAATATTACAATGGAGATAATACGGGCCAAGAAAAATGGAAAAAGGAAAGAACGATGCCAGCGAGCAACGGTCGCTGGACTAGAAACGCAGGGGTACGAAATTACAAATGATAACAAGAAATTACCATTTCTGTGTCTGCCAGTGGGTGAAACTGTTTCCACAAGACATCCAGAATGGTGTTTAACTCGATCCAAGATTTAATCTTTCGGTCACGATTGCCAGATAAAAGTCGTTGGATATCCTCGGGACACTTTTTGTTTCGGTTGGCAAAATTTCAAAGGCATCGCTTTGGATCAATTGACTGCGGATATTATTGATCCGGTAGTGGCCCTATCCTTTCTGACGGTTTTTCTCTCCCCCTTTTTCAAACATTCTACGACTATATTCCCTTGCACACCCGTCTCCCTTTGGTTATCATCGCCCCCCTCCCCTCCTACCCCCGTTCAAGGGGAAATCTCGTTTGGTCTTTTAGGATGATCTCGCTTTACGAGCAATTAACTAACACCGGTCGGCTTTTTTATGCGTTCCTCGGAAATTCTTCTAATATCGTACTTCATTCCGACGTCGAGGACGATTCGCAGTTTGTCCGTGATATCGTTTCACCGATACGATTTCTCTGGGGCTGTGCCATGGCGCAATAAAAGGGGATGAACACGACTGTTCCAATAAAATAAGGGGATATCCTTGTAACGTCGTAGAAACACGAGAACTAAATAAAACTTCCGTGCGAGTAAATGATATTGATAAAAAGTATAGAACTTTTGTGGTGGATTTGATCCATCTTTAATACTAGAACTACCAAGCCCGTCGAAATGTCGGGTTACAGATATTTTTCGTTATATTCCCGTATTTGTTTCCTATCAAGTGTCTTGACTTTTAATTATCTGCCCAAGTATACCTTGATATACCAAGACCTGTCAAAATGATGGGTCAATAAAATGAATTATAAAATGACTTTTAGACTAAGAAATATATATCAGTATCTTTTCGTATGTTTATACAAAGAATTAGCGTTATTTATTTCAATAGTTTTCATCCGTATTTGTCATTCTAAAATGTTTTTTTGTTCTTATACTTCAAAATGCCGCGTGAATGATGCCGCAGCGATTGTTGAAAGTCTAATCAATATTTTGATATATTTAATATATTTAATTATATTCGGTATGTCAATACAACTTACCTAATATGAAAGGGGTTTCGAGAAACAATAAATTATTAGAAATATTATCTAATATCGAGGAAGACGGTTCAGACACGACTGCTTAGTTCTATTTACGACGTACAATAATCTTATAAATTATCTTACAATAATCTTATAAGTTATCTTACAATAATAGTTCCATTTATGTCAGTAGAATAATCAAAGCTGATCACGTTTCGTGGTCCACCCTGTATGCATATTGTAATAAAAGTTGCGAAGAATCTCAGAAAATACACTGTTATGTATTCTAAGAGTTTACGAACTTATGAACCAGTGATTTTGACTGCATTGGTAGCTGTAATGTTGAACTTTATCGCAAGTTCTCTGCTGACGAAATAATTTCTAATCGAACTTATGCTTTCCAAAGTACATGACGGAGAAGATGGGCGGCGCGGAAGGAACCAAGCTTGACGTGGATTTCATGGACATGGAGAGGGTGAGTACGCGATTTTTTACATTCTTAAGGTTTCCCGCTCCACGTTCCAACCTCGGATCGATCCTCGGTCGTGCGGCGGGAAATTCGTTGGTATTCCGAGATTACGTATCCGTCTATCTCTAATCTAAGCCGAGAGCATTGAAAAATGGGATGGTACAAATTTTGACCGTAGAAAACGGACGTCACGTACGAGCTTGTCGAGGAGCTGCAGATGAAAACGAAAGAATTCCTGCAACCGAATCCGACAGCGAGGGCAAAGATGGCGGCGGTCAAGGGCATCAGCAAGCTTAGCGGTCAGGCGAAAGCTTCGACCTATCCCCAGCCGGAAGGCGTTCTTGGCGATTGTATGCTCACCTATGGCAAGAAGCTCGGAGAAGATAGTATTTTCGGTACGTGGAATCGGTCCGAATACCTGGATCCATTCGTAAAATTTATCTCCAGCGATTGTATTTAAACGTTCATTGCGAAACGTTTTAGCCACGCTTTTTATAATAATAATTTATGAGTAAGACAAGCTAACCGGTTGTCGAGTAGTTGTTTCACGAGTTTGCTGACGATTTCGTAACTAATTTGAACGTCTCGTTATAACACTTAGGCAGTGTTCGGTTGCAAATAGATAAGTACCGTTTTTTAATATATAGAAAGAAGTGAAAGATTAATTACTGATCAGTACAGTGGGTGATCGGTTAACGAACATAATCCATTCAAAGAAAATGTTCGTTATCCGATCATCCATTTACCATAGATTTTTATGGGAATTTGATTAATTCATTCGGGAAATCCAAGAAATAAATAAAAATTATTATTAATACTACGTTTATCATCCGATCTGTTCGTTAACCGATTACCCACTGTATACGCACATTAATCCATTAGAAGAAGAACATTTAGAGAGAGAGAGAGAGAGAGAGAGAGAGAGAGAGAGAGACAAGATACGTAGTATAACATCTTCGAACTTTGTTACTATTCCCAAATACTGACCAACTGACCAATATTTAAAAAAAAGAGATAAATATTATCGTTGGTACTTTAACGAGGGCTTACGTTTACACCCCACGAGAAATTTATTCCCTCTTCATTTACATTCGCAAGATACTTAACCGAAACTTCGTGCTCTATGTAGTTCTCAGGGACCAGACACATAAATATGTAGCTAAGTACGGGAAGGGATTCATTCGTCTTTTCTAATTCCCGCAGCTCTGGCTCTCATTGAAATGGGGGAGGCGATGAAGCAGATGGCGGACGTGAAATATTCTTTGGACGACAACATTAAGCAAAACTTTCTTGAGCCCCTGCACCATTTGCAGACCAAAGACCTGAAGGAGGTGATGGTAAGTTTTCACGGTTATTGGAAAAGTTTGTTCACCTCGGTTAACATTCAATCCAGGGGTGGGAGGTATATTGTCCTAGTTTAACCGGTGATATTCGCCTCCTGTTTCAGCACCACCGGAAAAAACTTCAGGGACGACGACTGGACTTCGATTGCAAGCGAAGACGCCAAGCGAAAGGTACGCTCGTTGTCCGCGCGTTCACTCTTCAATTCCTCGCATCTTTATTGATTTATTTAAGCAGCACACGTCGGTACTGCCGTACCGTGGCCTTGCGACACGAAAACTTGACGCGTTTGCAATTATAATTTCGTGTTTTCCGATAAACGACACCCTGGCCCGGTTCACCCTGGCAAATAACGCGTGGATGATCCAGCTGGCTGCACGGTTAGGCGTGCGATCTTCTGTGATACTTGATGTCCCATTAGACAATGGCCGATTCTAATGAATAGAATTTTGATATTGAATAGAAGCGAAACGAAACGTTTCCATGTTAAACAGAATACATATTCATTAGACTTGTCCCATGGAACACTTGAAATAATAGTGTTTAAAGGTATCCTTCTTGTACCTTTAACCAAACTGACACAAAAAAAACTGTGACTCGCTGTACATACATTGCACTCGCATGTACTACCGCATGTGCACGTACAATTGTGATTGTGATTGTAATTCGTTACGATTACGGGTGTGTCAGGCGGTACCAGTATATTTTGTTTACTTTACAAAATTGTCGGAACAATTTTGATTTTCGTTTCTTTGAACGCTTCCTTCGTTACTAGCAACCGGGAAAAGATCCGCCAGTCCGCATTTTGGAAGCCCTGCAAAGACTTCGTCACCATATACCGGTACGTCATTACTCTAGGAGCGATCGTCGTCGAATTTATTTTTTTTTTTGTTGAACTCGCAGCCTTGTAGATTTGTATCTTCCTGACTTTGAGGTACTTTTGTGTATTTTGCGGTAAACGTATGTAGAGGTATACCAGAGAGTGATCCACATTCGTTTCTGATATTTCTGAAAGGAAAGTAACAGGTATACGTACGCAAGTGTCTGTAATACTCAAGTATTTGCGAGTGCACCGAATGTTGAATGTATTGTGGTAAATCTCCCGACAGAACTTAAATATCTGCACATTGCTTGCGTTAGAAAAAAAAGGGACGTACGCCGTCGATGCACTTAGGTGTTACTTAGGTGTTATTTCAGGTCCGGTTTACTTTTGCTAGCGTTAAGTTCCGCTTTCTCGTTCTGTTCTCTTCCGTATTCGTGTGTATCTATCTTAGGCATCCAAGCAACCCAGTAGTGCAATATTTAATACCTTCGCTGGCGCAAATTTTGCGAGCAGGTTCTCACGTTTCAGACGATGAGATACGTCAGGCCGAGGATAAGTTCGCAGAGAGTCTTCATCTCGCACAGTTGGGCATGTTCAATCTGTTGGAGAACGATGTGAGTTCTGTTCACAGAACCGATGATATTTAAAGAAAACCAGTCGACATAGAATACTGAATAATACCGTTACCATTTCCTGTGTTTTTATTCAGGTGGAACAAGTGGCACAGCTGGCAACGTTCAGTGAAGCTCTCTTGGATTATCATCAGCAGTGTACCGAGATTTTGAGAACATTAACGGAAACGCTTCTGGAGAAGTACGTAATTACATATACGAAGTTTGAGATTGCCCAAAATTCGTGTATATTTTTAATACAATCATTTGTTTGCCAATTACAGGAAAGACGATGCAGCGAACAAACCAAAAATGGAATTTGTGCCCAAGACCTTGGCTGACCTGCACGTCGATGTATTACCCGGATTGGATGCTATGAACGGTGGGAACTACTCTCTTCACGGTAAAACACTTTTTACACATACACATACAAAAACGATGATACCTATGGGTGGACTGGCTGTTTGTTTCTTGTCTCCTTTGTCATGCAACGAATCTAAGTGTCCTATAACTATATGTATACTCTAACCATGAATCTTGTCGTACTTTCTCCTCTGTGAATTTTCTTGTCACTTCTTTTGGCTGATGGATGGATACTGAATTTCATTGTATCTTAGCGCTCGAAGGACAATGTATCACGCATATACGGTGTAAGATAATCTGGGCAATGTTCTCTATTAAAGATCAGAGTCCGATCTGCCGATGAACTTTACAGGAAATTGAAGAAATCATTTTCTTCACCTTTTATTTTCAAATCATAATGTAGAGTATCGTAGCCAGACGTGTAGAATAAAATCACTAGTGACCGAGTCAGAAGATGAACTGTTAATAGCCATGGAAGTAGAGTAAACTTAAATCTATGTCACAAAGTAATAAAATAAAATTATTTTTCATTGTGCAGCTACAATGGGTAGACGTCTCTAGCAAAAGCACATATAAGTTGGACTCTATTTAGCGAGTAGAATGTAGACGTGCCTAGCCAAACAAAGATTTACACTATATAATGATTACTTGTAACCAAATTATATGAAGTTTTATTTTGTGTAGTGTAATATAATCCGTACCTTATTAGACAAAGAAAAGAAAGCATTCCTAATAAATACGTAATATAGATTCACCCTTAATCTGCCAAAAAAGTTGCACTGATATTTTTAACATTTCTATCATTGATGTTTTCCAAAGCTGAAAATAATTGTCCAGATTTCACTGTACAGACTCCTTTCGATTATCGTCTGGTTTTTTCTACATGATTATTGTCCTGGCGTTATCCCCACCACTGGGGCAGGGAGACCAAGGAATCTGTCAAACGCATACTTTGTTACCCTTCCGCTTTTGTTGCCGAAGCTGGGGCTTCGGGCAAACAAATTTACGAGGGTCTGAAGCATTTCTCCCTATAAGATTATTGTCCCGGCACAGACCCAAGTTCGGGACGATAATCAAGAAGAGTCTGTATTTTCTTTTATGGTATGCGAAATAAGGGAATCGTTTGAGGTGTTACACTCCATTAAAACCATTCTGTACAACAACACTTCTATTACACACTATCCGAATGTTTTTATGTGTACATTTCGGCATACTTGAATGTCTATCCTTCTGACACAATGTAGGGGCAAGTCGATCTGGGTCTCCGACCCATGAAGGGAAGCGCTCGCAGCTCGAGCTATTTCCGGCTGGGAACCCGCCACAATCTGCCAATGGTAAATTTTGCATGGGGTTGCCTTCTCCCGGCGTACCTTAATCAATCTATTACTTGACCTCAATTTATCGCTTTTCGTGCACCGCAACCAAAGGGGCTAGAGACTAATTAATGTCTCCTCATTTATGTACCTTCATTCGTACACAATTAACCACAGTGTAATTACTGGCACGCATGCTTGTTCATGAACCGCACTATCTTTTCTGTTACACACTAATTTACGCTTTTCTCTTTTACTATATTTTTGCAGGCAATCAATTAACGATAAATATAATTTTTAGCTAGGCATAATATATCTTTTAGGACTTGTTAGGCGGATGAAATTTTTTGTATCGAGTAGTACTGTCAACGTAGAACTATGAATACGAATATCGATGAATATAATTTTTAGCTAGGTACAATATTTATTTCAGCCATCATTAGGCAGATGTAATTTTGTGTATTGAGTAGTACTATCAACGTATAGTGAAACCATCACAAGCAGATAGTTAATTGTTATGGTTCTAACCACGTACTTAAGATTATCGAAGAGAGCATAGTATGTCGTAGTATGTAAGTTTTTTTTTTTCATATGCCAAGAGTTTTACTATTTTTCAGCTTCTCCTTTGCCGTCTCCGAGTAAATCGCCAGCAAGGACTCCGATGTCAAGACAACCTTGCTGTACAGCTTTGTACGATTTCGAGCCGGAGAATCCTGGAGAGCTTGGATTCAAAGTAAATATGACAATATATTAAATCATAACTTAGTAATATATTCGTTTTAGTTGTAGAATTGTCTCTAAACAATCCTGTCAGTATCGACAAGTTTTTTTTTCTGTAGCTGTACAGTAATTATTAGAGCCTGTCGGGGTATCCCAACAATTAAATATATTTTTCCAGGAGAACGATACGATTACTCTGATCCAAAAAATCGACGAGAACTGGTACGAGGGCAGCCTGAATGGTCGCACCGGTTTCTTCCCAGTAACTTACGTGCAAGTCGTAGTGCCATTACCTTAAAAGAACATGCTACGTCCCGAAACCAAAGAGCCTGCATTCGTTCACCAGCGTCTACCACGAAATTATCTTAACGCTCCAATTAGCCTAACTCTCTATCTCTCTCTCTTGAAGACTTCTCTATTGTCACTTACGTTCTTATGGTCCCGAGGCTTGTTCGTGACGACGGATTTCAAAGTTTCTCTGTCTCGTTTCCGTTTTCGTTTCTCGTGTCCCAAGAATAGCTGTATACGCATGTTAATGTACATATATAATGTTATAGTGTCTTCTATCGGCGTAAGGACCCTCGCGAGCACAGACACACACGACACAAGACATATGATGATACACACTGATACTAAGGACACTAAAGTACCTACGACGGTAGTACCACTGTCAAAGGCGGGCTCATTTCTCACGTTCGATGTCGTCTCATAGTCATGATAAATTGCATCCTCGTTAGTTTCCTCACCAAAGTTCAATTGCACAAAGATATCAAGACCGCCAAGACTGCATTGAAATTCGAGTAGCAAGACCGTTTTTCGAATACTCTTTTTACATCATGTTGATTTGTGATCATCGTCGGCGTATTATTAATTAGGAAAAAACGTTAAGTTTAGTATTCAGTTTCGTTAGCGGTAATCTGTTTGTGATGAGTTTTTAAGGCGATTCGTTGCTCAGTTGAAAGCGTGGTAGATTGCTTGCATGAGGCCATCTCATCGTTGTAAATGTTTTTTTTTATACGTTTGTTTGTTGATACCGAAAGAAACGAATCATGTCGATTCACGGCGTACATTTCTGAGTTGGTCCGCACGGCGAAAACGTGTATAGTATTTGCCCCCCCCCCCCATTCCCTAAGTCGTTTGACGTTTAGTCGATCGTTTTACTTCGTTCTAATCATTTAGGTAAAACCGAATAGAAATTAGAGTTTAGTTTAAGCAATCTTCAATATGGCGGCGAATCTCTTCCACGAAGTCGTTATCGAGACAAACGGTGAACAGCTAGCTAGATCCTCGGATTCCGTTCACAGTTTTCCGTCGTGACTGCTTCAAGTCGTAAGAAACACAAATTATGTCTAGATTCTTTGTTGATTATTAATCAAATCGATTCTAATTTCTTTACAAGCTAGCTAAGAACAACTCAAGTGACTTCCTTAAATGGATTCGATTTGCTGTTAAATGGAATTCTCTTCCACGTTCCTCCTTGTCCGTTCCAAGTTCTGAAACAGAGAATCTTGATCCGAATTAGAGTGTATTCATCACGATTAGTTCGTTCCCTTCACTGACTTTGTACGAGAGTTCAACCGCCAGAACAATGAAAGTAATTAAGGAACTTGGTTATTTGTTGCCACGTTAAAAAAAATATATATATATATATATATATACTTATACATATATATATGTTGTCAATAACGGCGACAACGCTGATGACTAAGACGATGGCATTATTATTATTAATATTCGCATATTTTTCCATTACTTGTTAAATACATTCACACCGTGGAAAACGTTCTTGGCCTTACCCTTGTATTCTTAATTGTTCCACACGCAGGTTCGTATAGTGTTTATCAATTTTTCCGACGGTTCGAGCAGCGTTCCGATTAAACTGTGAATTATAACTTTATAATAATCGAGGTAGTCGTATTAATTAAGGATAATAACGATACTATCAACGCGATCGAACAATATTATGAAAGAAGTAGGTTTACTTGTTAACGTTATATTAGTTGTATGTATAATCTATATACATATATGTACAAATTAGGTATTTTTTATGAGTTAATTGCATCACTATGATCTCGTACAACGTATGTCAGTGAATTATAATATATTTTCAGAGAAAAAAAAAAGGTATTGAAAGAAGCCGTTGCGTTTAATCGAGACGTTGTTCCGATGGCCGCTCGAATTGCCAAGAATTGAAACTTACGGGTTCATTTTACCGCGAAGTGAAAGGACTGAAAAACCAAAAAGGTGTTACAAACTATTGGCCAATGTCCAAGCCGCGATGTATATATATATATATCGCTACTGCTGCTACCGTCATCAGCGTTCAGTCACTGCAGACGCAAAAAAAAAAAAAGTACGAAGAGAAGAAAAAGACATTGATAATTTTATCTATTATAATTATCGTGAGCCACGAAACTTTCTCCCCGAGACAGACTCGAAGTGTTATCGATGTTGTGCAATATTAAAGTTTAACATCACGGTGTTTAAAAGTCAGTTAACGCGATAGCTGGATCAGTGTTTCTCAAATCCGTGATTGGTAAATCAAAAAAAAAAAAAAAAAAAAAAAAGAAAAAGAAGAACGAAGATGCGTGTCGGTCGTTAAATGAATGTTAACATCCTTCCGTCAGGTCCGATGACGAGTCGTCTAACGTTTCGAACACGGTGTTATGTAAATTGTCACGACCGAGAACGACTAACTCGAAGGTCCACCGGAAATATACACGTTCTACCTCTGTACATTTATCGAGTAGACCCCGCCGAAAAATGTTCGAAATCGATTTGTAAACGAAAGATCCAACGTTTTTCTATCGATTGAAATGTCGACGCGTGATCAAGTGGTGTCGCCTGGCTCAAAGTGCTACATAATACCCGTTGAGATCTCGTGATTTTGCCTTCAGTAGAGCGACGCGTAACACGGGAGAACGTAACAGTTAGCGAATCTAAGTGCCATACAAGCATTTCTCCAATATGTTTATCGACGTGCAAGAAAAGGAGAGACGTCAACTACGTTAGAACGGTAGCCGTTAGCGAAGGAACACAACGTCAGTTAGGATCGATTGTTTTTATGGTTCTCTTGAGCGTGATCCCCTGCTAGGAAGTTCGTCAATTAATAAGAATACGAGAATCGGCGAGGCGCGGGGTTTTACATCTTCCAAAGATGCCGGATAGTTACGAGACGAGTGAGAATAAAAAAAAAAGATGCTTGGCTTGAAGCAGACATGAGAATAAATTGTTTGATATACAAAACAAGAATAGTAAAAACAAAAAGAACATAATATTACTAACATGACACAGAAAATACAGAATATCAGAAACACGGAGATAGTCGTCACCTGAAGTTTTTTTCTTTTGTTTTTTCTTCAGAATGATTTATAACAAATATTTTGGCACAATTCTATTCGAACGATGTCTCGTGTCTGGCTCGAAGCTCGATGGGAGTCCTGCAATTTGCGTCCACGTGAAAACGAAAGCAATATAAATATAAGAACGGAGATATTTTCATGGAACGGAAGACATATCACTGGTCGAACGCGGTCCGCGCGACTTTTGAGACACACTGATGCCGGATATACTGTGAACGAAAAAGATAAAAAAAAGAAAAAGAAAATGAAAGCTACGAAAACGGGAGGTGAATAAGTTTGCCCGCGTGATAATATTTGTTTCCACGTTAACGCCCGCGTTTGCCTTCACTCTTGTGGCCCGAACCAACTCTTCGACGGGAATTGAAGAAAAAGAAAAAAAGAAAAGAAACCGGTCGACGATCGTGAAGTAAAAGAAAAGAGGGATAAAAACCGAAAAAAAAACGCAGAAACGAATGAAATGAAATGATCTATAAAAAAAAAAAAAAAACACTAAAATCGGTATCTTACTCTATAAATGTTGGCTATTGTTAAATGTTGAATATTGTTCTGCGGAGGGCTTGCCTCCTTTCGAGCGAGACGAAGCACTACGCTTCGAATCGATGATTGTCCTCTTTTGTTCTTTTCTGTTTTTTTCTTTTCAGATTGCTTGACTTCTCGTACCAAAAGACGATCCCGTCTTTGTCGCACGCCTTCTTCTTTTTTTCATTACTCCATACGAACGAGCTTTTACTTTGTACATATTTATAAGTATACACGTGTATAGGTTTAGAATTTTATCGCGATAACGTATTATTAATTTCGCGTTAGGTTAGATTTTAGAGAACCTTTTCGGGCAGGATAGGAAACGGTATAATATATACATGCATATATATACATATATGTATTATATATACGTTCGAATGTACGAGTTCCGTTCGAAGTGACAAGCTCTCCGCATTTTAATTGTAATCTAACTATTTGGGGTTCGAGCAGACATCGAATCTATCGTTCCCCGCTAAGTCACTGAGCATCCTTGGTCTGAAAAAATTGGATTACGGACGCATAGGTTATCTCGCCCGCCCCAGCTGCCTCCAGCCTTTATACGTTAGCCGTGGCTTGCTGTTTATATGTACACACTAGTTTCCCGCGTCCATGAAACGAGAAACTTAATGCTTCTCCCGGTTTATGCTCCTCGCGTTTACGGTCCACTTATATTTTGTAAGCGTCAGATTGTTCCGTACTCGCGTGGACCATCATCGGAGAACGGAGCAATGGTTTCTTCGTTTTTGCAAACCAGGCTTCATTTTTTCAAGGCCTCTATTCTCCTCTGCGATCTCGTTACGTTTACTACTACTGCCCTTGTTTATTGTTCCGAAAACGAAGAGACGACCAGTGGATGCGACGCAGTGATACTTTCAGACAATACATTACAATTAATTACACTTATATTAATAAATTAATCTATTATGATTATTGAGCTCCGATTGAAGAGGAATATACGACATGTACTCGATTTCGGTCAATGCTAAATAATTATTAACATTAACTAAGGAAATAAAGTGTGCTCTATGTCATGCTACAATGTGATTTTTCAACCGACTCGACACTCGACTGCCATTTTTTTTTCTTTTGTATAAATACACCCCATATTTTTTATTAAGTTTCTATTGTATTGTATCCCATTTTCATTCGATTTTTCGGTTCTGTTCAGTGTTTATTTGAAAAGCTTTTTTCACCGCTCCTTTTCACACTTTGTACCGTCGTTTACAACGTAATGGTAGTGATTAATTTATATTTTCGAAACTGTAATCCCTATTATTGTACCTACAAATATTTATACATTAGATGTATGCAAGAGTAACAGAGTAATAGCCGTCATTTTAAAATTGGTATCGCGGTTTTATTTTCTTTTAATACAATTTTTGCGAAAAAAAAATGACAACCGGGGTTTTAATACACGAGTAGATATTATTTCGACTAATAGGTCCCTCTAGTGGTTTAAATGAAGATTTTCAATGTACAAACGGCCATTACTTTTGCCTACATCTAATAATTCCTAAAATTGCATTAGATCCGTCATCATTTAATCAATAATTCATCTTCCGTAGATTATTAAGCATTTCTTTTATAAATGCAATTAAAAGGGAACTGATTTATGTTTTAAGTGTTACGTTTATTCTTCCAAGTATCCTTGGTAATCCATCTCCATCTACAACAAACATATACATATGTTTGGTGCATCGTGATTACTAATGTAATTCAATTGTATTCCAATTCCAAGCTTCAAGATCGCTTGATAGGTTCGCTTTTTTTATGGTTCCTCGTTTCGACATACAAAATACGCGGACTCGTAAAGAGGGAGAAGCTTGGTTATCGTGTGGAATGTAGCGAGGCGTGATTCAGCAGATCATTTGCAGAGTTAACCAAGCCTGCGACATGATTTACCGGGCATGCGGCCAGCATCCATAATGCATACCGTCCCTTCTGTGGACATAATTGTATACGATATTACCCGAGGGAACACGGTTCTTCCCGGTAACAAGGCATACCATCAACTCGGAGGAGGAACCTCATAAAGCATCCTCCACGTGACCGTCCGCCTCTATACGTGGATATTCCCCTTTGTACCGCGAGATCGAGCCTCTTTCTCATCCAGTTATTTTACGTGCTTTACTCGAAGATACCCACGGAAAATATAACGGTTTGATGCCCAATTACAAGGCTAGCTACCTGTCCTATTCGCCCTTTTGACCTGTAAAATTTCCCCTTCGCGACATTTATCGAGGTTAAAAGTTTGCAAACTTAGCAGATGGCATAATATTTTATTCGATAAATGAGAAATTTTATTCTTTTATATTTATTTAACCGAATATTTGTGCATTTTATCGAGTAACTGTGTTCTGCAAGTGTAAATTGCACGGTGCTCATATTTAGTGTAAGCCAAATAAACGTTCTTCTGAATACGACTATTGCTTTTTTTTTGTTTGCATGACAAATTGATTCCTGAAACCCATGAAGCAGGGCAAGATAAGTATGCAATTTATTACCTGACGTGTTTGAAGGATTTTTGTAACGAGAGAAGAACACGGGAAGTTCAAATTGCAACTGTGGAGAAATTATTTGATGGAAAACTAGATAGGACGATGAAAACAAAAGAATAATTACTACTGAATTATGTAGTAGGATGTTACAGTGTCACCCAGTAGAAAAGGCGAATACATTCCGTTTAATTAAATTGATTAACCCTTTCATTCAAAAAATATTTCTTTTTGCACTTTTGTCGATGTTACATGACATATAAATGATTCATAAGAACATTTTAACATTTTGAGTGTTTAGTGCCATTTTTCATTCGTTGATGTTTGGAAAGTGTTTTTTACTTCTATCACAGTTATGTATAATAATTGATATTTTAAAGTTATAGTACATAATGAAACCAATTATTCTTACTTTTGATCAGTGAACTCTCTTGAAATATTTTAAAGAAATCAGAGTTTTATATCTTCTTATTGCATTACTAGCACTGCTGAACACTTGAATTCCAACAATTGAAAGAAACTCTTGTTTTTTCTCGAAGATTTCAAGGACATCGATGTTTTTTTTTCAAATAACTATATATTTTTTCCTATTGCATCGCGTAGTTCATGAAAAAATACATTCAGATATGTACCATGATATGACCTTCAAATGACCTGTAGTTATTTGAAAAAAAAACATCGATGATCTTGAAAGTTTCGAGAAAAAAACAACCTTTGAAAAAACAACGCCTACAGGATATTGACCATTTAATATCATTCAAAATGCATTTAAAATATTTTTTCTGTCATCACAATTAAAAAAGGTATTCGGGTGGTCACAATTAAACAAGACACCCAGTATACTTACAGTTACAAGAAAGTAGACGATACTAATATTTCCTTTCGTAATTTAAAATACGTAGCCATATGGCTACAATGGGAACGAAAGTATTAAAAATTAAAGCAAGTTACTTGTTGACAGAGCGTTAAGTAGCATAACTCAATATATGGTCGGCCCAGACAGTAGAATACAACCATTATTCATCCAACACAATCATCTTTATAAAGTTTCTTGAGAATTTCGACGATACAAAAACCAGAATTTTTAATATCCTGAAAACTTCTTTCACCTTTTTAAAAAGTGAACAGTACAGACAGTCAGAGGACTTTTTAATACGGGAATTCTAATGTAATTTGTCTTTCAATTCCGTCGAAAGTCCCTCCGTCGACGTAAGCACTGAATCGTTCGCTATTGTTGCTCTCTGTGCCCCAGTCGAGGAAAACTTTCCAGGGAGAAAGCTTCTCCTTCGTTCAAACGAAAAGTCGAATTACTTTCTCGCAGATACAATACAAACCCAACCGCGCGCGCTCTCTAGTTCGTGTCCCATAACAGGAGGGTCGTTTTTATTAATGCAACGCAGGGAAGGGCGGGGAGGGGGGGGGGCGTAAGCGGCTTACTCCCTGCAATTAAAATGTTTCTTTAAATACACAGCTTGTCGAGTTCGTTGCAGATGACGGAAAGTTGTGTTTAAATCCGAACTCGTTATACGCGGACTAGTTCGATACACGTTTTCCTTATTTTACTTGTGTGCGATTATAAAGGCGACTTTTTAACGGGAACGTTTGTGACGTATATAAAGAACGATACCGCCGGGGCTAATATCTCGCGAAATATTTATTTCTGCCGGGAAACCTTGAGTACTTTTTGCAGAAAACATCCGGGTTTATTTAAGAAAACTGTTGTGAATGCATTTGTTGAAAAGAGATTTATTAAGAAATACTATAGGGAATTAATTTTTCTGTCGTTGTAATTGGATTACAGGTGCGAAATGGGTTAATGAGAACGTAATCACGGAAATGTTCTTTCTGTTATTAATGGTGTATGATAAAGAAAATGGTTAAGGAAAATATTGTAAGATTTATGGTCCGATATTATGATTGACAAAACAATCAAGTCAATTTGAAGACCATTGTTGTTGTTTCAAATAGAGTCATGTTTTTTAATTCCACCACGATGTGGTAAATTTCAAGGAAACTTCGACAATGTGTAGTAACATTATCGTTGGACGACATTAAAATGAAACACTAATGTGAAAATGATAACGCGTTCCTCGATTCGTGAAACTTACTAATTTCATTTTCTCGGGAAAATGCATTAGTTGACTTAACATAAAATGTTTGTTTTGTAAATCCTCGATGAGTGTTCGAAGGTTCCTCGGCACTGAACATTAAATATTTCATAAACTAATAGCCATATGCGGCTGACAGAAATATCACTGACTCCAGAATTCCAAGATCTATCACTGTGTTAAATCTCATTAAAATGTCAGCGTTACACCTGGAGACCTTTCTTTACCAGTGCCAAGGAACCTTCGAACACTCATCGATGATTTACTCTGTAATATGTACATTGCTCAATTTGTTTCAAGGTCTGTAAATAGCAAGGAATAACAAAAGAATTTGCAATTCTACTTAAAAAAAAGTAGCCAACATCCAGTGACACCAGAGATGGGCAAACTCATTATCTAGATAAAAAGTTTCGAATAACGAATAAAGGATAAAAAAAATATTTTGTCATTTTTAATTGTTTAAACGTGGACATTTCAATTTTTATAATAAAATAATACTTCTTTATGAATGAATTGACATTTGTCGAACAATTATTTAATCTCATTAACTGTTTAGAGCTCAGGACGACACCCTTAGATACTGTTGCTTTCCACTGTGTATTATTTAAATAAAATTCTGCCCAACTCTGATTGACACACACATTTTTTCACAGACTTCTGAAATAACAATTACGTGTCAAAAGTTTTATGCAATTTCTCTATGTATACATATTTTCCTCGCCATTACTTTTATCATCCCTTTAGTAACAAATTCTTCTTAATTCTGAAATAAAATTTGCAGTTAGGTAAATAATTTGGTTAAATAGAAGTCTCTGTCTCTGTTCCCTTTTTGACTTCAATTTGACACAGGTTATGTTGCAAAACTTGCTGCTAGTTTGCCTTACCATTTTGTCAGCATTCGTTGCCTGAAAAACCCAAGCCAAATGCGGAAACAGATGACTATGGTTTTTTAGACAACTTTTGTCATTTATTGCATCAATTTTCTCGAAACTTGCACACAACTGGTTATCAGGGTTGCTTGTTATTCAATCAATATAACAGGCAATAATAAACAGAAACAAATTTGGCGAATGTGTTCAAAAAAAGATACTAATTTAAATTAGTTTTTTATCATTCCATAATGAAGCTGTACATTCACCCCTATATTTTCATTCGCTTTCCTCCATCTGGAGGACTCGTCTCCCCGACGATCCAAGACGGGAATAAGTCTCGACCTCTTACAAATACTTCCCGTTTCGGGGATGGAGAGCCTTTATGGGGACACGAGAGCCTGTATCGCCGGGACGTGAGGTAGTTACGGGAAAAATCGGCGCGAGAAAACCCACTCGTACTTGTAGATTCCTCCCGAGAGAGGCGGCTCAGTCTACGCTCGCGTAGCCAATTTGCCGGAACATTAGCCGCGGACGATGTTTCTTTCGTGACGCCTATTATTGACACAGCCTGTTCTCGATCGGCTATAATCAATAGCGTTTCACGGGACCGATTTTGTTTTGC